ATAAAATAAATTTAAAATAAATTGATCTATTTAATTATTTATGACGTAAATATTCGAAAAAAATTTATAATTTATTTTTAAAAAAAGTTATTCAAAATTTAAAAGATCTTGTAAATTTGTATATAAATCTTATATAAACCAAAAATTATAAAATTTAGGATTATAAATCTTAACAAAATTAATTTCAAAAGATCTAAAATTTTCAAAATTGAATTATAATTATATAATAAATCTATAATTCAAATTTTATTAAATTTTATTAATTAATTATAAAATTATTAATAGATAAAAATCATGATTTTTGATATAAAAAGATGGTCTATATTAGATGTCATTCAAAAAGAGGGTATTAGAATTATAGAAATGAAAAGGATTGAAACAATTCCGATTGTAATATAAATGCAAAAAGTTCTATATTCATTAATCCAGATTAGGAAATCGTCTTTGGTTCGGATTATACTCAAGCTTAGAATCAATAATCTGCGAATATTGATTTTCATACAATATTCGGTTCCATGGGTTTGACAGAAAAATTTGATGTTGATTAAGGTACTATCGTCTCGAAGATTGAATAAGATGCATTGTTCCGGATTGGTAAGATTCGTTAATCATTATTTGAATGATGGTTTTCAGGATTGCTCGGAAAGTTTGATCAGATTTCGAGAATTCGTAAGTCTTTCCGGAAGACCAACTGATCTTATTACTTCATTAGGTAGATCGCTTCCAGTGGGAGCGTCATCAGTGAGGTCAACAATCTCGGAAATTCCGCTTGCTGGAATTGGAATATGCATCCCTATTGCATTATCAGTTGAGATAATAAAGAATAACAAGAGGTGATGTGAATTAACTTACTGTGTTCAGCCGGAATATTGGTTGGTAGTGTAGAAGTTTCATTGTCAATTTCGGAATCGTACATATATAAACGTAACTTATTGATTGGAGATTTGCTTGGTAATGAGATTTATTCCGATACGATCCCTTCCCGAGGCGGAATGCTGGTTTGATTTGCAGAAGGTATTTGTTCCGAGATATTCTCATTTTGAGACGGGATGCTGTCCAACGCTGTCCGATGCTGTCCGATGTGGTTTGATTTGTGACTCTGGTGATCCATCCGTTCAGATTTTCGGGAAAATCCCTCGAGAAAACCAAATCTCCAGAAACTAGGTCTCACATTGGTTGTGTTGCAGGTCTTCCGAACCCGGTTTTGTAATCGACTGTTTGGTATGGTAGGAAGGGAATTGTTCGGTTGTTCGTTGGGTGTATTGGGAAGGGAATTACCAGAGTGTGCATTATAACAGAGTATGAATGTTAGCTAAAGAAAGAAACAAAAACTCGAAATGCTCAATTGATATCATCATCTATTTTTAATGTCATGAATAACTTGACTAGAAAAACTCATCCTACAGAATATTGGATGATGTTGAAGCAAATCAAGAAAGTTTCGAAACGATTTATCATCGTCTTTGAAAACAATAACCTAGAGATCGGAATGATCCCTCTTGAATAAAATACATACACCTACCTCCCTCTCGATCTACATTCTTCTGATTGTATTATAACATTTTGGACTTTATAAAATGATTCATAAAAGAAAAATTGAGATTTGAAACGATAAGTCTAGTACCCCCTTTTTGAATCACTCTTAATATGAATCATTTTTTTATATCAAAAATCGTGATTTTCATTTATATAGGATTTATATGCATCAAACGAAGCGCTTTCCCCCTTTCTCGCTTGGGACCACTAGGCTACTACTAAGACATGCTCGCTCAATCTCACAGAAAACTTTCAATTCTAGCGCAGAATCACTACAATACTACCAAATAGTACAAATAAGTGGGTTGTGGCTGACTGATATCATGGAATTTATCGCGTGGAGGGGATGTAAAACATTGCTAAAATGGTCGTTTGGAATTCTCACTTTAGAGGATTATATCCCCCTTAGGTAATATCCCGACATCTCTAATCGTAACACCAATTGCCCAACGGTATTTTCTTCTGCTAAATCTGCAGCATCGAACAAGCCTGCACTCCTTGGCTGCGTATCGAAGATCTTCTCACCATAGCCCTTCTTTTCACTCAATCCCCTACAAACGGTGATGAAGACTCCTACCCTCTTCCTAAACTTTCCATACAATAATCTAATATCTTCATCTTTGCCTGCATCCCCTACATTGCTTCGAGTCCCCAAAGCCCTTTCTCTCGAGTGTTTCGAGAACCGCAGAATTATGCTGAATATCTCTTCCAATAGTTGCATAACCGGTTTTTGTCTCTTTCTCAGCAACAACGCGAATAACATCTTGTCGAGTACACGTTCATGGTAGTCTCTGAGCTTATCGAGTCCCTCATTTTGGCCAAGCGAAAAGTTCTCAGAGTCCAAACGTTCTTCAATTTCATCCAGTTTTTTCTCAAAGATACGCCACGTTGAAGCGATTCCCGTGTCAAAAAAGTACCCACAAACCGACGAGATGAAGTGATGAGCTTCGATGCGAAACTTCCGCGCAGAGGGATCAATATTCCGCCAGGAGGATGTCCTATCTGTAGCATCACGAAAAAGTGCTGAAACAACATATAGCATTCTGAGAGTGCGCAGTAGTTGCTTGAAAAGTTGATCATATTTGTAAAGGATGACGGGAGTTAAGATGGATTCCAACGGTGCCGGGGGTTTGTATGAAAGTCGTAAGAAATCTAGAGCTTCAATAGAATTAGGGTCCATACACTTTTCGATTTCTTCTTCAGACATATCTCGGACGGCAAAACTCAAGTCTCCTGGGAGAGAACCTTGGCGTTCGAGATAGCTACCGATCGAACAAAGGTTGATGGGTTGGTATGATGTATAACTTTCCGTCAGGACGCCCATTAATGCAAGTCGTAGTTCAGAGCTTGCTGGTGGCCATGTATCTCTGCCGCCAAGTCGTAAGCCCATGGATCCACCGGATAGAGCCACTCCTTTCTGTCTCTCTGCACTCTCCAATTCTGGGTCAAACAGCGCATGAGAAAGTCGGCTTGAGAAAACCCCATTTCCAAGCAAATGAAAGTCTTTTTGCAAAGAGAGGTGACTCCGTAGTCTATGAGACCTGAAAAACAATTGCATACAAACGCCATTCACTACTCGAGCTTGTGCAGAAATAATTGGATTGAATGAGAGTAAAGGTGCCAAAGAGATTGGCGGGGAGAATATTGAGTTATGCCCCCGTGAAGCCTCAGGTGTTGATGAAAGGCAGGCTTGTAAAAGTTTTTTAAGCTTGAATGGAGCTGGAGGTTCCTTCAAATTCGAATTCAAGTGATTGATAGATGCCATAACACGAGTTTGTATATCCTCTTCTGGTTTTCCGAAGAAATCTAGATCGAAATTGTAAAGCCCGTACTTGAACTCGCTCGCTGTGGTTTTCATTGCTGAGTGCGATTCAGAAAACTTGCGAAGTGCAGCGGCCAAATCCTGTTCGTATTTCAAGGATTTGGTTTCTATATCCAGGATATCTTGCCAGGAATATCTCCATTCGAGAGTTGGTGGTGCAACGGATTCCACCACTTCCATTTTCGACAGGGGATGATCTATATGGTGGGTCCGCAAAATTCGAAGGCTCCTGCCCACTTCAAACATTATTTGGGCATCTTCAAACGACACGAATGAAGGAATTTTTTCATGGTCCAATATAAAGTCAGGCTCATTCAACTCGAGACCAGCTTCATCCACCCACTCTTTGTTATCGACCTTCACAAAACACTTTCCAGGACCATCTTTTGTCAGCGGTAAGCCAATCTCTCTTTGTAGTCCAAGCCATTCACCAGTGAACTCAAGCCAAGGTATTGATACCCTAGAGAGTATCTCAAGAAGAATGTCCCTGAGGGTGTCTGTCCTATGTTCCAAAAGTTGGATCTCTTCGAAAAGTGTGGATAGTATTGCTTCATCACTCTTCTTTGGTAGCGTTTTCCTTACCAATCGTTTGAAGCATGTAAGAACCGAATGAGCCGGTTGAAATAATGCTTGCAGCTGTAAAATACTCTGGTAATCGGAAGGGCTTACATTTAGCTGTGATTGAATTGTTGCAATAACAATTGAGATAGATTCCGCCAAGGCAATTCGACCTGGTGATTTCTTTAACGAGTAGGTTTTCTCGACAAAGTCTTGAAGGAACTTGGTTATATTTCCGCAGTCATAGAATAAAGCCAGGAAGCCTCTGAGAGATTGTGCAGTGTGACCAGAGATTCTGAACTTCTGAAGGGCCGCAGTAAATGAACGCTTCTCTGCATCCCATGTGAAAAACATTGAATTCCTGCCCAAGCCTAGTGCGAGGACGGAAGTAGCAAATATTCTCGAATCCACTACATCCTGATGATTGTTCCCAACCTTTAAGAAATCATGTTCGGCAGCTAATGCCGTGTCAAAGACTCGAGTTCCAGCTTCCGTCAAATAAGCCATTTGAGGTTCTTTGAAATTCTCAACGGTAAATGAATCCCATGATTGGTAGTTCACAGGCTCTTGCAACGGCTCTTGCTCCTGTATCATCCAAATATCAAAGTCATCAGCTTCATCTTGCCCCACAAATTCGTTGCCAGAGACATCGCCGGAAGTCTCATCAGATTGAGAAGGGGTTGGATCAGTTGGTTCTGTTGGACCTATAGGTAATTCTGGTATACCAAAGAATAACTCATCACGTTGACACTGCTCTGCGACGTCTGGTAGTTTGTGGTCAATGGCTGTAAATTGTTAGCTCAATATATCTGCATACTCCACCCAAATGCTTGGAACGAACTGGGGAGCTTAAAGTCTGAAAAAAGACTATTTGGTTGCACTAAATCATCAACACATTTAGATAAACCCCAAAGGTCTGGTATAGCAAACACGTCGCCCGGGTCTCTTTTATCATCCATTTCTGGCATTGCAATGGATATATGAATATATATAAATTTAGAACATGGTAGTCGGTACTTGGTACTGGCGGCTGGGATAGATGATTATTTGACGCGCCTTATCGCGTCTGTGGCTGAGCGGCGACCGCTAGTGCAATCCTCACAAAAGGCTGATGGGTGAGGCTGGGCAAGCTTGGTTGATATTTTGATGTCATCCTTCAATTCAACATTTAATAATAACGAGCCCCTCTCACTTCGTGGCACCGTCGCAATGCCCCCCAAAAAAAAGAAAGGAAGTACACGAGCTGCTTCGACGCCCGCAGAAGATCAAGATGCAATGGCCATTGATACTCCTCAAAAGGCTGAACCACCAAAATCAAGCTATAATATTTTGAAAGACCCATGGACGGATGAACAGGAAACCTCGTTATTCAAAGGCATAGTCAAGTGGAAACCAGCTGGTAAGACTACATTCAATTAGAACCGACAGTCCAGCAGATCAGAGGAGTTAACCATTTAATCTAGGCATGCACAAACACTTTCGCATGATTTCACTTTCAGAACATCTGCGAAACCACGGTTATGATCCTCGCGTCGAGCCGCATACTCGAATACCCGGAATCTGGGAAAAGTTACGAACTTGTTACAATCTGGATGTAATTGACGACCGGGAGAATTCATTTGATTACGAAGAGGATACTGAAGACCGTTTTCCCGAATTCACATTACCCGACAACGTTTATGGAGAGATGTGTTTCATGCGAGGGAGGCGGACTGATGAAGAAATAAGTGAAGCTCCTTCATCACCTCCGAGGTTAATGGAGACTTCAGAACCAAAGGAATCGCCAGAGCCAGAGGTCCATGGTACGAGTAGGAAAAGGAAGAGAGGAAAGGAGAGAGGAAGTACCGTTGATACGACGGAGACGAGAACATCACCTCACGCCCAGAGTTCACCACCAAAATCAACCAGAGCCGGAAGAAGCGCTAATAGAGCGGCGGGAAAGGCGAAAGCGGAATCGAGTTCGAGACAGCAGAGCGTTGCAACAGTTGCAACCGCGGAGGATGGAGTGGAAGACGACGAAGACGAGGATGAAGAACACGATGAAGGTATTGATGGAACACCCACAAGACCTAGGGGAGCGGATACGAAAAAGTCCAGGGCACAATCTTCTACCAGGAAAAGCAAAAGAAAAAGATGATCCACTCGAGATCATTCGGTGATAGGTGTTTGTATTGGGAGATGAATATGGAGCGGGGCGTTCTTGAAGCTACTTTTATCTATATACCAACGGTCCTTGTATCATATGGCGTATGGTTTTCATGGTAATACACTAGAATATCGAACTGGGTGGTTGGTAAAGCGTTTCCCTAAGTTATTTGTGTTAATATACTGTACATGAAAGCTCTAGAAGAGGATATATTTACGAGAAAAGAAAAGAAACATTTTTATATTAAATATTAGCTTCTATTAATTTGGTCTCATATAAGCACAGCCACAGATTTGATTGGTTTGCCCGAGTGAGTGCATGTTGTGCCACGCACCAATTAAGCCTTCCCGATTTCTAAAATCCTTAAAAGTCCGGCACAAATTCACGCCAGCCTAGCCGGAGCTTCAAAGCTCAAGATATCTCAAACGTCACGATTCAAGATAACGACAATTTAACAATTTCATCACCCGTTGAGATTGTCCACCATGCGTCGCACATTACGGCAGTTTGCAGCCGTTAAGCCTGCCAAATACCTCGAGCCCTACACTCCCACCGGCCTTACTGGTCTTACTACCCATCCCTCCCCGCCCCGCCTTGCTCTACCTTTACTCCTCTACCCTCGATAAACTACAGGAATTTCCCTCTACATCCCTATATCGTCAATCCGCTGAGGCCCTCACCAACCACCGTTTAAAGATTGTGCAAGCTGTTGTGCCAGCTGGATACGAAGAATGGGCGGCAAAAGCGAAAGAAACTATGGCTGCGCATCCAGAGGTTTTCTCCACTCCAAAGGGTGGTATACATTTTGATCAGGGGAGACATGTCAAAGTTAATGCTGGAGGTGGAGTTTTCGTGCAGAGTAAGGTCGATAAGGAGGTTGATTGGAGTAAGGAGGAGTGGGATGGAGAGGAGGGAAGTGCGGAGTTAGAGGGTGTGAGGACGACACAGGAGAGGAAGGGACAAAGTGTTTTGGCTAAAGAGAGACCTGGTGAGGATGAGAAACAAATTGTTTGGGAAAATGAACCTGCATTGAATGTCGAGCAGTGAGTTTTGGTTCCCTATCCAACACGAAAATGCACAGGTACTGATATGTGAGTGAAGAATCGAAGAAATTGAGAATAAAATTGGTGCTGGATTGATTGAGGAAGTTATTAAGGTTGCCGAGGGCGAACTGATACTCGCCGATGTCTTATTAAAAGCCAAGGTGTAAGTTAAATGCCATGGCCGATTTCATGGATGGAGACTAATGATACTTCAGATGGGAAGACCTCGAAGAGAAACCTGTCGAAGGACAGTGGACATATTTTAAACGCGACGGTGGTGTCCCAACTAATCAATAACCACCACAAAAGTAATGCTCAAGCAGCCACAAAATGCTATCAGGTTCAATGTTCAAGAGTGTATAGTAAAGGGTTCTGTACATAGAATAAATGCATACAGCCATTATCTTTCAAAGCCCATATCTTCCCCCGAAATGTTCTATACCCGGTCATACCTGCAAGTGCAAACAAGTGCACATTAACATGATAAAGTTTTGTGCCTGCGCACATATTTCGCGAGAATGTTGCTCCTAGCATTGCAATTCCAAATTCAAATCGGGCAATCAATCAATGATACATCATACTCCACCGATTGTCCCAAGGGCTCTCAACCACCCCAGCTCCTCATTTGGGTTCGCTAATTCCCTAATTATGACACCACTCGTTCCATGCTTGTGTTTCTCGCTCATCCCTGTTCGTAGTCTGTGAATCTTTATTAGCAGATTCTCTATTACGATGACTTCCTCAGACTCCCGCCTTCCAGATAGGGACGGTGGTGGGCCTATTCGTGTCGGCACCGACTTATGTTTCTTGCGAGCTTTTGAAGTAGGTGCTCCCGTCATCCAGCTCAGACCCCCAGCAGGTGCCGATTTCTTTGATTTCGGAATGAACTCGTGCATCGGAACACCAGGCTTAATCTCCATAATTCCGGGTGGTGGAAAAGGCAGTGGAAAGCCAGCACGACATCCTTGCGGGGGGAAGGAGGATGAGGCGGCCCTGGGGCCTCTGCTTTCCATCCAGGTTGTTCTAGTTCAGGCAGTGGCCACATGTGCATAGATATAGACCAACCAGGTTCAACGACTGATTCCTAGACTTGAGGAAGGATGATTTCATCTTCAGGACCAACGAGATCGTAGTGACCTTCGTTTACATGTGGACCGAGTACATCAACATGAAGGAAAGCTTGTTTTACTAGTTCTTCAATTCCCTAAATTGTTGACGATCAATAAGTAATGTTTGAAGTTTCAAAATATGAGTAGTTTCAAATATAGGAAACAATATGATTGACTTACAGCCCATGTCGACACTAAGTGGAATGGGAAGGTGTATTTTCTGCCTACAGCATCCTTGAACTTTATCACTTGCATTAGGGTCTTCTTGTCAGGTGCCTCGGGTGAGCATGCTCGGTCTTTCCCCTTTGCAGCTTTATGCGCCTCGGCTTCTTTCTTTTTATACTCTTCTTCTGCTTTTCTCCTCGCATGCTCTTTCCTTACATATTCTTCTTTTGCATCCGCCATCCTCTTTTGATGTGCTTCTTCCTTTAGCCCTTTTATATATTCTAGTTTTTCTTTCTCTAGCCTCATTTTAAAGCGATCCTCGTCTGTTAGTTCTTCTGGTGATGGCGGTACTGGCACTTCAATAGGATCCGCTTCCGGGGCTCGTCGTTCCGGATAGTTATTATACGTTCCATGACGTACACGTCGTGTTGAGAAACGTTCACGTCTTCTTCCTCGGTCTTCTGGGATGAAGTCGTCATCTCTCGCGGTGTCTTCCATGGCATCTTTCTTTTCTTGTTCATCAACCAACCTCTTAGCGTTCTTGCTAGTGTCAGTTCTTTCCCAATCGCGTCGGTAGACTTCCCTGAATCGCGCAGGCGTTCATGGATGATCTCTCGCTCGATGATTCGTTCGTCATCATCGTCATCTAGGTTACCTTGGTAGTCCCATTTTTGTCTTCTCATCAACCTCCATTCATCATTTTTTTCATGCGTCTTTCCAATGAAAGTCGTTCACGATCTGTGGCATAATCTGAGTTGGCAGACTCCGGTGTTCGAGATATTTCGTGGCGTATTATCTCAGAAGTGCCTAGCTCGCGCCAGTCCTCAGAAGTTGAATCAGGTGAACGAGGTAGTGGTATATCAGCAGGGTCTGGTATAGATGGGTTTAACGACGGAGCAGGAATGGGTGATGGAGGACTAGTTGAAGGAATTTCTGGAGGAGCTGGACCGGCGATCGGAGGATGATCATCTGAAGGAGGCTCTGCGAGAGGATTTCCTAGGAATATGCGCTCCAGTACGTTATGGTAAGACCCTCCCGCGCGGTCTGAACGCACAAAATTGACTCCTTCCTCCAGGTCCCAGCTTTTGTTCAGGTGGTTTCGTCTCCAGAATCGCCAACTCCATGACCTTGGCTCCATTTTTTTCTTGCCAACTAATAAATCGCCATCTACGGACAGATCTAGTGGCAGCTGGGGGCTGCTTGCAGAGTCTAACTCGAAACTGGTACTACTATCGGTATAGCCAACACTCGAAGATGAAGTAGCACGTCTACTTCGATTCCAAGGACCCGGTATATGTGAAACAAGGCGTTCTCTGATACCCGCTTTGTATGAAATGATTTCGCTATCAGAAATTGATGAGGCAACCAGGTCATCTGGCTCTTCTTTTACGGCAGTGGGCCCATACGTCTGAGCAAATTGTTCCAGGGTCATTCGTCGGATGCTATCCGCGTAGATTAAAGCAGTTGTGAGCATGCAAACAGGAATAGCAATAATCCAGAAGATGAAGAACTGATCTCCACCTGGCTGGAAATTACCGCCCATCGAAAATATTGCTGCGATTATTGAAAAAGCAAGGAGAAACCTACCAAGGTAGGTAATTCGGTTGATACTCTGCCGTGTTTCTAGATCTACCTCCCCTCCACGAATATGCACACTGACCTTGAAGAAGCTGCCGAGGCGGCACCGTCGCCTTCATCATCCCCAGTTCCGTTCTCAGATTTAGCCTTCGTCCCAAACCCCTCCTCCAAAAGCTGCCCCCACACAAATAATTCTGTATAGCCTTTCGCCTTTGCCGAAAGTCTTTTAAATCCTTTCAACCCATCGTAACGAGGTCTTAAGCTCCACATAGTCCCCAGGCGATCCAAAGTCCATACGTTAAACCCAAGAAGTTCAAATGTTTGATTAATTTCGTCATAAGTAACGATCCTGCATGCCCAATGACTTCATCCAAAGCGAATCTCCCTTTCCTGAGCACGATGTCGGCGATGATTTCTGCCAGATAATCCCAAAATAATGTGCCACCCGGTGATTGTGCAGCGTCAAAAATCTGATCCGCTACAGTCGAAGCCGGATCATGATTACGAGATGGTTTCCATTGTTTCTTTTCCTCTGGGAGATTCTTCAGAGCATTTGCAAGTACACCCTGGTAGCTCGTGGCTTGGAATTGTGCTCCTGTTCTTTCCCCCGGCTGGTTGTCTAGAAGTAACAATGCTATAATATCATATCATCAGCATGTTTACACACAGAAAATGAAGGCTGATCTTACAAATCTCACCCACATCTGTGAGAAAGGATACCAAAGTCACATGACATAACTTGATGCTTGATTCATTCTCACTCTCGGCTTCAGGAAGTTCTATTGTTTGACACGGTAGCATAAAATCGCCAAATACTTCTCCGGTGCCCTCTCCAGGATGTAGAAAAGTATTTGTTGTTATTTCTGGATGATCCAATGCGAAAGCTCGAGCCTTCCCTGGTATCGCTGGAAATTTACGCTTGCTCAATAGTCCACTCTTTCTCATAGCATGCGATCAAAAATATCTAGATCGACATCAAAACGTGCACCAAAAGCCTGGACATAATCAATTGGTACTCCTTCCAGTACGTACATTTTTCTTCCATTTTGTCGTGTCGTGGGTCGAGTGATCCGAAAGTTCTTCTGCGGTCGCAAAGACCTTTTTCATAATAGTCACATTTATCTCTTCGATGAGGCAAGACGCGGGAGGTGTTTCAACATTGAAGATTGGAGAATTGGGAATAAACTTTGGAGCTAGACATCTCCTGCAGTTTTGGCGGCGATGCGAGCCATCTTGTCATGGCACTCAAGCTGTAGCTTTTCTTGGTGATATTCATAATGTCGTATTCTTTTATCCTCGTTAATATGTGCGGCTGAGAATTGTGCGTGGTCAGGCGCGATTACCCCCAAGAAGCCCAGAAAACTGAGACAATGGTGTACATTCGCGATGTCAGCCAAAGTCATTTTGATTTTGCCGATTGTACTCATTTAATATCGATTTTTCCGCATCTTCAGACTCCAGCTAGTCCTTTTGTTAGAGAGGTTAGTGATCATAATCTATATGACGTGATTCAGTTCAAAACGTTTGAGTCATTTCCCTGATTTTTATTAAAGCCGGTGTTAGGGCTAATATGGCCAGTGCGATGATTGTGGGCCTATAAACCTTTGACCGGTGTCTGAATCGTATTGGATTGATCATACAAAGCAGACACAATATCTCCCATTATAATACGGCCTGCAAAACTGCTTTTGCAGGGCGAAGACTATACCAAATGTGGACCACCCGATGTGTAGATCAAGGGTAGGCTCTCCCTAAAACAGTATAGAGCTTCGAAATGATCGCTCATCTAAAGGAAATCGTTCCCCGCTGAATTCGTGTACATTTTTTCTACCAAATCCATTCTTTTCTGACAGCAAGAAATTAATAGATTATCCGATTTTGTGATCTGTGTAATACTACAATAATATCTTCAAATCTCGTTATATAATAATGAATTGTATTATTTCAAATTATTATTAGATTTATTTTTGAAGTTATTCAAAAGTTTTAAGTTTTTTAATTTTATATATAAATCTTATATAGATTAAAAATTGAAATTTTGACTTTTAATATCTTAATTATCAAAATTATAAAAAGTTAAAAAGTTCGAAATTTTTTATTATAAATAATAAATATATGATTAAAATTTTAGAAATTAATATTAATAAATTAAAAATTATAAATATATAAAATAATGATTTTTGATATAAAAGAGTAATCTAAATTAAACATAATCTGAAAATAAAATATTAGACTTAATCTTCAATTAATAAATTATTATATTACTACTAGGGGTCTACACCCTCCGGACCCCTGGCTTTTCAAGAAAGTCTAATAAAAATTTGAGTTTTGAAAAGTTTATAATAAATTTAAATATTGAATATATATTAGAGTACAGACAAAATATCAGTATAATGATCTAATCGAGACAGCAATGTAATGATCTAGTCGAGGCAGCAGCTACCTTAGGTTTTTGTATAATTGGTAGTTATAGATTAAGGCTAATAATCATTGATTATTTATTCGAAAATAAATATATTATTAGATTAATTAGAATATAGATAAATTAATTGATAACTAAATTGAATATAAAACTCTTAAACTATAAAACTATTCTGATTATATACTAATGAATATAAAGAAACTTTATAAAGTTTTAAAACTCCAAAAAACTTTTAAAGTTTTAGAAGCTTTCGAAACTTTTAGAGCTCTTTATCATATAATTAGGATCAAATTATATATCCGAATTTGTTAGAAATAGAAAGACCATATAAAACGATTATTATACAAATTTGTATACGAATCGCCTTGCTTTTCGATAAGGCCTAAGCTCATATAAACACGTTGACTACTGCCCCTCAACATATCCTTATCTTAATCGTAAATCGTGACAAGCGGCTGCCTGAAGTTTCGTATAATTAGTAATTGTAGGTTAAGGTTATTAATCATTAATTATTCATTTGAAAATGAATTTATTATTAAATCAATTAGAATATAGATAAACTAATTGATAATTAAATTAAGCATAAAACTTCTAAACTATAAAATTATTCTGATTATATATTAATAAATGAAAAATAACTTTATAAAACTTAAAAGCTCCAAAAAGCTTCTAAAGTTCTAAAAACTTTTCAAACTTCTAAAACTCCTTATTATATAATTGATCCTGAAACCTCTTTTTTTCTGAAACACTTATCCCAAAAACTTTCTTCTAAGAACTACAATTCTAAAATACAATATCCTTTTAAAATGATTATTTTATTACAATTAATTAATTAAAACACTTATTCTATTCTAATATAATTGTTTAAAATACTTATTCTAAAAATCTTGAGATTCTATTTATAGATAATTAGGCCCTTTGAAAACAACAATTAAATTACATTTTTTTTATAATCGGTATATAAATCATCGATATCAATAATACTATTATAATCTAATTCATAAATCGTGACAATCAGTTTGTTTTTGATAATTTAAAATTAAAGTTTTTTATTTAAAAATAATAATTATAATATTATAATATTATTATTTATAATATTATTTATTATTATTATTATTATTATTATTATTATTATTATTATTTTAAGTTGAATAAGTTGAATTGAATGATTTTAATTGAGTTAAGTTGAAAAAAGCTCCAAGTCAGATTTGCCTGAGGTTGTAAGGCTTATGCCAAGCTTTTTGTTAGATTATTCACCGGGGTATTTTATACCAATCAGATTGTCAGGATCGCGACTCACTTAAGCGAGTTTCTCATTTTCTATCATCTTACACTAGGTAAACCTTGTATACAACAAGGTTTTAATGTCGGCAAGCTGACAATCAATTTCAAAAATCTGAAATTTACAGAATTGATTGATTTATAACTATGTAGTGAATCTATGATTTAAATTATATTAAATTCTATTGATTGATTGTAAAGTTATTAATAGTTGAAAATGATGAGTTTTTGGTGTAAAAGGATGGCCCAGAAGTAGGGTACTAGACTTATATTTTTGTAGTATTATGGTTCTCAATAAATCATAATTTTCTAACAAACCGAACGTCTAATGAGGCTATAATATATTGGTTTCCAAGATGGTCAAGATTCATGAATCGAAGGTTTGATAAAAGTTATAATATATTGATTTCCGAGGAAATCGAGATCGACGAATCGAAGGCTTGGTGAGGCTATAATCCATTATTTTTTTGTAGCCGATAACTCGTTCCGATATACATGTTTTCACAAATTCAAAACTGGAATAGTTTCAAAGTGTTATAAAGGTTTAAACGTTAGAAAAGAATTAGAATAGCTTTACATTTGCTGGTTTTTTGATTGATATTGTTAAGAGGGAAAAGAACTGTGTTAAGCTCAATATAGAAAGTACAATGATGAATGGGTGTATATAATCAGGAATCGCAGTACCAATAATAAGATAACCCTCTTCACACCTACAATCAGAATGCTTTCACTGATTTCCTGCTTCTCTAGGGCTTGTAACACAAAGCCCGCACGGGTCCGAACTAAGCGATGCTTAGGAGATGCTAGTACATGATTAGTTCCATCCACTCGGGCTGTTATGATTTTTCAATAATTATTCGCGTCAAATAATTTGCGATCTCATCATTATTCGGTGTAAGATGTCACAGGAGTTTGTGGATTCCAACCCTGAGTTATGAATGACGAATAAAACGGCCAATTGCTGGCCCTACATAAGGTAAATTTGTGAGCAGACTTCATCTTATCATACAGGGAAACAATCTTCGGCGTGGCTCCAGTATTATCTCTTAGACTCAGCATTTGAAAAGATAGTATGAAAATCATAGTACCGAAGCTTAATCTTAGTCCGTTAGCAAAAGAAATCTGTTTGGGGCTCCGTAAACTAGATTAGTCTAAAATAGCTTTAGCAAGTGACCTACTAAAAAAAATTTCACCACGGTGGGGCAAAATACTGTGATAACATCTTCAACATATTTCCTACATATATTGATACAATCGTAACTTTATCACTTGGACAATCAGGCAAAATGGTCTCACCCATGGAACCCTTTCCCTTCCTCCGTCTTCCTGGCGAAATCCGCAACCAAATTTACGAGTTGCTACTTTGCAATGTACAAGAGCCTGAACCACTTGACGGCTTAGACATACCATCAGCTGTAACCATCGCCAAACGTAATATACATCCTCAGTTATTGCGAACCTGCCGTCAGGTCCACGAAGAAGCAAAGTACGTCATGTTGACGAAAAATCGCTTTGTTGAAGTCCAATTTGGCGGGCAAGGACGAAATCTGAACTACAGCTTTTTGGATCTAATCTCTCTCTGGAGAGTGCCAATTCTCCGTCTCAAGCGGTGCACAACACTTGGAGACCGAGTTTTCAACGGTTGCTTTATGCGCCATCAGATATCTTCTACTGGGGATAATAGTGCATGGAATACATCTAAAGCTGATTCAATACTCCTGTTGCACCGCAACCTCAATAAGTTGCTTCCTGCTATAATGCAGAGCCAGTGCCTTGTCTCACTATATCTAAACGGGACTTCAATTCACAATGTCACACTTCTAGACCGTTTTGTTCCCGTCTCCACAATCATCAAAGAGTTTGAACTTACCGGAAGAAATGCTAGCGGTTGTCAATTTTCCGTTGAGGTTCTACAGAACAATCCACAAACCCTCTTGTCTCCATATTCGCCTAGTTTTCAACAGGAATCTTCTTTTACGGTCTATGACCGTACTGTGGATAGCACAGGTCACCGTCTAATCCATTCGAAGAAAGCTGTTCCAAATGTAACCGCCGAAAGTGTAATGAAAGACCTCAGTCAACTCACGGAAATTGGAAATAACTACCGTTCCCAGGGCATTTGGGGATACGCCGCAGCTTTTTACCAATATGTTGACTACAAAATTTCAGTACTGATGAGCCACCACAACCCAACTATCGTCAGGCTTCTCGTCGAGGAAGGAGGAATGATTGAGGATCAAATAGCCGAGTTGCATTCCACTATATGTTATTATCGTGCAAAGAACGCTGTCGGCGCGATGCGACAATTTGAACACAGTCACCGCGAGGAACTTGAAGATCTATTCGACACCGTTACGAATATGGGAGCTATATCTGAAGCTCCCATATTCCCAGGATTTACACAGAGTCCAATGCGAAATGCAGACCATATCTATCTACAGGCTGTTGCGTGGAAGCTCATGGGTGACCAGTCCAGGTTGAATATGGATATGGCATTGGAGACGGTAAATTCAGGCCTCGCCATAATTCCTTATCACCCGGAGTTAAACCTGGAGAAAAAGTTTCTTATTCGGAAGATATTGATAACTCGCCTTGACTTCTCCAGGTCACGCGCGGGCTTCCGAAAATGCTTGAATGGGACCTTTAATTAAGATATTGGAAATTTAACTGGTTGCAAGGGGATTTCAAAGGGGCGTAAAGGGCTTTACGGGAACCACGATAATAGTCTAAGACAAACGTTTGGGGCTAATAAATCGTTAGAGTATTTTGTTATTGTAGTGTTCTGCGGATATGTTACGCATAAATAATGTATTAATTTGTAAATAGATAGATTATCTATAGGTCAATAGATACTTTTTAAATAACCCATAAATAGTTTATAAACAATTGACGCGAAGAGACTATTCGTGCAGGACGCATGTGAGTTTTGAGACCTCAAATTATCACGGCATGGATTGCTGTGCTGTGCTCTCTTCAGCAGGTTACTAATAATAAAGTGATAGCCATGTTTGAAAAGGGTTGACGGACTGAGGGTCTTTTGTAAGAAGCTTGCATTCATTGCTTGTAAGTGATTTTGTCAGCAGTGTTTGGACCTAGCCCGCATCTTGAAATGCTCATTTGTCTCGCAACTTATGATAAAAAGCGCTGAAAGCGTCTTCAGTGTTCATAAACTTCGTACCAATTGTATAGACGGTATCTACCGGCTTTTAAGCTAGATCAAGGTAGAATATGAGATGAGCCTGAAAACATCATACTTGACATATCTCATTGCGGCTAATTGAGGCACTTCCTCAGCCAAAGTGGTATGCCTTTTTCGTTTGTGAGGCACATGAAAGTCTCCAAACCCGCACTCCGCCTTTCATATGCGCCTTAAGGTTCATGTCCTGCATAATTTCTTTCATTGCACCATCTTGCAAATCATCGGCAAGGGGAAGGACTTTTTGAGTGGAGATGAAATTCATGAATTCGAGCCATATAATTAAATATGCCTTCAGTGAGTTCGAGGAAGGCCCTAAAAGTGAGAAGAATCATCAACTCACTAAGCGTAACATAATTTCTTTTCAGGTGTAAGCATTTTCGGCAAGAAGGTAAACAGTTGTATTCCTGAGCTGCTTCTGAGTCGGAGTATAAAGCTGGAGACCCTCGAGAGAGTATTGATAGCTAAGGAACCTTCTATGCACAATTCTGAGTTGGAAATACTTATCTTCCCGTTTTGCATGAGCTCAAACCTCATCTCGAGATTATCGACTCTAAATACTGAAAAGCTCATGAAGATCAACTTATCGGACGGATTGACCACGAATCATCCGATATGTCCACTACGTCTCGCTTTTATGAAGTTAATGGGGGCTTTGAGGTAGGGTGTTCATGAAGGTTTTGTCATCAAGCTGAATGAAAATATTGAACTATATCCCGTGACACATCGGAGTTGAGCTATTCGAAGCCGCGCCCGGTATTCAAGATCCAAATAATATCATTGGGCACTGGAATGGTATTTTAAATCTTGGAGGTACTCTTTGTTTTGCAGTTAATAGCAGACTGATCAGATTGCCGCCTCTACTCATCCGGAATATCTCAGCGGAGCCCGCATCCTAAGCTCAACGCAACTTGTTGTTTGAAGGAATGAAAGAAAACGCACCTAGCACAATAACGCTCTCTGATGCGGTCCAACCTATGTAATAGAGAATAATGGAGTTGACTCTGAGAATCTTCTAGATTCGCGATATCTTTCGATCGGGACCTATTTGCAATATTTGCACTACCACTAAGCCTTCAAAGATACGTCTCATGCAGCGGAGTCTTCCCTCAGAAACTATTCGACTGTCACTAGCAGTGAGAAATTTGGCTCGGGGAGTTCTGTACTCGGCTCGATCACTTACTAGCTTCTCAATAGCACAATTGCTTCGGTAACAACATATTGTGTTTCAATAACGTGTCTCATCCGGCTAATGGCAATATCCTTGTCTTGCGGCATCTAGTCCTCAATAGCGTTGCACTTACATCCGCTAGAAACAAGGAGGACATTTCAGCTATTCAATATATCTTCACTGAACAGGAGCTATGAATCGTAAGGTTACCCAGGATAATGTTACACTGGCTCCGTCTGGCACCACCAGAGCGTATACTCTCTACTCATCCAACGCTTTGATGACGTCTCACGTTGCACAATAATTCTCAGTGTGGTTCAAGGTAACGTCGCGAGTCGAACTGTGAAGCCTACCATATTTCCTTCGTAGTATCGTGCTCCGCATGAAGTTAGGGGGTTAGATCCTGGAAGACCGGTTGGAAATGTCTATTTGGATGCCCCACTTTTGGAGTTGTACGGGAAGCAGTTATATCCAAGGACATAGAAGGGGTAATGAATTAATGATAGCATAATTGATAACCATCATTTTCAATCCATAGATTTATGTTATCCTGCATGTCCAAGACGCTCAAACCATGGGTCGCTTATATTTGCTGATGACTATAACCTTAACGTATATACCCCGAGTAAGGTTAATAATTAAGAATTGGGTTAATTATAGCGACGCTAGGACAATAACGAAAAGGAGTAACCATTTTAGAATTTTCTCTTGGCTTTTTCAAATTTTCTCCTCTCTAGTAATTGTTTAGAAGTTCTAAATTCCGAGTCAGCAACTTCGTACCAAAGCCAAGCCAAAATGCATTGCCACCTTCCGCTGCCGTGTAGTTATTTTCCTCTTCTATGTCCGTCGTTCCATTTTTGGTTGTGCTTTGTCCCCTTTTCATCACGCCACTTTCCGCATTAGAATGATCAACGTCCTTTTCCAACGGCATTTCATCCCAAAACATACCTTTTCCTCTTCTTCGAGCAACAGATTCTGAAAGTCAGCAGAAGTCGGCCTGTTCAAGTTCAATCCTCTTCCTCTGTCTTCCATCAACCGCGACAGCCACGGTCAAACCTTCCATTCGGATTACCCAAAGCTCTCATTGGATAAAGATCAATGATGTTTCGCGGGATCTTTTCCAGCCTTTCCACTTCACCGGCACAAATTATAAGATCACATGGAGACTTTTTAGATTGCCACAAGGAAGCAATATCTAAAGGCAGTGAGAATCAAAATCGTTGCCTGGGCTACTATTACCGAGTTGGCTTAAACTTCTCAACCCGAGCATAAGAAAATTAATCAGATTGGGCTTCTTCAGACTGTGTGACGGGCACCTTCATGTGCGTGCTGCAAGCCTGCGGCTCTCATCTGCATAACGTTATTACTGCTGTTTTAGCAGGTACTGCGGCAGCATTACATCAGCTTTCTAGAAGCCTTGGATATCATGCAACTGTCATGTTGTGTAGCACCGCTGCAAGGATTTTACCATGACATGGAAAAAAGAAAAGATTTCGCAAAAGTACATGAAAGCTTTCCATCAAAGGCTTGTGTATTAAGGATTAATTTCGCGGAACTCATTTTAGTCACTCTTAAACGAGGGAGATTCTGCAAGTACGCAGGAATAAGAAGTTCAATTCAACGACCTGGCAACTGTGATTTACACACGCCACCACAATAACAAATACTCCGGTACCAAAAAATCAATCCCAACAGTGTGCAATCACCATGTCATCATCATTTATCCAACCAATCCAATTACGGATATCGACCCATGCCAAAGGTCCCTTGACCCGTTCCAAGATACCCAAATGATCGGGTATTATCCCATGCGCCTGCTCCGACGCCATATTCCAATATCGCCCAAAAGAGACAAGTCCTGACACGATTTTGTCGAAAGGATTTTTAACAACCCACAGCAAGCTGGAACCCTTCTTTTCGTGTTCAAGGTCATCAGCTCACATTAAGATGAGATGATCGACTCCGCTTAAAGACAGTCTGTAACCTCACACCAGCCGCAATAGTCATGATCGCCATACTGCTCCTCCTTACAGCATTGTGGGCAGCAGTTATCAACGATAGGTGCGATTTCGGTGGCAGCCATTGTGATATAGGATGAAAGCAGTGATTTTTGTATGAGTGGTGGTTTGTGTAAGAGTTTGGAGGATGTAAATGAGGAGTGGTTTCTCCTTATGCCTTTTGAGAGAAATATTTTACTGGTGATATATGGCTGCGGTTCAAATTTCTTTGGTGAGGATGAGGGAAAGATGCTGAGAAGCTTTTTGCATTTGATGATTAAAACTCGCTCTCAGATTCGGGGTCCAGTCGATATATATATCCAACACCAAGCAATAGTAGATCCCTTCGACATCCTACGCTCAGCTGTTATCACAACTTACCAGATATCAACATCGCCCGTTTCATTAATTCATTTTCTCCACACAATTATTGAAACAGACCGGCATACATACCGCATACGCAAGAAAGCAGCACACAGGGGATTGCATGACACAGACTCTCGGTAACCCTGCCTTCCCTTGCATTGCTTTCAGCGGTGAGAAAGAGTGAGGCTTCCATCATCACATAATCCGTTACTTTATACACCGGTTTTATTCGAGATGATTTAATTGGGCCCATTATATATCCTGCAATCAAGATCCAGTGTTAGATCTTCTATGCCACCTTAGTTGTGCCTTGCATCGGAAGCAGCAATTTTCGCATATGCACCGAACATGTGTAGTTGAATCAATGACACAACTTTTGGGCGAGAAATCAATCAAAAAACAAGCTATATATATGCAAAACTCACTCAGGATGTTCTCATTTGATTGGTCAATTAAACAAAGGATTTATACATCTTCATCTTCGTACGTTGTATGTACATAGACATAGTTGAGGATTATTGGGTGCTGCATGTTAGAAATTTCACTTCTTTCCTTGGCATAGATACCAAAGAGCTGTTAGTTCTCTCTTACAACAATACCTTCAATGATGCTATTATGGGGAAGTTTGGACGGTGAGTATAGAGGACTAATGTTTCATAATACAAGATACGGGGTGCGGGGTCTGGGGTACGTCTACTTTCGTTTTCCCCTTTTCTGGCAAAACTTTCATAGCATCATTTCTCCTCTCTCAGACCAAAATATATTGACTTACTGACTTGCCCCTCCTTTTCGCGCCACTCATTGCATATCTTGTATATTATATATATATATTACTCGATCTATCAAAGCACGTACCAGCTAGCTCCCTCGCCTCTAACTGCCCTACATCTTCCCCACCTGTGGTCCGTACACAGACTACAATCTAGAATTTCTCCCGCCTCCGCCAATGGAATAAACCGGACTAAGACATCGAATTTTAATTCAATGCGGCCATTTAAGTCATCATTGCCGCCTTAAATCAAACCAAAAATACCAAAAACCCCAGAAATAGCAAAGAAAAAGTTTCTCTCAATATAGGCACATATACGGTGGCAATACGAACAATAGGTAGGTACATGGGCTTCTCTCAAAAGACATGAAAAGCATAAAAGAACGGATGATCGTTGATGTCTAACCACGATTGTACGAGTACCTTGTTCTCATCGAGATCCATGCTTTAGGTCATACTATGCATCCTTACCGTGTTTCCCAACTTTGTCCCTGTTCATTTCAAACCCACCCTCATCAATGCGTATTTAGCCCTATACCCAACCACCATTTGCACAAGCTTCACTGACGGGCGGAAGGACGCCGGGCTTTACCGAAATCTGGCCCGTTTCGTCGGGATGCTTCTACTTCCCCTGCTCAACGTCTGTTGCCGCATAACAAAATTTATGCGGATAGGAACGAGCCGCCAGGCTGGCTGAGATTTGAAGGGAGGTGTCTCACTTCCATACTTTCCCCCTGAGCTCCGTATCTCTCTCCAAGTACGAGGATTTCTCAGCCAGCCAAGGAAAAGATCATCATTGCCTATCAATTGCGATATATCTTCAAATTGCAGAGTCAGAAAATTTTGTCAGCTGAAAGTGTCTTGAAGTTTTACACAGTTTTTCTTGTCTTAATCAATAATTCGGTTCCTCCACTTATGCCATGCTTTGAGCTGCGTTTATTATTTCTAAATTGGTACATACATACATGTGCATTCTTACCTCTTGAAAGCAAACTTTTACGGCTTGCCTATGTCATAATAGTACTAGTGTTATAGCGGCTATCGTGGGGTGTTTGTACAAATTTTGCGTATAGGAGGAGGCCGATGGAAGGCAGCCTATCTATTATAATATCATCTCGATCATTCCTAAATCGTAAGATTTCGTGGGTTGACCTGAGATTTGATCTTTGGAGTATGATATTGACCGGCCGCTTCGTTAAGTGGCTGTATTAGGTGAAGCATAGCCGATAAAACATACAAATGCCAACTATTGAGAACTAGTCTTGACACGATATTCTGGAGCTCCATAATTATTCAAATATAGTTGGAGCAAAATGATCAAGCTCCGGGTTCATCGGCTCCTAGATTGTGCAGTACTTTGGTGGGCTTGAGCCTACTCATTTTCCGACACAGATACTCCCGAAATTGGAGAAAGTTATCACCAAGAAAGGGCTATACCAGGGAGATCCAGGTCTCTCATTGTTACTATGAAAACCCCAGTATTTTCAAATTGGCCAATGGCCAAAAAACCTCTGATGCAACTGCAACCTTGAGGGTTGATGTCCATCCTAAATTTGTCAGAATATCAAACGCCAAGTTCCAGAACTATTTCCATTCAGTTGAGCAATGACCATTTTTCGATGGCCAGACTGCAACAGGGGGGTGTTGGTCGTGGATCCAACTTCTTTTGTGAATAATTCAATATCCAAATTCAAACTCCTACATCAAGTCTTACTCGGAGTCACTCCACATCACCTCACTCTATTTTGATTTCTTAATCTATCATCTCTTAATTACTTTTCCATATATTATTGTCCTGTGGCATTAGCTCTTTTACCTCGATCCTTGAGACGCAATTGTTCTCATGAGACCCCCATATCAAAATGGTGCCACGCAAGCATTCTCCATGATCTTCTAGTAAGATGATCGCTTATCCACATCTAGCACTGATGTCGCTTGCTTAGTACGTACTAATTCTAAGATATGCTAAAATTGAAGCTGAATTGGGGTTGTTTGAACATCTTCCTGTCTATCCGTTCCCGCCACAACGTTTTTCTCAAATTAAACAACCGTCCGTGCCGAGTCGCCCCGCTTCAATACCTTCATCGTTGGAAACAAGGGCCTGCTATCTTCATCAAATTACTTGATTAATCTCAGAACTTCATCACATTTTCCTTATTCACCCAAAGCCACGAGGCTAAAATGTGTAATCTTGTCAGATCTTTCTTTCTACCTTCAATTGTACATCAGTATTTTCATTCGAAATGTTCCGTCAATAATGCGTGCCGAAAACGGCTGTTGTTCTCTTTCTCCATTTTCAAAGATTGATAGCTAGAATATCTGTGCTTCATTAGTTTAGGCTCTTTTTGGTCAACTAATAAGAACTAACGAGCCATGGCCACTTTCTACCTGGTCAAATGAATCCGAATTTACCAATTCAGCACTTACTAACTTACTAGTGCAGCCAGAGAAGTGCATAGATTCAGTCACGCTAGTACGCTGCCTATAATGGCAATTCGCTCCGCACATGGGGAATACCTTTGTGTTTTAGCGTCTGGATTCATCGACGGAGTAAAGTCTGATCCACAAGTATCGTGGGGGTCAAACCAACTCCGGTCGGCCTTTCCTATTTGACCCCCGGGCCGCTCTCTGAACATTCCTCTGAAACTTTACGTGAACTTCCTTAGTGCTCACCTAACGTACTAAATTTATATATCCGCGTATACGTACACTATCTACGATAACTTTCTGCACCGCACCTGCGACAAGAAGGTTAATCCACGGCTTATGGATATTCCGAGACACAGGTTAGTTACCGCGGGTGAAGCGATGAATGAATAAATGAGTGACCTTGTAATAGTGACATTCCATGCAATGTACGTATGCACTCAGCAACCTATTCTGGTTTCCAGAAGCAGTAAGACAGGCATGTTCTCCGCACAATACTGCAAGAGAAGCACAGATTACTATAACCCCATGTTTCATCGAGTTTTCTTCCCCATTCTATGTAGTTTACCCACTGATATCATGGAACTAGTAAGCAACATTCAGGGTATACATATCGACCGCAGGGTGATTCTTCTGCGATAACAACATGTCAGCAGCCAAGACTATGTGTTGTGTGACTCTTCAAACGATGGATGAATATGCCTCTTTATCTCAAGCTTCCTCGTGACGATGTTGTTATTCGGGGAAAGGAGCGCATCGTATATGCAATGCTCTATACTTGGGTAATATCATTCGGTATCTGTTCAGTATTTCATGGTTCTCCGGGAGAAGGGGTCTCCTTCTATAGCTGGATAATGGTAGGGCTTGTGCGGCTCTCACCGGTTGATGGATCTGCCCCTCTACCCTGCGTATATCTATCTTGTGCGTTTGAGACATGCTACTATATTATGTTGTGTTTCTGGGTTCTGGGGTGAAGGATAGATTCTAGCAACGCCGGAGGTTCGGTACCAAGCGGGTTAAAATTCTGTTGATTCTGAACTTTGGATTTTATATTTATGCAAATAGTTATATATTAGGCGTTAACTTTGTGCTATTATTTATACTTATCCCAGGCATGATGTTAGCAAATCAGCCTATATTGCTTTCTGTTTTAGCTTGATTCTGGGTTGACCGAGTAATGTGATCACAATATTTGCTTTGCCATTTTGAGGAGAAGTATACACTTCAGCATATTTGTGAAACTGTTAATTATTTATAATCCATATTCGTATATTACACATAGCTAGTTAATAGCACAAAAGACATAATATCATAGCCTTCATAAGCCAGCCCTAATCTCATCTCCAGTGAAAATCTAGACTAATATCGTTATGATCAAAATTATGATACATGTCGTGACATATCGACATGATGGAATGATTATTATGCTTCATCAACAAAATCATGCTAAATCTTACATCTATTTTCACCCCTTTACATGTAGTTTCATAAAATCTATATTCAATTCGCCGCTCCACGCTTCATTTCCGTCCGACGGTCCCTGCTCCTTGCCAAATTGAGATGCAGCCTGAGCAGACCAATATTAAGAATTATAATCAGAATACTGAAGTAATGCAAATGTCTGGATATGTAACTCTGTATAGGTACTTCTATAAGTCGTTGATTCGGGATCAGCTATACAGATTCTAAAAGCCTAACGTCGATTCCAGCCGGACAGGCTTTGTGGCAGTTCAGAGAAGAATTTTGCAAAGATTTATCGAGGTCTTCATAACGATTTTGTGTCTATATTTGCATTAAGTCTATAAATCCTCATATACAAAGGATCCGGGGAAATTTTTATGCTCTTCCGCTATTGCACTTCCAAATGTTGTATTCTCTAATTGAATATCGGAAGCCTCTGAAAGACAACACATACATATCACCAAGAACCCAAAGCCCAAATAAATTCCGCATCACTCAAGCATCTTTGCTACCTCTATCAAAACTGGCCCGGACCTTTCCCAAAGTGCTCACCAGCAGCAACTTTCAAATACGGTACAGAATTCGCATCGTCGGTGTTTGAACCCACGGTATTTCCCCACCAGGTAAGTGTTATATTATTGTATGTGAGAGCGAAGAATATTATGATGGTTGCAAGTGCTGTTCCGGTATCCATGGCTGCTTGGAGGAGATCTAGATGGGAGTGCGTGTTAGATGTGAATAATTCAAGTTTGCGGTAAGGGGTGAGGGTTGAGGGCAGAGATTAAGAATAAGGAATGTACATACAATTATAACGTTTCCACCACGCAAAAGCGCGTTTTCTTATCCAGAAATTGAACAAAAATCCAAATATAAACCACAGCGAATACTGTGTAGTATTTGCCGGAGGAATATTTCCAGCCGCGTTAAAAAAGACAGGGACATTAATATACCGAACCCAACTATTCGGATACTTGCGATAGATGTAGTAAACAATAAGCGTAACAATCGGGCCAATGAGGAAGAAATACATAATGCTATTGTATGTCTCTCCCGCCTGGAACATCCTCTGAGGTCCGATAGCACCCCAGATTAGCGAAGTATTATAGACCACCTTACTTCCCGCACAAGTAAATCTTTGTGTATTTTTTGGATTGCACAGATTTGGAATATGTCCCATCATCCATCTCAATACACCCGTCTGCGTCGCTGTTGCTAGCACAGATGCATAGATTTGTCCGACGAAAAGAACTCTGGGGGGAACTTTCATGTATTGACCTAGTTTGAGGTCTTGAGCGAAATCCATACCGTGTTTAACGGAATTGTATCCATAGCATTTAACCATCATGTTCGCGATAGGTTTACCAGGCCATGCATATCCTGCTATTAGCTCGGCGATGATATTAAGAAAGATGCGCTGGTTGGTTGTGCCTTCGAGAATTCCCTCGGGTACGATGAGAGTGATACCCATGCCGCAACAGACGACAATGAAACCCCAGACTGGTAGACCGGACTCCCAGTATCGGACTGTGAAGATACCGAGGCCGATTACGACGAGACTGAGGACGGCGTACCACCAATCCGGTACTTCCTTGTAGCTGTTCATGAGCCTTTTGTGGATATCTTCACCGCCTGACCGGGAATTTTTGAACTTGGCCCAGATTTCTTTACCGTTGTAGAGGTAGGTATGGAATACTATTGCAGTGACAGCAGCGAAGGATAGAGCGTAGGTCAAGCTGTACGACATGGAGATGTACATTGGAGAGTATTCTTCATATTTGCTCAAAACAAAGTCAAGATTCTCATCCATGACGCGGGAGATGTTGTAAGCTTTACCAGTGTTGTCGAAAGTGCCTGAGGAAAGTAGTGGGAGACTGTTTTCGTTAATTGTGGGTTAAGTGGAAATATGTGATATGAAAACTTACTATCCGCTATTCCAAACATTGCTATAATATAAAATGGGCGATAGAAATAGATAGAAAATCACAACCACAGCGAACGCATTGCAAGTGATGTAAAAAGGTGTTGTCAGAGGAGTACCAGCATATGTAATCTGGGTCCAGTCGAAACTAATTGGTAGTAGACCGAGACCGGAATTCATACCAAAAATAGTATTAACGACTTGATTCTTTGGAACTATCCAAGTGATAAAAGCGAATGTACTCAAACTAGTCCACAGATAATCCGGAAACCAAAAAATAACAAAGGCAATGATGGTAAAGTAGGAGAAGAATCGATATCGAGAAATAGACCAACCATTGGCCGAGAAGTGCTCCTGTGGTTCATGTAAAGTTCGGAAAAGAACAGTCGATGCTAACGAGGAAGGCCAAATGAGAGCAGCAGGGTAGACGAGCCATCTGCGGGCAAGACCTGCTAGACCAAATCCGAGCATTTGCGTTGTTAGGAGAAACAAGAAGGAGAAACCCGCGCCGTTATCATGCTTCCAGTACACAGGACTGATGATTGCTACCAAGGCTCCGCTAGCATAAGCAGCGCTTGCACTAATATTCACACACTTTATGATTATTAGTTTCCTGTGAAGAAAAGACAGACCGGAAATATGATGTCTAGAAAACTTACAATGACAATCAAGGCGTGCTCTTTTATGGAAAATGGTCCTGGATTGATATCGAAGGATAGTGGACCGAGTGGCAGTCTCCATCGAGGTAATTTCTCCCATGCTCGTCCAATAGGAAAGACTAACAATTGCGCCACGACGTATCCAATGCTAAGAGAAGGCTATCGTAGGTCAGTATGGTGAGAAGTATATGATAAGTAGAGGAAGATTCACATACGTATCGTAAGGAAAAAAACTGATTAGCACCAGCGAAGACGATGACAAAGACGGTAGTGAGAAACCAAGCACGAAAAGCTACACAGTTAGAACAACGAGAACAAATATTGTAAAGTAGCACAGCTCCAACTTACTACTACAAGGAATACTTGGATCATCTGTATTCGGCACACAAGCGGCGACCTCGGGAACTAAATGAATCAAGTCAGTAGACTGTAAACCACATGTTACAGCTATGGAGAACTCACAAGGAGATTGATCACCGTCAACATTCCAACGAAAAGCCTCGGTAGGAATAAGTTCAACAGCCTCGACTTTCTCCCGAAGCCTCCGTTTTTCACTTTCGATTCCTTCTCCCTCGAGATTAGCTATGTAGGGGTCAATTGTATCATCTATTCCTCTTTTCGATTCTGAAGTTTGATCATCATTCTTATAACTTTCGTTGTCGAATTGAGCACCAGGTATCTGGGAAGACATCGTAGCGGTAGCCTGCTGGAGATTCCAGCAGCACGAGATAGTATCACGTTAGCGCTAGGAGTAGGATAAAAGACGAGCGAGCCATTTTCAAAATACATGGAATCAGGGCTCGGTATATAAATCGCCATTCTATCAAGATAGAGACCAGTCTCCCTATCCACTCTCTACCGTTGGCAATTGCCATCAACCAAAGAAGTTGCGTGATAAACTCTAGAGGGGGGCAATGGAGTCTTTTGGGAAGAATTTACACCTATTTGGTAGAGATGCTCATAACTTATGGGGTAGATAAGACATGCAATCTTATCTTTTTCCATGTTGAGGTCGAAAGTGATTATAATTACGATGCACGCAAAACTCCACAGAATTACGGCGAAAGGATAAAAATTGCGTGCTCCTAGTGGATGATACTTTGACTAAGTGAAATCTGTTCCTCAAACGAGGAAAATATTCCCCAATATATGATTTGTTCATATGTTTGCCGATGCAGTACCGGTTCAATCACGTCCGTGACCCTAGGAATGGCGTATCTAGAAGCGGGGTTTTTCGAAATCTAAGGATCTCATTGACCACCACTATTAAATTTACCACCTCTATAGTTGAACTCTAAGAAATTATAAAAACTTTAAATTGATTTCAATAACTCCTTCTTATACCTATAGTATTTCTAGATATATACTTGACCAATTTTGAATGTTGAAGAAACTAATCAACCCGTTAAAGACATACTCTCTTGCAGACAATAAATAACTAAGATCTTACATCGCCAAGATAGATAGGAATCACCATTGACGTCATTCGCTGAAGTAGATATATAAAATTAGCACATTCAAACGATTACAGATTAATCGAATAGAAAAGATATAGATCAAAGACCTCCCATTTGAGATCTACATTCTACTATAATTAAATAGAACTAGCTCTCTTATAAAATCACATCTTCTAACTCAAGTTAACCTTGCTATTATATTTAAACGAAATGTACATCACATCACGACAACTACAAAATCAATCAAATCAAACTAAATCTTCAAACTAGATCATTACTCCTCTAAGATCAAGGAACAGCTGAAAAAATTAACTAAGATTACATCTATATAAACCTGCAGGGTATAATACATAGCCCACTGTATTATATTCCCACAAGATAGGACAAGACCAGACAAACCAAATCGAATTCAACCTGAACTACGCCTCTCAATCCCGGGCCGGTAAATTGCACCATCATTCCCCCGTTCTCTCCTCCTCCCTCTTTCTCTCTCCCATGCCTGCCCTTCTCCTCCTCCTCCCCGCCTTCCCATCCACAGCCCACAAACCCCAACCACCCCAAACAATCCCACCACTCCACCCAAACAATCGGGAGAAAAAAGAAGCAAATCCAAAAAATATACAAACAACCCATCCTAAAATCTCAATCTCACTAGATACACGCCGTGCACTACAGCAAGCTCATCACCGTCCGCACACAGAACGAGAGGTCGTTGTGATTTCTCTGGTACTCCTCTGGCGATTCAAACTAAGTAATGGTGTTGATGTGTACTTAGTAGAACGATGAAATATATAATATAATAAATAATACAAAGCAACTACTAAATAAACTATAAACCATCAAACTATCAAACCATCGAACTATCGACTACATACGTATCACCTACACAAGTACCGTATGAATAAAGTTTAACTGAAAAGAAAAAAATTATAATATAATATAGTATAGTACAGTACAGTCCAATACAATGCAGGTACCTAGACAAGGTAATAACTTGGTAACCCGATTGATGGAACGAAAATAAAGAATCCATATCCAGCCCCAAATCCCCAACTCCCAAGCTATGCATTGAGTAGGTATTTAGTGGAGCCATTAACCCTAGAAAAGATGGGATACATGCATGCATACATAAATATGTAAATGTGTAAATGTGAACCCCGTGAAAAAACTCCTTCCCTAGCCCCAGCCGTCCCAAGTCAAAGTAAAGTTGGTATCAAATCAGAAAGTTCAATCAAGGACATGCTACCCTGCCGAGCAGAATTGCTGTCTCTCCATTAGCTTATCTTTCCCCAGATCCTATAAGCATCACGTTCCATATTGCTTAACAATCCTTCCCAGATCTTATTCAAGGCGTATTTTGCTTTGGGAGAAACCGTCACTCCGGCATCACTACGTCTTCGTGGCATCTGTAACATCCGCGGCTGATGATCATCGAAATGTAAAGTGCTGTGTAACCATTCAATCGATGACGACGTAGGCCGTTGGCCTTCCATATAATTCCCTCTTTCCTCCTCCATTCATATTTAAGCCAAGCTAACAAAAATGGCGTTGATAGCAGCTTTATCCCACTTAACATACTTCCCCTTTCCTTTATCAATCTCATAATATTTATCATAAAATCGATCATATAATGGCTTTATCAGACTTGACACTTGTCTTGCCAAAACTTCCCTAACTTCCCTCTCCATCATTAATGACTTATGCCTCTGTACCAATTCATCAAAAGATTGATTAAACATCTTGAATTTCTCCTTAATCTGATCCTTCTCTTTGGAGCCAAGAGCTTTAACAACAGCTGCACTATCAATGCCAGTAGTGCCAGAACCGGATTGTGGGCGTGCATTACCACGGTTTGTGTATTGGACGTCAAGGAGGTAGCCAGATGGTTCACGCCATGCAGCCGTGTAAAGAGTGGTACCAGTTTTGACCCATTTCTCTATCTCTCCAATCCTTGGTGCAAGTAATCCTTTTAACTCACTTCCTTCAATCATGCGCATCACAATTGTTGCATTGTTCGCAACGAAAACTCCTAAAGCAGGTTTACCACCTTTGAGTAATACTTTAGCTTTTTGTTCCAGACTTGAAAGAAGAGCTTCAATCGTGTCAAGGCAGTAGTTTGCAAATATTTGTTTCCCATCTGCATTAACGTCGAAAGAATTAAGAGTAGGAATTTGGTCAGTTGAACCTTGAGGGGTTCCACTAGATTTCCAGCCACCATCACCAATGGAGATCATGATGCTGGAAATAGGTCGAAGAAACTCAACCATGGTTTGTAGCCGCATCATGATTTCAGTGGTCATGGGTACTGTCGCGGCATCAGTGGGTAATACTTGTAGCAGGTTTATCTTTCGCCGGGTATCATCCAGGAGTTCGGCCAGTGAACCTTTGGCAGTTTCTCTTATGGGTTTAAGAGCTGCAGCGAAGGAGGGTTTCAATTCTCCTGTCCTACTTTCCAGGTTTGAAGAGAGATTTGAAATGATTTCAACAATCTCATAGGCAAGATAACAATCAGTTGTCAAGTTCGATTTGATATGGTTATTCAATTCTCGGAGAGTTCGTGATAATTCCGCTATGGCTCCTTGACAAGTCAAATTGAAAACTTTACCCCATTCATCGCGAGTAAAAAGAGCGCATATATTATCGTACTCGGCCAAGAAAGCTCCCTCCATACCCATCGCATACGTTCCAATTCCATTGGTTCCTTGTCGATACACAGCATCCGGTGTCTTCTTCTTTGCGGTATTCATTGATGCGGAGGCTAAATTTTGTAATGTAGTTTTCAAAAATGGACCTCGAACATTTGCATATGATTGCATAACTGGCGATTCCGAAACAAATCCAGATTGTCTAACCACTGACCCAATATAATTCGTAATTAGACCCAATCGTGTAGTTTTGTCCTGAGATAATAGAGGAAATGGCTGATTTTTTGTGATATAGTGTAGAGGTTCGAGTGGTTGTGAATCTTCCTGAAGGAGTCCTTGGAAATACGATTCCAGTTGAGTGTTTCCCGACTTCGACAACTTGCTAAGCTCAACCATGGCTTGTTGATTCGAGCGTAGGTTCGTCCGTTTCATATCTGCGAGAGCTTTATTGACACGTTTAACAGAACTGAGGAATACCGCCAACCCGACCGCTTCCGGGCTATGATGTGTTAGTGATGACTAGAAGCTGTTGATGGTTGTGCGACATACCCTTTCCTAATAATCTCCTCCTCATTGCTTTTGATGTCTGATGGCTGTCGTACTTTCTCGATCGCCGCAATAACTCCATCGATATCTGCGCACATGCGTGAGTGTAAATCAAGTATCTTGGGTGAGCTGAAGCCTACTCTGACCTAAAATTTGAAGCTTTTGAGTATTTCCATAAATGGGACCAATCGCTTCCTGCACCCCCTTTCCTGTCGCATCCAATCTTCCTAAACTTGCTTGAATCTTTTTGGTCAATTGACTCGTTTTCTCCAAACGACTTTTCAATACATCGACTTCCGCTCTCGCTTCCTCGTCGGCAGCTTGTCGTCCTCCTAAGCCGACAGCCATGTTTGATGATGCAAGAGACCACCCTTTTCTACCAACAGGTACGGAGTACATGTTGCATTTGTGGGGGATGAAGGCTAAACTTGAATTGACTAATGAAGGCGGTGAAGTGTGGCAGGGTTTTAATTATGTTGTGGATTGTGGAGTTGGAAGAACATCAAATCGATTGAATAAAGGCATGTGTGCGTGGACTTGTCACATTAGATGGATGAAGTAGATTGAAGGAGATTGTTGGAGGAGAGATGGATGTATAGAGAAAGCACGAAAGCACCAAGGTATTAGCTACGACGGTACCTTGACCTCATTTCCGAAAAGAGTGAATTGGATGGGATGTTTTATTTAATGCTGGTGACGGGAAAAGGAAGGAATGAAAGTACTAAAGCTATTGAAAAAATGACGACCAGCTTATCATCGCCATGACCATTTTTTATCCATTGGACCCACGTAGACGGATACGGTATGGTACTCGGTATCATGATGGAAGATCTTCAAGAGGAGGAAAGGATTCATCACATTGTCATTGTCGTCTCACAAACATGTTGTCGCCGAGATTGCCATTCTATCTCATGTCCTACCTATGCAGGAGTAAGGTTAATGGCCCTTCCCCTTCACATTCTTCAATCACAAGCAAAATTAAATCCGTGGCGTGATTGATAAGAGACTACCGAGCACAAGAGGCAAAGTTACGGTGATGGAAAACAGACAACAGAACCAAACAAAGCAAAGCAAAGCAAAGCATAGCATAGCATAGCATAGCCACATCACATACATATCGACCAAGGCATGGGATATTGAAATTTATCACTCCTTTTCCACTGATTCCCATGGTTCTTTTCTTTTTTTTCCCACTTCCTGCACTTCACTTCACCCCACTGCGTAAACATGGTTCTTCCTACGAAATCCATGCTATTCGTTCGAATTGCAAATCGCATTCGTTTCTTTTTCTTTTCCTCATGTTGACCGCAAAAGTTTCTCGTCGTTTGTTGCGACTTGAACCATCGCATTCATCAAATCCTATCTCATTATGTCGGCCATTAACTTCTACAAAATTAATCAATAGCCATCCCACATCTTACAACATCAGATCACAAACGAGAAGTATTTTCGGATCGTCGAAAAAGGAATCGCAATCCAATATGTCTTCGCACTCTCAATATTCAAGACCTTTGGTGGGGGTGACATCCACGATAATGGCTCTAGGCCTTTTTTATATTCTCTACCAAAATGATTATCTTGTCATACAACCTTTACCTGCTACACGACTCCGCCCCAAGAAATCCCCAACAAAAGAAGAAGAAGAAGCAGAAGCTCGCGCCGAGCGAGAAGCTATCAGGAATGCAAAAGAACTTTCAGTATTACCATTTCAAGAAGATGCTGCAGCGGGGGATGGTTCGGCATGGGGAAGCTTTATTGGCAGATTCAACAATTTCTCTATCATGTCTGATGGGAAATGGAAAAATATCTCAGAAACGGTCGCTGGTTATTCCGATTTTATAATGCCGGAATGGGCCAAACTTTTACCTGGATATATTGAGAAACTGAGAAGAGAATTGAACATGGCACCCGGTTCTTTGGCAGATGAGATATGGAAAGAAGCTCAGGATCCAGATATCAATCCTGAAATCGAACATTCTGCTTCAGTACGAGTTTCGGATGATATTTGTGATGAGGAAAAGATGTTTTTACAAAAGAGAAAACATGCGACGAAAAGAGCTCTGGCGAAATATCTTGGTCTTCCCGAGGAATCCATCCATCCTGATGATGTTCCATGTATTGCTATGGTAGGATCTGGAGGCGGTTTACGAGCTTTGGTGGCTGGTACAGGTTCGATGTTGGCGGCTGGTGAAGATGGTCTATTTGATTGTGTGACTTATACCGCAGGTGTTAGCGGTAGTTGTTGGCTACAATCTCTATTTCATTCATCCCTTAGTGAGCGACGCCTTGATAAATTGGTCGATCATTTGAAAGCTCGAATTGGTGTTCACATTGCCTATCCTGTGGATGCATTATCCGCTCTAAACTCTGCGCCCACCAATAAATTTCTTCTGAGTGGATTCGTTGAAAAGCTCAAAGGAGATCGTAATGCCGATTTTGGTTTGGTGGATGTGTATGGATTACTACTGGCCGCGAGATTACTTGTACCAAAAGGCGAGCTAGGTGTTGATGATCGAGATCTCAAGATATCGAATCAACGAGATTATATAAAAAATGGAGAGAATCCAATGCCTATATATACAGCAGTGCGTCATGAGATACCTATAATGGAGGAGTTAAGTGAGGAAGAGAGGCAGACGGGAACGGCTACCGAGGCCACGAAAGAGAAAGCGATCAGAGAGGCATGGTTTGAATGGTTTGAGATAACTCCTTATGAAATGTTTTGTGAGGAATTTGGGGCGGGAATTCCAACATGGGCCCTTGGTCGAAAATTCGAAGGTGGAAAAGATATACCCGATGAGGAAACAGGATTGCGAACTCCAGAACTTCGATTACCATTGCTTCTTGGGATTTTTGGAAGTGCTTTCTGCGCTACTTTGAGCCACTATTACAGAGAGGTTCGACCTTTGATGAAGGGATTGATGGGATTTGGAAGTATTGATGATATGATTGAAGGACGAAATGAAGATTTAAGCAAAGTTCATCCCATCGATCCAGCTAGTATTCCCAACTTCGCATACAAAATGGAAGGAAAACTCGCGGATACTGCTCCAGAAAGTATTTATCAAAGTACGCATCTTAAGTTAATGGATGCGGGCATGTCTAATAATCTACCCATCTATCCACTACTTCGACCAGGAAGAGAAGTGGACGTGTTGATTGCATTTGATGCAAGTGCGGATGTCAAAACCGATAATTGGTTATCGGTAGTTGATGGATATGCAAGACAGCGTGGCATAAAAGGTTGGCCGATTGGCGTTGGCTGGCCAAGACCAAGCGACACAGCAGCGAAAACAGAAGAACAATTAGAAGAAGCTCAAGCCAGGACCACCTCAGAAGCAGAAGCCAAACTTGAAGAAGCACAAGAGGAACAAATCACACATTTGGAAAATATGACTTCACGCGAGCAAAATTCAAAGAGCACAGACGCAGAAGGTAGTGGTGATTTGGGTTATTGTACAGTTTGGGTGGGTACCACGGAAGAACGTAAAGAAACAGATGAACCACCATTATCTAAAGCGGTGAAGGAAGAATGGCAATTAATGGAACCGGATGCAGGTATCGCAGTAGTTTATTTACCATTTCTTGCAAATCCCAAGGTAGAGGGTGTTGATCCGGCTATCAGCGAGTATATGAGTACGTGGAATTTTGTATATACTCCGGATGATATAGATAATGTGGTGAAATTAGCAAAAGCGAATTTCGAAGAGGGAAAAGAACAAGTTAGAGGGACGATACGAGCGGTTTATGAGAGAAAGAAGAGAATTAGAGAGGGAAGGGAAGCGAGGGAACGAGAAGAGAGATTTAAAAGGAAAATGAGATTAGGAACTGTTGGGAAGAAGGGGGAAGGAGATCATTTTTATTTGACTTGAGAGGGGAAATTGAGATTGAGTATCGTAGATGAATTGATAGAATGTGTATGTATATATAAAATAGAATAAATGATATCTTAAAACAATGACAATTACAAGTCAATTAAATTCTTCTGAATTAATAAATACTTGATAAATGTTTAATAATAAAATTATTATTTATTTATTTAATATTAATAAATTCAATTCAATTCAATTTAATTTCAAATAAACAATTATAATCTATTTACTTTGTTATAGATAGTCTTAAGATTAAATATATATATAAATACTAGAGTTTTTGATACATTGGCTACTTATTACCGATTTATATTGGTGCGGAGCGGTGCGGAGCGGTGCGGTGCGGGTTCGGAAGAAAGAAGCAAGGCGCGGTGTTCGCCGATTGGTTGGTGGTGGATGACGTGATGTGATGTGAGTGAGAGGTTTGTGAGGCGGTAAGGATGTATGTATACAATTGGGATTGGGATTATAGGGTAGGTTAGATTTGTGTGCGGAGGTATGATGAAGGTATTGAGTACTGAGAGATAGATGGTGATGATAATGAGAAGGAGATTATGAGGATTGGTGGAACTGGCAAGGAAAGGGAGGGAAGGGAAGTACCGTAGTATAGAGCCGCAATGATAAAGTACAAAGTACAGAATACGAACTACAGATAGAGAACAGATAGAGCCTCTCATGATATAATACACTCGGTACGTATGTAGGTGGATGAGATGGATTTGTCTAACTTGATTTTTGTTTGGATGGGAGGGGTAGGCGAGGATGATGTAAGTTAGATGGGATGTGGATGTGATGTGGATGGGATTTTCGGGATGGGATTTTTGGGGGTGCTGGGTTTGGAGGGGAAGGGAAGGGAACGGACGGAGGAGTATGTGGAGAGGGGAGGGAGGAGCAGGGAGGAGCAGGGAGGAGAGAGGGAAGAGGATTGAAGAGGAGGGAAGAAGAGAAGGAGAACAGGTGATGGGGAATGTATTGATTGGTAGTTTCGAGGGAATATTTTCAAGTGAGAGATATTGTTGTCCTAATATTCTAATATCAATTTTCGGCTCAGATGTTAGTTTGTTTTAGTGATAAGTTTTGATGTGTGGTCGGTTATCTTGTTGATACAAAATCGGCTTCACTTTCTACTAAGTTAATAATACTAGATTAAAGAAGATCTGTCAACGATTTTATTTTATACAGAAATATATATATATATACGACCAAAGTACAATTATTATCTAACGCCTATCCACTCAAGAAAGATGTATAACAAGAATCATCAGTCAAAATCAACACCAAATCAACCAACCAACCAAAAATAACCAATGATGACCTGACTAACCAACACATCGGCTTAAAAAAACCAAAAGATCAGCAACGCTGAGGAGAACCCTGAAAATACCCTCTGAATACGACCCTGCACAGCCACTCACGGCCTGAAATAATTGGGGATTTCCTTGAGGTTCTGTGCGGTTCCTGGCTAATGGATGAAGAATTGGCTGATATTGTGATGATCTTTTTCACAAATGAAGGATGGATGGCAATTGAGCACGCGAGCAATTTGAATCGAATAAATAGAAGATTATTGTACAGTATTAGATACCTAATAACGACTGAAAAATCACATCATTTTTCTATGCTAGCTACAGGATGTCCCTTACCTTCGGTTATGAGATGAGATAATATAATATATACATACTCACTTCCGTACCGAATACGATAATCATTCATCTTCATGCACGAGACATTTGGGACGAGCGAGCACCCACCCTAGTTACTTCTTGTTTGGACGGTGAAGAAGGAGTGGATGTGGGATCTAGGTAGCGGTAGCGGTACTATAATTTATATTATTATGATGGATGGATGGATGGAACAGCGAGCGAGCCGGGTGGAATTTGGCACGTATTAAGTGGTAATGGTAATTACGAGGAGCTTACAAGTCGTACCGAGGAGAGGGGTTGTTGGTGGATGGGATGACGAGAGAAGAGGTTGTATTGAGCTGTTAGTGGCCGTTCGGTGTGTAGGGCGTGAGGAATGATGGGTATTTGGGTTGGTTTGGGTGGTTTGGGTGGGTTGGGTGGAAGGAATCAGTGGCTTGGGGGTACGAGGTTTGGTGGGTGGGGAGAGAGCTGAGGATTAGCTATAGGTAGGTTGTAGGTATGCAGATGTTGCAGATGTGCAGATGTGCAGATGTGCAGATGTGCAGTTGGATGGGTGTGCAGATGAGATGGACAGGTGGATATTGAAAGGACTTGTTTGAACATACGCATTAATGTGGTGTACCTATCATTGGTGCTATATAAACTTACGAGATGTGGAGGAAGATCGCGTGATGTATCTTAGAGCCTTATGGAAAGACCGAAGAAGTATTTTCACTGGTATGTATGGTTGTGGGAGGTTGGCGAGAATGAGGGGGGGGGTTGATGATATTTTGTATAGGGCGAGATAGATAGTAGAGGTGTAGAGGTGATTGATTAAACTGGCATCTATCTACATGTAGATATATGCCCAATTCAATTCCAAGGGTTCACCAGGTTGATACGAATCACGACCAAGCAATTCAGAATGAAATGAGATAAACATATTTTCATCCCAAACATCATCTACTCGGTATAAAATCAAGTTAATCCCGTTTTCCCGTTTTCGCATCCTGACGTCCACCCATTTTACCACAAGAAATAATCTTCCATTCCCCATAAAAACAATCCATCCACAATTCTTATAAGCTACCTATGTATGGGCACATACGATGGGTGGGTGTAGCTACTCCGCTCACCGATGTTAACTCGAGTTCCTGCATTCATTACTCTAACCTTGACAATGAAATGAAATATATAGAGGTCTGACAATCCCGCTCGTTTTCCTTTTAATCAAGTGTAAGTTTTCCTCATTCAAGTATAAAATATAAAAACTTCTTTGTGCTGTTTAATTCAATTGAATTTGATTGTTCTTGTTTCTTGTTTTATTACTCTGCAAGTTGAAAAGGTGCATTCTCACTGTCACTGTCACATTCACAAAGAAACTCGACTTGGCAGGACCCAAATATCGAATCAATCAGCGAGCGGGCAAGCAAGCAAGCAAGCAAGCAAGCAAGCAAGCAAGCCAAAGAAAGAACTATCAATCTCGCATTATCTGAAGGAGGAAAGAAGTGGAAGCGGACATTCGAATTGGAATCACATCAATCACAAGCCTTCATTCATATAACGTAGAAAAAGAGCCTCGAAAGTTATATCCCTTCATGAGACTTACACTTTCTACCTCCACTCCAATATTACAACTTGATACATTCCACAGTCTCGATTTCAACACATGCCAACGTCGGTCCCTTCCAACTACGTAACCAACCTCTCGTTTATCTCCAGCTACTACATCAATCTCTAAGTTTCAGTCGACGTCTTCAATTATGAATCCAACAATGTCACCACCACTTTCAATGTCCTCGCGAAAAAGATCCTCCTCAGTATCCTCAATTGAATCTTTTGATTCGGATTTCTTCGATCAAACTTATGTACCACTCTCGAATTTACCAACTCCACCTTTATCTTCACATTCATACGATAATACAGCCGCACATTCACCCATATCTCTTTTCAGCTCAGATGAAATCCTTGACTCGGAATTTTTAGGTGTGTAACCTTCCTGATTCATTCAGTCCATTCAGCCCATTCCTGCACTCATCAGCTTTTTCTGCAGAACATTCAGGCTAATTTGTTTCGTGAAACTCTAGGTCCAGCAATTCATCTCACAAATCTAATACCTTCCTCGACTTCTCTAACTTCTCCCTCGACCCCTCTCGTCCACGCCCTGCTAAGTAGAGCCGACCTTCCGATTGAAATTCTAGCCCTGGCAGTTTGCATTCTCGATTCCCTCAATTCTCGTTTTGCTCGGTCGTGGCGTCAATCATACCCTCTCGAATCATTCGAAGATCAATTACTCGAACAATATAATTTTCCTAGTTTACAAGCTAGGGAGGAACAACATATTGATAGTACACATCCTGAGGTAATAATCCTTGCAGCCTTGATACTAGCTACGAAATTCTTAGATGATCAACAAGGAACTACACTCTATTATGCGCAAAAATGGGCAAAAGGTTTATGGAGCTGTGATCAAATCAATTTTACTCAGAGGTGTATAATGGAAAATTTGGGATATAGATTATTACCACTTTGGTCGGAAGATATTATTGAAGAAGCGAAGAATGATATGGCGAGGGCAGCGAAAAGACAATCATCCGCGTCGTATTGTATGCAAGATTGGTCGGTTTCGATGAAAAATTGTGGTATGAGTGGGATTGATAATCGTCCAATGAGTTCGGGAAAAGCATGCATGGGTATTGAGGGGGAAAATACGCCACAGCCTACACCAATTGAAGAATCGATGATTGAGAATTGGACGATGGTGAATGAGAAGCCATTGGGCGGTACTTCGATGTTGAGTAGGGAGACTAAGAGGGCTTTTTCTGGAATCCTGAGAGGAGATTTTGAAGACGTAGAGGTGGAAAGGTTTCCATTATATGTGGATTCTATGATCGGTCATGGAAGTATGGCCTTTCTTTGAGCGAGTTGGAGTAGTGTCTTTATGTTATCATCACGACGTTATGACTTTAATTGGAAGCCCTAACTCAAGCCAAGGATCGCCTAAAGCATTTCTACGAGCATTCCATCACAAGACACACGGCACGTTTTTTTTATGGAGTTATGCTTATGGGAACTAACTTGGCATCGGTTGGTTGGATTGAAAAGGCATGGCATGACATGGCATGGAAAAGGCGCTTTATACCTAGGAAGATGAAGACGAAGATTAAGGTCTTGGTTTCCTTGCTTTGCTTACTTGGTTTGTTTTGCTTGTTTGACTGGTTTGAACAATGCAAATAAGATGAGGTTGTCTGAGTTAAATACTTAAATACCTGATTACTTGATAATATTAATATTAATATTAATGTTAGTATTAATATTAATTATAAATATTAATATTAAATTTTAATTTTATATTATTTCTATATCTTGTTTTAAATGTTTTTTTTTATTTTAAATTTTTTAATCTTTTTAATTATCAACTTGCCAATATTAAAACTTTGTTGTATACAAGATTTACTCAATGTAGATAATAAAAAATAAAAAACTCATTTAAATAAGTCGCGATCTTGATAATCTGATTGATTTAAAATACCCCGGTAAATAATCTAACAAAAATTTTAATATAAGCTTTACAATTTTAAACAAATCTGATTTAAAACTTTTTTTAATTCTATTAAAATCATTCAACTTTATTTATTCAATTTAATTTATTTAATTTATAATAATAATAATAATAATAATAATAATAATAATAATAATAATAATATTTTAATTTTCAATTATTAAAAACAAGTCAATATTCCGCCTGTACCCTGATATGTATTGAATATTTAAATTTATTATAGACTTTTTAAAATTTAAATTTTTATTAGACTTTCTCGAAAAGCCAGGGGTCCGGGGGGCGCAGGCCTATGGTAATACTCACTCATTGTTACAAGGGATGCGATCTAGATCACATGGAAATGGCCTGGATCCTCGAATGGTTTATAATTAAACATCAAACAAAGACTTTAAATAATATCAATAGTTACAATTTGTAATTAATAATAGAGTATACTAAATGATTAATCTTGAATATAAAGTTTTACAAAAGGAATTCTTTTTTAATTATATAGATTTTTGTATCAATTGAATTATAAAGATCTAGTAGATCTAGAATATGATTCTTTAGATCCTTTAGATCTTTATGATTCATTATATGATTAGGATCAGATTATATGTCCGAGCTTGCTGAGAGTGGGGAGACTATATAAGTCGATTACTATACAAATTTGTATACAAATTATCTTGTTTTTCGATGGAACTTAAGTTTATGTGGACAGGTTGACTGTTACCCTGTAACACTCATTTATGTTTTTCTTTATATCTAATTAATATTATATGATTATATCGATCTTATTATTCTTTACAAAACTCTATCTATTTCATCTGTTTTCTTATCAGAATGATCATCGGCTAGATATTCAATTAGATCTTATATATATAAAATCTTTGATCAATAAAATCAAGAACAAATTTATTTATTTCAATATAACTTTATATACTTTTATATATCATCCTCTTCAAGATTGTTTATATACTTTGTGATTATACTATCTATGATAAATAATAATATTTAATTCTTTTATATAAATATAAATTATCTTTTTAATTTGAATATATTAATATTTAATTTATTTTCAAAAGATAATTTCAGTTTTAATATATATATTATATTTAATTAAAATGATAATAAATTTTTATATATATTTTTGAAAATATTAAAATATAAAAATTACAAAATATTTCTTTTTGATATATAAAAAAACAATTTTAATATAATCAAAAGATTAAATATTAATTTTGAATAAAATAAAATATAGTTTTTTAATTATTTTAAATTATATATAAAAAACAATTATTGATAAATTATTTTATATTTAATAAAAAAATTTAAAATGGATTATATAAAAATAATTTATAAATTATTTGTTTTATAAATTATTTATTAAATTTATAATTTGTTTTATAAAACTCTATTAGGATTTTAAAATAATTTATAAATAAAAATAATTTATATAAAACTAATATAAAAATTTAAAGGAATATTTATTTTATCAATAATTTGTAAATAAATAATTTATTTATTTATAAATCAATAGACTATTTATTCAGATTTTTCAATAATTTGTTCTACAAATGGATTATCTATAAATTACCCGCCAGAGCAATAATCCGCCATGGAGCCCTATTACACAGTCTAATTTGAAGTCAGATTCAAACATTATTAGTTATTTTATATATTATAATCGTGAGTTTTTACTGACTTATACAGGAGAGCTAGCTGTGGACAATACTCCGCTTTTAGTTTACACTTGAATTAAACATCAAGGTACTATTGTGAGAAAGTTGGAATTATAGGCCAAATACATAAAGGTTTTAGCTAGTCAATCATATGATCTTCTGTAGTTAGATATAAAAGAAGAGCTTTTTGCCTCTTCTTTTCACAATAATCAATCTTCTATATATATACATTTGAACTCATATAGCATCAATCCCAAAATCATTGTGAACCCCGTTTTACTCATAAGTGATATATTACAATATAATCTAATTCAGCTTTCTCTTCCAATTCCCTCCTCACAGTGTGTTATCGGGACGCACGTATCTCGACCTACCACTTTTACATTATGAGATGAAAATGAGAATATATAAGAGAACCCTTTACGTTCCATGATGCTAAGCATTAATAAAGTACCGAAGAAATATTAATATATAATAATTAGATTACACAAGTTCTATATTGTGAGGAAAAGTAAATATTAAAGAAAGACTTTGTATCTGGCTATAGATAGAATAAAGCCGGTTAGATTATAAGAGTTTGTTGACGACAATAAGAGAAAAGATTAAAGGTAGAGTTTGACAGCAATACATGAATTCCGAAGCTACATTCATTCTGACTGCGGAATACCAATGGAGCATCACATTCTGTATCATTAACACGAGCAAAGAAAAGCGGGGGAGAAGAAAGAGATATCGAAATCCGAGTATATTTTAATTGACTAGATATTTTGATCATGAAGTGCCAAGAATTACATAGAGAGGTTCATCACAAATTCTATAGTTAACTCTCCATTTAGGTTAATCAGATATTTTTATACCTATCTCTCAACTCTCTATGTACCTCGCTACACAAAGCTACCAAGGATCTAATCGCTGAAACTAGCCGAGGTGGTCATAAAAAATAAGCGAAAGATGCCACAATTAGCACCTTCGCCAGCTTTGAGGATTTTATTACTAGTACTATATTATAAGAGAATCTATAATCCATCATCTCAAATCGTCAAGTCAAAAGATATAAGGCGCTTTTTGGCTTCTAGAAATAATATATACTTTTCATACAAAAGCTATGGATATCTTTCGTATGTCTTTGATATTTCGATGATGAATATTGAAGTTCCTTATTACGGTTTGTGTCATCGATTATGAGAGGAAGGATGTATAATGACAACTATGCCTCCCAGGAGTATCGCATATCAATAGCAAAAGAGAAATTTCGATAGCTACTTTTGTTAAGGATATGAAATATCACTAAAAGGAAGTTGCACAGATATCTCATAAGTTTGAAGATATGATCTTGCGGCGACTGGGTATGATTGTCTTTCACTCCGTATTGCCTCTATTGTTTTGTTAAATGACTTTGAGTTAAGTTCACATTTCCAAACACAGTTTTATACATAGATACGAAACCCACAGCCTGAAATCCAGGACAGGCTTGAAAGTAATGCTGTCCCAGCCTCCAAATTAGTTATAGAAGCATTTCCCTCGTTGATTTCCAGTTTGTGGAAGTGTATATTATTGTGTTGGATTATCATAAAAGCAAGAACATCAATCAAAAAAGCGGCTCGTAACAAGGAATAGAACTATCACCCTACAGTCTGTATAGTATAATGCTAAGAAAATAGTATTAATTTCCTGAATCTCCAATCATTAAAGACTTTTTGATATCTGTAACAAATATGTATCTCCAAGGCTATATACTCAAGATCATATTATATAATAATCATCTACCAGCACATCTTCTTAAAGTAATAGTATAGCGATCCCAATTCGGCGATATATTAAATTATTGGCAACGAAAAGCAAAATCAGATTAGAATTGTGACCAGAATTCTCAAATGGAAATAACTATAAAAATGTGTACACAAACATCAAAGAAAAGATATAAAATTACACCTTGTATCTGGTTGGCAATTCATTCTAATTCCATCAAGGATTGCGTTAAGGCTTAATGAGATGTTTTTATATCACCTTTTCTGAATTCGCTTTTCACCCTTTGAATCTACCATCCGAGAATCCCGAGTATATCTAGTTACGATTAGTATAATACTATGATATACAAGAAAAATCCCAAAATATCTAGAATCTCTAAATATACAATGAATGATTAAAGTCCCTTTGGAAAGTGTTTATGATTAGTTCTATATTCTTTAATATGTATGTTGAAATATAAAGCCTTTAATATGCCCTGATATTCCGATATCCAGATCTCGTCATTGAAATGGGGATAATTGTTGATCTTGATTATCTGGATAATGATGAAACTAATATCAACGACGAATGGAAGAGTAATAATGATTAATGGGAAAGAAATAGACGGCTTGACAGCGAAGGAAGAAGACATAATGCGATAATAAACATAGTGACGCACCACTCTGTGACACTACCTTAACCATTGCGATGATGACTATTAATTACTAAGTTCTTCTCAAAATAATCGTTGCGTCCTTGACTTTTGTACTTCCTGTTAAAATAACTCTCACGTAAAATCCGTCTTCGATGATTAAGCTCAAGTGTCTTTCCTCCTTATTTTATAATTATCTTGATTGCAACAACTTCATGCTGTAAAAGTGGTAGGTCGAGATATGTGCGTCCCGATAGTATACTGTGAAAGGGAATTGGAAAAGAAAGCTGATTAGATCATATTGTAATATATTTATTTATAAAGAAAACAAAGTATATAATAATTTTGAAATTAAAATTATATAGATTCAAATATATATATATAAAATTGATTATTATAAAAAGAAGAAATAAAAGCTCTCTTTTTATATCTAATTATAAAAAGTTATATAATTGATTAATTAAAAACCTTTATTTATATAGTCTATAATTTTAACTTTCTCACAATACTTAAAAATAAAAACACATCACATCGACATTACGAACTTCCCTATGACACGTAATATATTCAAGAATCATTAACTGTGTAATTCCCGACAACTCCGATGCCATTCAAAAAAGACCAAACATTTACTACACAATCTAAACGGATTAGCGGCGCCTTGAGCTTTATCGAAGGAATTTATTCTGTGGATATCATCCTGTTTTTCTCTATTCGAGGATAACACTAAACTATTAGAGGTATTCCAAAATTCATACTACCCTGACTGAACATAAACTATCAACGAGAATATCTCGAAAAATATGGCAAAGTCAAAGTATTGACAGTAATAACGAGAGACGATTGAGAATTGTACAGAAAATTCACCTTCATGGACCTGAATCTCGCCCTCATGCTCGGTTACAGCCCGCTTGAAAGGTCGCACTGCGAGCTACAGTAGACTGTCGAAGCCCCCAAAATAGAGCATTTTATCCACCCCTCTCGACCATATTCTACAATTTTAGAAAAATAAATCTGATACATACTAGATCTTATTACGCAATAATAGTGCATACAAAATTCGGGTGGTATTAATAGCATAAAGTGTACACCTTCCTCGATTCTTAAAACGCGCAGCAACAGTAGTAAACTAATAAAAGGTTCCAGGCGGTAAGATATTCCATCCTAGAAAATAGAGGAGGCTCAAAATCGTCTTGGTGTATGAATACTTCGTTGATTCCATTTATTTGGGAGAGATGGTAACACCCTACTTCCACGTTCTAATCTGGCGCCGACACCCAAAGATTAGTGGCAAGAAGTTGAAATTCTTTAAGCGAATAGGAATTGATAACAATAACGACCGTAATTTCGGTGGATTAAAGTCAACGAAAGCAACTACTAATGCTTCGGCTCAAATTTGTAGCAAGAAAATTAGATGACGACTTGGTAATCACACTTAGTTGTGAATTAATCGATTACAGCTATCTCTGTTCAAAGCTCCGAAGTCTTGCTTGTTCGCATGAAATATATACTGTACCGGCTTCAAAATCAAAGATATTAAGAACAAGTTATTCAGACAACTAGGCCCCTTTTATATGCTGACTTTTCTCTCGCTTCTTCTTGTGCTTTGGTGGCACCCGACGATTTCATTAAAAGCAGGTGAGATGATCAATAACCGACCGGCCAGTCTTATAAATATACTTCCCCTTAATGATCAGCCTCTTCTTTTCGTACCAATGGACATTGGGCATTAAGTCTGGGCCAAGAAAAGATGACTGAGAAAGTGAAGAGAATATAGGCATACAAACACCGCCAAGCCATCCTAATCTATCGAAAAGAGCTGAGAATCGGCAAGCAATGCTAAAAAATCATGCTGACTAGTTTCGACAGTGATGAACGTGTAACGAGTGGACCGAGGGGCGTCTACACGCTAGCTCATTACTATTAGTATAGCGCCCCGCATGTTTTCTTGCGACTACCCTATCATATTAATAAAAATGTGACAGTGGTAAGTGTCAGTGACAATGGCAGCACGGCCACGGAAATTGTCGAAAACAATCCTTTTCGCCTCAATAGTGCTTGAATTGGAGCTTTGATAATAGTAAGTTGGACTTTTTAAATATACGTTATGAAAGGTAGATATAACACAGACTCGAATATGTGTGATTAGAATTGAGAGGAACTTTCCCTGCCGTGCTTTTCATTCAAATGCTCTACTGCATAGTATACACAATTGCCGCTGTCTCGAAATATTTCGCCATCGTGCACTGGCGCAGAGGCTGTGGAGTCGCCGGGTGGACCTCCAGAATCTCGAACTGCGAATCTGCCCTGTGAATGCACATGTTGAGTAGGTAGCCATGATTTTTGATCATTGAAGAGCTCGTTTATTTGGGCAATGAGCTTGTGAGAACCAAGGCACAATCTTCACCGCACCCAAAGAAACAAAGTAGAGTTGACGGCCATTAATTCTGCTTTCTGGATATCACTTGATATCGAGAGGCAAGAGAGCCATGAGAACCATGAGAGCCATCTGAATATAGGCCGCTGTTGACAAGAATGAGCTGGATGAACAATGAAGCAGAGTGGGATTAATTAGCCTTGATATATCTCTGTTGGCCAAGATAAGCAGGATACTTCAAAACATCGTTTTGGATGGTTTATACCTTTCAATGTCGTGGTGATTTCGAAATAAATATGTTTCGATACACAGATCGAATCTCTCCTTGAAAGTCCAAGGAGGAGGATAGATAGTTTTGCTTCTCTTAAGTAGGAAGTGCACGGAAGTTGATGGGCATTATCGTACACCGGATCTTTGATAAGAAGTAAGAAGCTGATGCCGGCACTTCACAAAATGGATCTGAGACGGATCACATGTCAATTCAAATCCGACAAGTTTATACTCGCGATGTTGGTGGTCACAGCTGGTTAAATATATCCGATGATAGGCGCGACCATAATACGATTGATAGATATATGATGCCTCTTCATGAATCCAATGTTTCTCTGCCGGATGACCGAGGATATACGAATACCTATATGAAGACCTTGTCTGTACGGCGGAGGAGTATTGACATTGTGGGGTTGTCAGAGCTTTTTTTTTTGCCTCGGTACTCGCTTCATGTTCATGTTTCAATGAAAAAGATCCCGAAGTGACCAAGGCGATTTGACTTATTCCCTATGTACCTAATTGGCAACCAACCATAACTCTGCCTACTCTATCTAAAGGAAGACATAATCCACCAACTCCCTGCTACTTCCACAAGCATAGTTTCCCTTTAATTTCCTCTTCCATAAAACTCTCTACTCTCTCCTGTTCCAAGGAAACGTCGTTGGTATGTTGAAGTTGCTGGCAAAAGGTCGTACTCAGTCTCCGGTGCTCAGAAATAGTTTTACGTGTACAAGAATTTCAAGAGTATGTTATGTATCATCTTTTATCATCTTTTCAGAAACTTACAAGATATTGCAGACTCTAGGTATGGCACCAGCAAATGCGCGGAGCAATAGCTCTCTTCCAGCAGGTATGAACACATACATTCCTTTTCACACCCGGCTACAAAGGATGCCATAGTTGACAATATTGCATGACAGGCTATAAGGAAGACTCATCTAAAGGTCCCATGCTACGATTTGAGGAATCACTCCCAAAACTTCCAGTTCCTACGTTAGAAGAGACAGCTGTTCGATATCTCAAATCAGTACATCCCTTGGTTACTTCTGCCGAGCTACAAACCACCACAAAAGCTGTTCAGGAATTCATAAAGCCAGGCGGAATCGGTAGCAAACTCCAAGAGAAATTAATCGCTCGTCGAGAGGATTCAAAACACAAGAATTGGTTATATGAGTGGTGGAATGATGCAGCATATTTGAGCTACAGAGATCCAGTCGTTCCATATGTCAGCTACTTTTATTCCCACCGAGATGATAGAAGGCGGCGCGATCCATCAAAGAGAGCTGCTGCCATCAGTACTGCAGTTTTGGAATTCAAGAAACAAGTGGATGGTGGAACTTTGGAACCTGAATACATGAAGAAGCTACCAATCTCTATGGAAAGCTATCAATGGATGTTCAACGCTAGTCGAGTTCCAGCAAAGCCAGCAGATCATCCGATTAAATATTCTGCGGAGGAGAACAAACACATTTTGGTCATTCGCAAAAACCAATTTTTCAAGGTTATGCATGAAGTTGATGGACAACAATTGAACACCTCTGAGTTGGAACAACAATTCAAGCGCATTTACGAGAAGGCCGAAAGTACACCAGCAGTCGGAATTCTTACTTCTGAGAATCGCGATATTTGGACTGATGCTCGTGAAGTTCTTCTCCAGGCAAACCCAACAAACGCAAAGATTCTCAGAGACATCGAATCTGCTTCATTTGTTGTTTGCTTAGATGATGCTGCTCCAGTTACTCTCGAAGAGCGGGCCCATCAATACTGGCACGGTGATGGCGCAAACCGTTGGTTTGACAAACCTCTCCAATTCATCATCAACAACAATGGTACATCCGGTTTCATGGGTGAGCACTCTATGATGGACGGAACACCTACACATCGTTTGAATGACTACGTAAATGAAGTAATCTTCAGCAACAAACTCGATTTCTCCAACCCATCCGTCCGTTCCAATATTCCCGAACCAACCCCCCTCAAATTCCACATTACAAAAGAGGTTCAATCAGAAATTGAGCGCGCAACAAAGGATTTTACCGAAGTCATCGCCGCTCACGAACTTCGTGTTCAAGCTTACCAAGGTTATGGTAAAGGACTCATCAAAAAATTCAAATGCTCACCTGATGCTTATGTACAAATGATTATCCAACTTGCCTATTTCAAAATGTACGGTAAAAACAGACCTACATACGAAAGTGCCGCAACCCGTCGTTTCCAACAAGGACGTACTGAAACATGTCGTTCTGTCTCCGACGACTCGGTCGCTTTCTGCAAAGCTATCTCCGACCATACCGTCGAACCATCTAAAGCTATTGCTGCATTCCGCGCAGCTATTAACTCGCATGTTGAATATATTACAGCAGCCAGTGATGGCAAGGGTGTAGATCGTCACTTATTCGGATTAAAGAAATTGTTGGAACCAGGAGAAGAGCTTCCTGCTATTTTCAAAGATCCTACTTATTCTTACAGTAGTAAATGGTTTATTTCGAGTAGTCAGTTGAGCTCGGAATATTTTAATGGATATGGATGGAGTCAAGTGGTTGATGATGGATGGGGAATTGCTTATATGATTAATGAGAACAGGTATGTTTTTTGCTCTGTTCTGGTCATTCCTTTTTCCTTTTCTTCCCCCCTTATCTTACTTCTGGATGAAGATGGATCTTGGAGAAAAACAAAACTAACAATAAAATAGCATCCAATTCAACGTCGTATCAAAGGGTCTCGGTTCAGAAAGAATGAGCTTTTATCTTAATGAGGCAGCGGGAGATATTAGAGATCTTTTGATACCTACATTAGAACCAGCTAAAGCTAAGTTGTAAATATGTTTGGAGATGGAGGCATGAGGATGAAGAAGTTAACTAGATGAAGTGAGTTTAGAGGAAAGGGAGAGCAGAGACAAATGAATAAGAAGAATAGATAGACATGATACGAAGCGGTATTATGATAATTGTATAAAGATATTAGATATATTTCAATAGATTTCTAGTGTCTAAGTTTAGATAAAAAAGATAAAAAAGAAAATGAAAATAGAAAGTGAATAGTTTACTTAGTAGTTATTTGATTATTTACCTAGTTAGATCTTTTAATGACAGGGATTTGTTATTATTATAAGAATAATATATAATAATAACTTAAATATATATCTACATCTTTAATCCTTTAGTTTATTTATATATTCATATATATAATGATTTTATCTCATCATATTCCATCTAGGCTTTAGGATGTATAATACAGTGTCTTTCTTCATACAAATCGAATATCACATATCGATCATGCACTTGCCTATGCCATCTGCTCGTCTTACTCTACTTCTTTTGAAACCCTTCACTATCTGCTTTCAATACCTTCCGTACACTGCCCATCTACATATGTATCACTCTCTACCTCCTTCTCAAATACCAATTATGCGCCAACTGCAGGAGCTCCATCGAAAATGGACTAGGAACTTCACTCAACCCTGGTCTCGCCACGGGATGTCTAAGGTAAACCGCACTACAAATCTTCTGATTAACCTCTAGATACCTAGGAATAAATGCAAAGGCACTCATGTAAGGTCTTGGTTGCCAAGGGGTCATATAAGGTTTCGATTCATCAATTGGATTTTCCTTCGCTCGTTGAATTGCCAATTTTAATTTTTGTTGGTAATCAGGTGCTTCTTCTGCATTGATGACTGCTGGAGCTCCTGCAGCAAGCGTTTCCAAATCTTCGGATTTGGCGAGTTTGGTTGTGTAGGAGTTGAGGATGGAGGTTAGGTCGGCGACGGATTTGCGGTTTAGTTGTGAGAGGGTGGCTCGAATTTCGCGCTTGAGTTTGCGGAGGGCGATCTTGCGTTTGCCAGAGGGGGAATTTTTGCTATCGGTCAGGAGAACATCGGCGTGTTCCTGAAGAGTTCGAAATTCCATGCGGAGTCTGTCCTTTTCGTCCTTTTCTTTGGATTCAGGCGTTTCTTTAGGAGTTGTGGTTTCTCCTCCTTCCTCTCTTGCGACGGCGGCGGCAGCTTCTTTTTCTTTTTTGGCGGCGGCATTTTTGGCCTTTTGATCATTCATTGCGCGGAGGGACCTTCTGAGACCTCGGCCACTTTTGATTTGGTCTGCGGTTTTTGGAGCACCAGTTGCGAAAAGTACTCTATCAATGTCTACTTGGAACATGTCTCCTGGGTTTAGAAGATATCCTGGATATGGCATCTAATATTGTGTGAGTGAATAGTAAAGCCTAGCCTCAGATACAACTGATTCCATACCTTCTTCCCATTGACCTTAACCTTTCCATGCACCACGAATTGTCTTGCTTGTCTCGTACTACTTGCAAATAACGCTCTGAAGATGGCCGTGTCCAATCGTCTTTCGATAGGTGCGTAGACCATGGACATATAAGGTATTTGATTCCTGTTGAATTGTGCGGCACTCCCGGTACCTTTTGGTCTCTCTAATCCAGATCCTCGTCCAGCAGCCAATTCAGAACCATCATGTTCAGCTAAATATTTATAATCCATAGGGATAACGGCTTTCGCTCTCGGTCTAAACATTCTTGTCCATTGCCCCTCTCGAATTTGTTCTCCGTGATATGCTCGACTCAACGACTTTGCTTTCCATTTTTGCTGAAAGAAGGTGTTACCCTCCGGCCTGGGCTTGTATCTTGACAGATTGTATAAATTGATTTTATTCCATGTTTGACGGATTTTCTATGAGAACAATTAAGTGTCAGCTCGTCATGTCTCTTGGATCGTTCAAAGTGCATTTGCTGGGCGGGGAAAGACAATTTTCAAGCCATATATTTCTCACATACCACTTTCTTCAACTGATGGAACCTTGACCTCATGATTAAATGTGTATGAGGTGGTCGCCGCTCAAGATAGAAGCTTGAATAATATTTCAATAGTGAGGATGATGTTCAAATTCACATAATATATAATATAATATATAATACATAACACAACGAACCTCAAAATAAAAAAGTACGCTAATTTCACTAGCGCAGACTTTTAGTTTTCCACCAGCAAAAAAAATTGACCATACAATTTTTGGTTTTTGTAGCTTCTCCCACAAACCAAACGAAACCTTGAGCTCTTCCAACAAAAATCAACCCAGGATTTTTTACAAGATCTACATTTTCATAGCTTTTTCTCTACAATCAAATCTTCTACTTCAGATTTCAAATAAATACCATTGACCTACTGGATTTTTTTCTTAAAAGATCTGCCAGCCTCCTCTTCAAGGATCGCGCATCACTTTTTTTATCTGACTCTTCACCCCGCCTCGTTCGCCTTATCGAGTCACTAAAGAAGGGTTTCATCCATTCAGATAATCAAATTCCTTTTTGACTGTATGTATTAATTCATAAATCATTGTCGCAATTACTTATTCCATTCCCTTAGCTACATTCTCATCGAAAATTCTATCAGTCGCACAATCTTTCGCAAAATAATCATGTCCGATATTAAGATGGAAGGCCAAGAGCCCGTCGCTGCAGCTCCAGCTATTACCAACGAGCAAGTGAAGGCCGAATCTGAAACTGCTGCCGCACCACCAATTGAGTCGGAAACTATATCAGCTACCGAGCCAGAAGGGAAGGAAGAGAAGATGGAAGATGCTGAGATTGAAACTGAAGTCAAGGAAGAGAAAACCGATTCCGAAATCAAGCCAGAAATTAAGGAAGAGAAAGTAGAGGTTACCAATGGTGATGTCAAGAGGGATGTGAAGAAGTTCAACTATGACGAGCCAAGATTCTACGACAACGGGGTTTTGAAAACAAATGCCAATGAAATTCATGGACAGAACAACAGCAAATACGATGCTTCAGTCCTCCCTCCATCCTCAGATGGAGGAATGATTCGCCGACAGGTGTGAAGATTTCTTCAATGTCCATAGAACTTTTACTAACTTTTTGTCTGAAGGTCGAATTCTACTTCGGTGATTCTAACTTGCCAACCGATACTTTCTTGATGAAGGAAACAGGAGGCGCAGAGAACAAGCCTGTCTCAATCGCAACTATTCACGCCTTCAAACGTATGCAGAGATTCCAGCCATACTCTTTGGTCGTCAACGCGCTCAAGGAGAGCAAATTCCTCATTGTGGAAGGAGACGAGGGAAAAGAGACGGTTCAGCGCAAGAAGGCATTCGACCCATCCGCAAAATCACCAAAACGCGACGCACGATCAGTCTACATCAAGGGATTCGGAGATGAAGAGCCAAGCTCCCAATTCGATATTGAGGCTTTTGTTGCTCCATACGGTGAGGTTAACTCCGTTCGTCTTCGCCGTACGGAGGAGAAGCTCTTCAAGGGATCCGCTTTTATCGAATTTGGGGATGAAGAAACTGCTCAAAAATTCCTCGCTCTTGATCCAAAACCACAATGGAAGGGAAAGCACACATTGGAAATCAAATCCAAGACTCAATACATAGAAGAAAAGAACGAAGAGATTCGAAATGGTACTCTAATTCCAGCTCAGCATCGAGGGCGTAATGGATTCCGAGGCCGTGGCCGTGGTGGTCGTGGAGGTAAGGATTTCGTCAAGAGAGAGCGTGATGGGGATCGTGATGGAGACCGTGATCCAAATGACTGGAAGAAGAGACGTGAAAACGACAGAGAGAATGGTTTCCGAGGTGGCCGTGGTGGTGGTCGTAATCAGCGTGGCGGAAGAGGAAATGGCAGACAGAATGACAAGAAGGGTGGTCGCAATGATCGTGGTCCAAGAACCAACGATCGCAACAAGGAGCGCGATGAGAAGAACGGGTAAGTTATTTTTTATTTTTTTTCACATTTTCATCGTATATAATATACTAACAAATCATCAGTGATGACAAAGGAAAGGAAGTCAAATTAGACAAATCTGCAGAATCTGCCATTCAGCCATTCACAAACGATAAGAAGAGAGCAAGAGAAGATGACGGAGGAAACGAGGAACACCAAAACAAGAAGGTTAATACTCAATCTGAAGTAACAGCTGAAGCCTAAATAATACTGGGTCGGATTAATCTTTCCCATCGTTTCGGCATTGTTATAACGAGGGGTTCTTTTTCTTAATGGCGTTTTGAGAATTTATTCGATTTCTTTTCGGTGGGGAAGGGGACATCTGCATTGATATTATGGATTTGACTTGATTGTGGCCATCGCATACAGGAACACGAGTGGTGATTTTTCTTGAGACCTGTAGAAAATGGGGGTTTCAATTTATTTCATTTGGAGGGAAAACACAAAATTGTTCATGGTTTAAGGGGGTTTAGCGATCACGGCTCAAGGATTGATTGTTGAGGATTGAAAAAAGGGGAAGCGGATGAGTGGGTGATTTGGCTGGTACAAAGAGATAGGGTTTGTAAATAGGGAGGAAAAGAGAGGGTCAGAGAAGAAGGGAGACTTTCAGTGAGGGCAAAGACATTTTGCTATAGGGATTGAAAAATTGAAGGAAAATGAATTTGCACAGATCGCTTATTGTGTTTCGGGTTGTGAAATGGTGAAATATTGAACCACCGTATATTGTGCATGTGTGGGTGTGGGGAGGGAAAATGGTGTTTGAATTGAATTTCTCCAAGATCACCTAATATGCTATTGCGATACTTAGGAGGCACAAATTGTCCAGACTCGAAATTGGGGAAAGAGAAGCGAATTGTTTGGTTCTTCATTTGATTTCTTTTCTTTTCTTTTTTTTTATATTCTACAGGTATCATCAACACATCATCCATCCATGAAGTTTTCTGTTCAGATCCCTCACTCTAGGGCTCATGCTAGATATTTGGGGCTCCTCTATCGAAGTGAACCATCCTTTCATCTCTACCTATCTCACCTCCCTTTCCCCCAAGCCCGTATATGCAATTTGCATAATCATACACAACTGATCAATTCATTGATCATAATATCCTCTCATCTCTGTGACTTTTGAAATGGCAAATGGAACAATTTCGTGTTTTCTTCCAACGTCGTTCTTTACCCATCTTGTCATATCTCTTCACATCCTGCGCGCACCCAACATCAGAAAATTTGAAGCACTACGCAACAATTTCTCCTATGTCCACATGTACAGGCTCCCATCTCTTTTCCCCTTCCTTTCCCCCACTCGCAACCTCCATATCGCTCGGCAACGTCTTCTGTCCCGGACTATAAAGATACCAGGCCTTCAAACCGGCAACACTAGCTCTAATCCTCGCCTCGTCCAAACTCGCACCAGGTGCCTCCCCTAACTTATCTCTCCCACTGTATATTCCAACTACGAAGACTGGACTTCTACTAAGTCGGCCACTTTCACTTAGGATTCTGGCAACGGGGGTTTCGAAATCTTCTCGTGCGCATAAACGGGCGAGGTCGCGCACTGGTTGCGAAAATTGGAAGAGCTTAGAGATGTCGAGGTGACGGGAGAGGATATGTTGTTGAATAAATGTTTTTGCTGCGGCGCGACCGGCATGGAGATAGATGGCGCCAATGAGCGATTTAACGAAAGAAGCGTACGCATGGTTCATTGGTTGAGGATCGGTGACTTGATTAGATTTCCTAACTATGTCTCCAAATTCATCGTCGTAAACGACTCTACTAGCCATTCCCCTTCTGAAATATGGTGCTTCTTTTCTTGTGGTTTTGCCGCTTGAAGTGGGCGCTGCATTCGCATCCAGATGTTTGTATTGGAGCAGTCCCACATCGACTTCATTTCCGGGATCAAAAGCTGGTTGAACGCCCCAATCCCGGCCTACGAGATGTAAAGTATCGGGACCACTGTATGCGAATACACTTGCGTAAAGCACAGCCATAGGCAAGCGGGGGTAAGTACAAATGAGATATTCGGAAACGTGGTAATGTAATAAATCGCCTCCAATTCTCGCCATTCCTGCATTGTTGAAAGCAGGATTTGAGTTTGCGGACGGCGTAATGAGAGTTCGAGCCAGTGTTTGGAGGGGTAATTTGGAAGGGAGAGAAAGACGGGCGTGGAGGGCTGCGACTTTGGGAGAGGGAGGTGGGAGGGGTTTTCGGATCATTGGTGGAGGTTCAAGGGGTGGTTCACCATCTTCGTTGATTAATTCTTCTGGTTTTGAGGCAAGTGCAGATGTGGACTGCATACGCACGCAAGCAGGTATCAAAATTGACGTCGTAGTCCTTGGAGGGGGATTTTGAATGTGCCGCCTCGGATAAGTAGAATAAGATTTAGATTTTGGGAAAAGCGATTGGGCGCTCCATCTTTCCAAATGTAACCTCTTCATCGTTCCCTATATTCCCTTTGACAACGCTTCCTATTCGGTTGTAGGACTGAAAGTAATCAAGGGATTTGGCGGATGGATTAACTCTGCGAAATTCGTCGAGAAAATCCAGTCCCGTAGAACAAATTCCAAAATTTCTCGCCCAAGCTCGTGGGACTGCGGTATTTATTGCGTTAGTCCGTTTATGGTTAGTGTATCTTGATATCTGATGGAAGGATGAACGACATCTTGATAATTGACTAGAATCAATAACCTCAAGAAATCCATCGCACATTCGCAATTATAAAAATGGTATGTATTTTTTTTGGCTCAGTTCCATTCTCATTTACTCAGAAACTAAACTAACAAAACCTCAGGGCGGCGGCGGCAAAATTCCGTAAGTTTTCTACACAATCTCTCGAGCTTCAACTGCAATTCCAAAAAACAATTCTAACTATCATATGCCAGATATCCCAAACACGTTTGGTCCCCAGCCGGAGGATGGTACTCGCAACCCGGTAATTGGAAAGCGAATACGGCGATTATGATGACGGTCATTGTGGGTATTACAGCTGGCATGTGGAAATTGAGCGCGGAGAGGGAATATAGAACAAAGTTTCCGGAGGAGGGAAGGTTTTTCCCTAGTCGATAGTGAGTATGGCTTTGTTCTTAGTTGAGGGATATGGTTGATATTGCGAGGAAGGAGGGGGTGAGAAAATATGAAAGAGGAGAATAGACTAACGAAATTGTAGCTGGAGTAAACAAATCAAAGAGCACGAAGCAGAGAAGCGGAAGAGCATTACTGAGCGTGTGATTGAGAAGGTTGCTGGAAACTGATTGGAGGATGGGAAAGAAATTGTACATATTTTGGGCTGTCATGAAATAAATGCATTCTCAACATTTGTGAAGGAAGTATGATGTTTCCTTTGATATGCAGAGGAATATGGAAGGAATCGCAGTGCAAGCTTCCACCGGGCCGCACGTAGTAAACGTGCTGATATCATGATGCTACCTTACGAAGTGATTATTGCAGTAGTTAGCACTCAAGGCAGTACATATCGAGAGAGAGCATCCCACTTGACACCATATCATTCCGTTGCACCTCAAGGTTGTAACACAGTCCATCATAGAACCATTCAACCCGTCAACAATCCTATTGTTTTTGATCTACAATCTTCTTCTTCCACAGCTGAATGCGAATCGAGCGAATGATTTGAGTCGAGAAATCGAAATCTCTCCTTAGGATTGAGAGCATGTATTCATGATATTCCCTACTTTCCTGCTTTTACTAGATCCACACAATCAAAAATTACTTCGTCGATCCACACAAACTTTGATCCATTGATAGTTGATAGGTCATACTGACACTACTTATCAAAAGGACGGGATCTTCTGAGTATCGATGTATCTCTAAGGTCTCCTTGTTGTCGAAAGCCCGTACAAAAATTCCTCCGCATATGGTATGATTTGGATCTAGATTTTCTTTTTATATTCCTATTGAATTCGATCCTTGTATTTGACAAAGTAATTAATTATCATGAAAGATTGTTCAATTTGATTGTTCTTATACCTGATAAAGACAATTATTATAACAGATTTGTTTAGGATGTAGTATCTACTTACTTCGTTTGTATATTTTACTTGTTCAATTTGTTTGTCTTTTATGTCTGATAAAGGTAATCATTACAACAGATGTCTTTCGGATGTAATATCTAATTACTTTCTTTATATATTTTGCTTGTCCAATTTGATTGTCCTTACAATTGATAAAGAATCATCATAATGGATTTCCTACAGATGTAGAATGATGATAATGCAAAAACTTTCCCCTATTATCTAGCTTCATTTTCTTTATTATCGATAGCCTATATAAACACTTTTTCTGTCAAATCCAACATCCGAATATCCGATCTTGAAACACTGACTTCTCTCATCTCTGAGTCTTCCAAGCTATGGAAGGAAAATTGACGGTATACAAACCCTTTGATGGGAGTACCATAGAAGAGTTTGAGGCGCACGTTCCCAAAAAAGAAGATTTCTTGTTATGTAAGAACTGTGGATGGAGTGCCGACGATGCTCTACACTCTGCTTATGCAAGTCATGTTAGATGTAAAACCAACAGCAATAGAGGTTTATGGTTCATCGGCGATAAATATGTTTTGAAGGAAAAACCTATTCACAATTATGGAATGGAAGACTATTGGGGTGCTGAGTACGCAATGGCCAAATTCTTGAGCGAGAATACAACTGTACCTGTACCCAAAGTCATAAGTTACTGGAAGGATAGTACAAGTCATTTCATGTTGATGGAAAGGATCCCAGGTGAGACTCTTCAGGCAGCTTTGGATAAACAGCACATTGATGATAGCCAGCTTGAGACCATCTTGAAAGAAGTGGTCGAATATCTTGTGCAGATACGCAAATTTACTTCGATGACATTGGAAGATCCAGATGGTTCACCTATAAGAGACTATCTTTTAGGCGCTGAGTTCCAAAGGGTACTCTTCGTGACGGAAGATATTGACGAATGGTGGGCTCGTACTGCATCCCGAATAGAATCCGGGAAATCAGAGGAATGGAAGAAGGATTTTAAGGAACGATATCCTGTGAAAGGGGGACCCTACGTGCTCACGCATGGCGACTTGAATCCGAGTAACATTATGGTCAAAGATGGCCATGTTTCCGGTCTCATCGATTGGGAACGTGGTGGTTATCTTCCTGAATGGTGGGAGGCCGTAACAACTCGCGAAGCAGGATACACAGGTACTGCGCTGGTTAGAGAGATGGAACAACAAATTGGGCCATTTCCAGTCGAAATGAAAAAGTTTAAGGATGAGTATTCCTGCTATGTTAAGCGTTTCCCTCGGGTGGAGGTTGTCCCTTGCCCTGAGTTTGATAGATGGAGTTATATGGTATGTCCCAACTTTCGTCGATATTACGAAGAAGTCGCAGTCGGGTATGAAAGGACGCTTTGGGGACGAGAGATACGTGAGCAAGAGGCAAAAGAAGCGGCTGAAGAAGCGGCTAAACAAGATGCTGAAGAAGCTGAGGCTTTCAAGGCTTTCAAAGCTCTAAGTTTGGAGGAAAGGGAAAAGTTAAAGAACAAGGATTAGATTGATTCCTACATATCATATTGCAGGTTCGTCCCCCTCCTTTCAAAAGCTTCCGTTCATCATATCATACTTTTTCATTGGCTTGAAGCCAGTGGCTTTCAAACATCTCTACTTCTTTTCTTTTCCATTCCCCGGCCGCTAAATCCATATAGTTAACCAAAAGAAATACACCCCCTTTTTTATTATTTGGCAAATTTCTTAAAATAAAAAGACTCTATTCTATTATGTCATTTTCTTTCATTGGTTCCCAAAAATCCCTATCTCTTCTCATTCCCCTCGCCCCCAAATCTAGAAGGTAAAACCAAAAAATCATTCATCTTTTTATTATGTTGCGAATTTCCCAAAGAAAAGATCCTGTCCCATCGTATGAACTCTTTCAATGACTCCCAAATACCCCCATCTCTTCTCAACCCCTTCCCCCGCCCCTCTTAGAAGACCAAAAAAATGCATCTGTTCTTTTATCATATTGCGAATCCCCGAAAGAAAAAGATCCCATCCCACCACATCATAATCTTCCATTGACTTCCAGACACCCCATCTTTTCTTATTCCCCCTCCCCCCAAAGCCGAGCAACCAATCTTGTCTCTTCGTACCCTTTCCCTTCGCCTAGTCCTACAAAGGTAGTTTGAGCTCGACAGACATAATACTATCCTTCAGATTCGAGGATGCACCTTCGCGGACAGCGGATATCCTGACTGGCTTTTCGCCATCCTTAACAAGCACAACAAAACATTTAATATCATAGAACTGAATCTCCACCTCCATACACAAAGCCACTTCCTTGTGAGGTGCATGCGGATAACGCCACGTGCTCGGGACTTGGCATTTACCATCTCCGAAGGCGACGACAACACTCTCCTTGACAGCGTAGCCTGATGAGATAGCCCCGCAGAAGACACAATTTAGGCAGCATGTCGTGATGTTGCCGCCACAGAAGTAACAGGCCATTTTCAATGATTATTCTGAATAAAGATTTGTCGTTTGATGTGTCCACCGAGAGATGTGGACGAGCATGAGGATACGAGAATCTGCGGGTTGCTAGCTAAATGGAAGTTAGCGGCACGAACGGCAAGAATTATGAAGAATATGAACGGGGAAAGGGGTACATACGCAGATTGGTCTTTTTTAGCGTTTGTAAAATAAGCAAGTAATATGATGGAGTTGTATATCGCTTGGGACAGGGATTTGCTGTTGAAATGCTGGTGAAATTTGTTCTTGATCGATTTGAATTTTCCGATTTCCCGTGTCGAGAAGGAACTGATGAATGTTGCTTCTCCCAGTTGTTGGTTATTTTTCGAATGAAGGGCGAATCTTGAACGATATATATATTCGGAGAGGGAGGCTTCGAGTATCGAGATTTAGCGGGTAAAACCTTTGAAGGAATTTATTGATTGGTAGAAGCCACAAAACAAAGGTTTAAGTGATCTGATACTCCCTTTCCTGTGAAGGGTACTCATATTGGAGTCCCAACAAAGATTATGGCAACTCAAATTTGAAATTTGGGGAGCTGCCAAGGAAAGAATATTCTAGATGAACGGTAGTGTAGTGGAACAGCGAGACATTTGAGTAAGCTATAATTCAAACCTTTAAAGGTTTAAGGAAGTGGAACTGGAAGGCTGGAGCCTTTCATTAATAGGTGTTCGTTGTCAGACATCTTCTCATGATGATTCATATCCTTGATAGAATTTGACTACCTTCATCAAGGTTCATCGTTCACCTCTTCCCCTGTTTTCGTAATCCTGGAGTTCGAGACACCAATCAAAGCGACAGAGCACGAGAATAAATGTGCCCAATACAGCTTTGCAGACGTTGAAGGAAGATTGATATATTGTGTCTAATAAACACGTACAGTACACATCTTGTTCAAAGCCACATCTTCAGCATACAACATGTAATGTCCCGCTGTGCATACTCATTCCATGGCATGGGGTATATTGCTTTGAACCGGCTCTCTAATTTTTGATACCATACTCTACATCCAATAAAAGAAATCCATGCACGAATATAAATTTACAATATTCTTTGAACAACTAGAATAACTTGTGCTAAATGTCACATATCACTGAAGATATCTAACACCTCAAAAGATACTTGTAAACTTACTCTTCACCAAGCATTCAATTGGGTAAGAGCATACATATCCGAAGTGAACTATATGAGAGATGTTCATCTTTATTGAAATGTGAACTCATGTAATAGTCGGCGCTCTATGACTCAGCCTCCTCAGCCTTCTGCTGTCGCAGTCGGGTAAAGTGCGGTGTAACCCATTACTTTTGATGCTGTGATCTCCGATGATCTACAAGCTAGCGAAACATATCTTCTCTCTGTAGAATCTTCTCATCCTCATTATTCGCTAAGAAAATACTATTCTTATTTTAGTTTTCCGGTGTTTAAAGTTCTCTTTGTCGAAACAGGAGATTTCAGATAGTATAGGAAATTTAAGCGAGATGACACGGTTTATCTATCTAAGCAACTTTCTTTTTCTGAGACAAAAAGATGGTTTTGAGGGTGAGAGATTCTATCACGAATTTGAATGGTATCCAAGGAGTCCGGTCTAAACCCCTTAAATTCTTCTACATGATTTCGAAAGTCCTTTTGGATAACAATTTTAGGCTTTTCTATAATCAAATTAATCGTGAATATAAGCAACCAAAATCCGTATAACCTTATCATGACTTGATTTCGGCCATGATAGATCTAGGAATTATCTTCAAAAAACCATGCGACATAGAACGTCACCCACCAGGTCGTTCAGAAACAGGGGTCTTGGTGTATTGAAAAATCTCACAGATACGCATGGATCATTCTTGGAATGTTCTTTCAAGACAAACGGCCAAATGTTCGGGACAGATATCCAATGATAGTGTTCGTTAAAGAGGCGGTGGTAGAGGCAGAGGCGTCGGGTGGCTGATATTGATGTTTGGTCGTTGTCAGACAGCAGTAACCCTATAATGTGAAACTTCCCGGTTGATTCCGTCAAAGGAGAACCATCCGGGTTTAACATTGGCAGGTTTCGGTATCTTATGATTGGCAATACATGGAAAGATGCATGTAGTGGATGTATACGTGCTAATCGCGCTTGACATCGATTTGATGCGATGACCTTGAAAGACTAGAAATAATCATATTTGTTTAGAGATGAAAAGAACACGGATTTAAATCTCATCCCCAACATTAAAGGCCTCTTATTCTCTTACTCAACTTTCAATTCAGGTCAAATGCATCAGAACCGAATCATAAATTCCCCGATCTAAATCGTCTATTTTGACTAACCATCAGATGCTATTTTCAGTATATTCCCATCAACATCATCAGAGCATGCCAATCAAAAATTTCTTGTCAAGGTGTACGCATCTCGTCACGTCAACCTTGCCATAAGGAAGGGTCTCGGATGTTGAAAAAGCTACGCTAGAGATGTCAGTCCTCCAATGTTTTATTTCTAAATGATTTAGTAACTCTATTGGTCAGTTAGTGGGTCAAATGGTTCATGGATATGAGCTTTTGGATGGTGTTGAATGGGATGACTTAACGCTGTTCAGGTTCTCTGCTAGCTCGTTGAGCATTGAGGCAAGGGGTTCGATATACCATAGAAACCTTGCATCCTTGATGGAGGCTCGCTCTGAGGAGGCTCGGTCCGGAGAGGCGGTTTGCGTAGAGGTGATGGTACGGTTATTGTTGATGCGGAGGTATCTGGTCCCGAATTAATTTCCTCGGACATTTCTGAATTTTGAAGATTTGTGTGTGTACATTTCATTGACAAGTCGAGTGAGATGATATGAGATAATATTAAGCCTCAATATCAAAGAGTGCGGAGGTTCAGAAAGCATACTGGTCCGCAATACGCGCAGCACGCTGACTGGCTGATGAATGGACAGAAATACTTGGCCTAGGTATTTCCTAGTTTTAATAAGAGGTTTCCGGGTCTAGGCTTCCCATAAGAAGAGCGGAAGGTTGTTTCTGCCAGTGTTCATATCTTGCACGAGAATAATGCAGAAAATTGAAGCATGCCTAAATTAAATCATTTATAATAAATGTGCTTGTGTTATTATCATTAAGGCAAAATACTAGGACGATGTAGTGCATTCCTTCTATCAAGTCACACAGGAGCATCTACTCTATGTTGAAAGTCACACCGTCACAAATCCCTCCATTCGTATTTATCTCCATGAAATAGCTTCCATAAATTTTCTCAATAACTCTAATGTAAATCTTATATCTAAATACACATTGATCTTCCACTTCTTTCCCCTAGAACCTCCTAACTGATAGCACTTTGCTCAGCATGCGACATTTTAGACTTTGTGTTTCTTGAAGCTAATCTTCCGACCGAAGTGTTTGACTTCTAGTTCGAGGTGCTTGATATTTTTGGGCAACATTCCGACCTTTTGAGCGAGGTAGTCGAAGACTTCCTTGTTTAGGACGTTTAAATACTGGAGGCTGCCAAAATACCTCTTGAGATGGCGGACATATTAGCTGGGTTGGTTGATGTCCTTCAGGTTGCGGTAATTGCTGATGAGGTCGATGTGTTTGTGGGATTGGCTGATTAGGAGGCGATTGATATTCGTCTGTTTTCTCCATGTCACTTTGCTCTTTCTCGATCAACCTTAACAGAAAATCCTTTAATGTGTCCTGTATTTGCTGATCAGCGACCTTTAACGAATCGGAGCGGTAAAGGAACGATGCTAAAAGCACGATCTCTTCCAATGTTGTCTCCTTCATATTCTCAGCGGTAACTATCTGAGTGCTCGTCTCCACAATCTTCTTCAGCTCCTGTAAATCCGAGGAATAGGATTTGACTGTATCGCTGATGGAAGTTTGTTCAGGTGAGATGGAGCTGGAGGTGGAGGTGGATTGAGCGGAAATCTGGTTCTCGGCCATGAATTCTGATACTTGAGATATATGTGGATATCAGAATGTGAAGAAATGTGATGAAGATATGGATGTAGAAGAGAATGAAGATGCAATGACAAAAACAAGATGGTTTAGGTGATTCGCCGGAGAGTAGCTAGCTATTTGGCTATTTAGTTGAGCAATGAAATTTGTGAGGCGCTTTATGTTTTGTTTCGCTGAGACTTTTCTGAGAGTTATGATGATTTGTTGCATTGAAGTGTTCTTCTGTGTAGACGTTGCGGTTGTGGAGATTAAATTAAAGGTAAAAATGGAGGTAGGGTAAAAGACAAAGTAAGAGGGGAAGTGGTAGGTAGATAAAGGGGAGGAATTATACCTTGATCGAGTAATAGAATACCCATTATGTCTCATTCATGAAATACCAACTAGATTGGTTGATGTTGACTGCAAAGCATTATATGTGGAGTCATATCGAATATCATCAATAGCTGAACCTTGGTACTTTTGGATATTAAATACTCACAGCAGTAACGCTCGGTCAGACATTTATAAATAGACTGGAATAAAAAGAGAATTTTATGGCTTAAACAGAAAGGAGTGACATACGAGTAAAGAACGATACTGAATAATAAAGACAAGTGAATGTTGGAGTAAGTCGCGATACTTCAAAAGCGCAACATACACGAAAAAAATTACGATATTATTGATGGCTTGCTTTTAGTAAGTCAGAAAAGAGCATCTACTATTGATTAACGTCACACATTCTTATCCTTGTTCCTCCCTTGAGATCCGGTCAAAACTCCATAGAATGTTATCCAATCTGCCATCACTTGTCCCATTCCTGATTCACGGAACACCATGGATACCAATTCTTGATTATGCTCTGCTACCAACACAGCGTTGAAGTCCTCTATCAAATTACCGACTTTAGTAAGGGAATTATGCAATTCGAGCCGATCTTTATGTGTATCATTGTCAGCAGCGGGCCACACATTTGAGTGTATGAGTTCTTGCGCTGGTAGAGGGAACTCCGTATGGTTTCTCACTTTCAAAGTATACGCAAGTTCATATTTTGATTGAGGTAGCACTGGACCGTTGTTCCACAAACACGCCAGTTCTTCTAATTTGGACGTAGAGAGAGGCGAACTTCTTCGAAACTTCCTCCTTACTGAGGCGTGGTCGAGTGGAGTCAACCGAAGCAGCCGTTGCTGGAGCGGACGTGGACCGAGGGGAGTTATTGTTATGGACCATGACTTTGGATGTTTGAAGATATGTATGTGTTGCTAATCGATAAATCTTGAAGGAATTTAAGATTTTGATCTGTACTCGGCGGCAGGATAACGAGAGGAAGAGTGTGCAACTGATTTGCGAAATGGCGGAAGGGCATTTCGGACTGTGAAATTGTCATGTGCGTTGAGGTTCTTTGTATTTTATCGATGCGAAGTTCCCGATGATGGTTTGATAAACAGGCTGTGGGGTGTAGATGTCGGTGTTGATATGTTGACTTTTTGGTATGTGAAGTGGTCATGTGTTGTTGATGGTACTTTGATGGTTTGATGCGTGATGCGATGGACTGAGATCTGTTGAAGTGCTGATGTAGAAGTAAAAAAGAAAAGCAAAAAAGAGAAGGATGGAGCAGAATATAAGTACTCCCAAAGCACCGCACGCTTGCCACCAGTATATATGACAAATAAAGAAACTATCCATCAATTCATATATCTTGGTGAAGAACATCGTCTCCAAAGTCATATCATAAGTGATATTAAATTCATGAGTCTCAGTGATTGCAAAACTGACCGGGCCATGACACTAAGTAGCATTTGTAATTATAAAAAAAGGGAAAAAGTACCTCAAATTAAATCATACACCAATTTCTGATAGTGCTATCGATAAAGCTTAGCATAATTCGAGTCACATCGCAACTCATCATCACTAGATGAGTCAGCGACCGTGAAACTTCAGCACCATACCACTCACACGTACATTATAGGAAAGAACTGTTTTCGTGAATCAGAACTCTCTTGTAAACCAAGTAACATTGAAGACATAAGACTCACTCGAGTCAAACTCATCGCTTAAATTCTGACCAAAAGTAACTCCTTTCAGCAGTCCATTTACCCATTATGCAGCCCCATGATTAGCAAAATGGAAGGTTGAAACAATTTACTCAATCCGTAAACTAATTTTGATATCACCAGAGCCTCTAAACTCCTCGCGTACATGCATACATTCATCGTTCGTCCATCTATTCATCCATCTTGCTCTGCCATAAACCAACGCATGACCAATACAACCAAGATCTTGTACTCTGCGTTGTCTCCAGACCCTAAAACCCATTACGTTTCCTCAAATCTAAATTTTATAAACCAAATCTCCCTCCGTATACATGATATCATTTCTCTCATCCATCGCCCTCAGCGCTGCTGTTGCCTCTTCCCTCTCAAAACTACCTCCTGCAGCCCCTCCAATACGTCCGTTAACTGCCTCAATGATAGCATTGACCTCGGCACTATCGTCTTCGAAGAGGGATGTATTCATCATTTGCCCTAATGTTGTGCGGAATACTTGGAGGCGGTTAGGTGTAATACCTGCTGAAACATTGAGAGCTGCAGTTCCTGCGGCGAGCTCTTCTTCTTCGTCTTCTTCCACGGTTTGTGATTGGGACTGTGATTGACTGGAAGTACCTCTCAAAGCCTGGGAAGCAGGAAGAGAAGATGCGAATGAAGTTTGGGATTGTGTTGGTGCGCGACTTGAAGATGCTCGTGCTGGACGTGAACGTGCTGGACTTGCTGTATACATATCCTCTTCCTCCTCATCATTATTCTGCACAGCACTTGAGCCAGTACCATTTCTCCTAGACGAAGAAGCGGCTGAAGCTCTTGTCCTAGCTGTACCAGGTGTGCGCGTTGCTCTCGTTGATGGTGCACGAGAAGTAGGAGCTGGAGAGTCATCGTCATCTGAAGATGGACTCTCATTTCCTGAAGATTCATCTTCAAGAGGTCTAGTCTTTCTCCTCTTAGATTTCTTCTCATCCTCAAGCACTTCCTTGAAAAGTGCAAATCTCAAGATACTCTCAGCAGCCAATGCATCCACTTCCTCAACTCTAGCACTCAATCTCGATTTTGCATGTGCAGTACTCAAACGAATAATAGTTTCCAGTGTTCTAACTGTCATTGCATTCGTCTTTCGTTGATTTCCTTGCATATCATCGTTTCTTAAAGCTACGTATATCTCACTAATTCTATCACTAGCTTCTTGGGTTAGGACCGGCTTTATTCTGGTTTTGGCGTATTGAATGTATTTCTTCATAAAGGGGATACTCAGGACTTCCACTCTACGGTGGGAGCCACGGCCAGTCGTAACGGTGACGCCAGCGTGCAACATTTCATTATATTTTTCGTAGACAGGCGTTACTTGATTGGCATCTGCTTCTTGTTCAACACCCACACCGAGTGTTTGATGGGCTTGTTCACGGACGGGGGCTCCCTCTTCCGTTTGAGGGTCTCTGTATCTGTGCATTCTTAAAACGTGTTCTGAGATTTGTCGATCGCGGAAATCCTCGATATCATCTGTCACTACGAATAGTAAATCGAAACGAGAAAGGAGAGAATCAGGAAGTGCGATATTCTTGTGAGGGTCTTTGTGAGTATCGTATTGACCGAAGATCGGATTGGCGGCTGCGATGACGGAACAGCGGGCGTTGAGGGAAGTATGAATACCAGCTTTTGCAATAGTGACCGTTTGTTGTTCCATTACTTCGTGAATGGCCACTCTGTCTATGTCTGACATTTTGTCGAATTCATCAATACATACAACTCCGCGATCAGCTAGGACCATAGCACCTGCTTCGAGACGACGTTCACCGGTTTCTTTGTCGGAAGTAACAGCAGCCGTGAGACCAACACCGGAAGATCCTCGACCTGTTGTTGCAATCGCAAGAGGAGCGGTATTCAGGACGAAACGAAGTACTTGAGACTTGGCTGTAGAAGGGTCACCAACCATAAGGATATTGATATCTCCTCTCAAATGTGTTCCATTCTCAAGATTCTTTTCCAATCCACCCAGCAACATGAGGAGAATTGCTTTCTTGATATGTTCATGACCATAAATACTAGGCGCCAGGGATTGAGAAAGAAGATTGAACAGATTCTTCTTCTTCGCGATCTTGTTGATGTTTCGAATATCAGTATCGGTGATGGTATGTGTCGCAATTCCTCCTCCCGATTTGGAAGATAAAAGAACTACATTATTAGCCAAAACCACCGTTTTGAAAAGTGCACTGCTATGCCCCGCATTTCTATTTCCCAAACTCCTATAAATTCCCACAAGTTGTACTCGATCGCCAGGCTTAACTTTATCAACCAAATCATCATCCAGAATAACATCCACACCTCTTGGAAGTTGACCTGCTGGTGCTCTTTCCGGCATTTCTTGAATAGATATTGTTTGATGATCTCTGTATGTGCAGTAACCATATTCTGTAATCAACGGATTTCCTTGTTCATCTTCCTGTGGATAAACACTCGATGTACTTGCTCCACTTGCTGTCATCGTTTGATCCTTGTATTCCCTGAAATGGAATATCTTTTTCTTCTCATTATAATGCACACTCTTGACAACCTTCGGCCTCACCAATGAACATCTTGTGACAATTCCCTCCAAACTAACCATCCTGTTCAAATGCGTACTTGACAAAGTCCTGGGATTACATGCGAATTGACCAAAACTTCCAGAAAAAGCACAATAGTACATAGTATCCTCAGAAGATTGTCTAGCATTGGTATTTGGGATTGTTTGTACTATTTGAAATAGTGCGCGATCGAATGCTTGAGCGAAATCAAATGGCTGTTCGAGAAGGCCATTTGCCAATTCTGGATTATGTGCGCGAACTTCATCGATACTGACAATTAAGCGGCGTTGCTTCTTCTGAAGCATGAGTATGATATCGGATCGATAAGTTCTTGCTGAGCCATCAGCTACGATTTATTAGGTCAGTATTTGCAGGTAAATAGAGGAAATCAAAATGGAAACATACTTGGATCAAGAAATTCTTGTGCAGACCGAACACGATCGGCTACAGCCTCATCTCTTAATTGTACGCCGTCCATTGCAAAGAAGAGATCTGGTTATCCCCAGGTGCGGTGTCAAGATCAAATCTGAAGCTATGGTGGTTTGTTGTTGAAGTTAAAGAGGGGCTGCGATAATGGGTTGCTGTGGTGTTGACAATCGCGAAATTTCAATTCAAAGGGAGAAATCGCGTAGAAACGCGTGTTGGGCGCGTAAAGTGGTTTTTCATAAGCACGTGGTTTAACCATCTTTTATTATATACACATTTTATAGCTCGTATTTATACAGAATTATGCAATTTTCTGGAAATTGTCTCTCTAGCCATTAAATTAAAATTTACTTCGTAAATCTATAAAATTCAGCCCTCTTCATCAAATCCGCATCAGAGCCATTGTGATACTTGTGTATATACTATATCTACACAAGATTATTCGTTATTCTTTCTTTTTTGGTCAACTCTCCCCTCATTTTCATCAGTCTGAAGAAAAGTCCATTATATCATCTAATTGACGGTCTATCTCAAGCCCCTCTCATCAACTCTCCGCATTAATTGAGACATATCACCCTCTAAGCAACTGAACAATCCCCATACAATAACTACCTAGAAGGCGGCTCTGAAGGGTTTATGTTTACTCTCCCCATAAACTCTTTCAATCTCTCTTTAACAACCACTCCATTCCACGTTTCCTCTTTGTCCTCCGCTTCTCCTTCCTCTACTCCATCCCCATAGTCCCTGGCCCCCAATACCGGTACACCAACTTGTTCAATCGCAAAACTAGCCGCTACAGCTCCCCAACAACTAGCCTCTATGATACCTTTTCCCCTCGCCAACGCAATTGCCAGACCACCTAAAAATGTATTCCCGCCTCCTGTTGGATCTACGACCTTGCTTTTCTCTTCCTCTTCACCCTCTGTACCACCTTGATGAAAAGCCGGGATCCATTTTTCAATTCCCGGATCGACAGGAGTATAATTGTTCCTTTCGAATTCTATCTCCCCATCATCACTCAATAGTCCCGCGAATAAATCTTCCATATTCATATCTAGGGTTAATCCACCTCTAGATCTATTTGCTGGACGTTTTCTCCGACTTTTACCGACTCTTCTACTTCTTCCTCCATTTTTCGCAACGTAACATCCTAGTGCTCCGCATCTGACAACAATGGAATAGGATTGGAGGGGCATGGATGCGAGTAATTGTTCGCATGAACGCTCTATGGCTTCTGTGGAGATTTCTCCTGAAGGAGTGAGGCCTAGATCTTGGTCACCCATGAAACCGGCTAGTTCGGAGTGGTTTGGCGAGAGGACGTCGATGTATGGCAGGACGTTAGTACAGTTTAGGAGTTCATCTGGTGTACAGAGATCTGGGACTGGTTCCCAAATAAAAAGAGGTTTTGGATGATTTGGAGATTGAGATTTGCGGAGTGATAGGATGCGTGTTACGAGATCTATGCAACGATTTGGGGAACATATGAGATGAAAAGATTTTGAGAATAAAAGTGGTGGGTAAGATGATAAGGATGTTTCGTCGAGTCGGAGTTTCGGGGTAGTGTATTTGAAAGATCGTACTTCGTTACTGTCATAACCATTCCAGCCACGGGTTGTGAGACGGGAAAGATCCGTACGTATTAAACATGATGTTTGCCATTGGGCTATTTGGTCGGATATTGATAGTGGGAAATCGGATCCTTTGTCGACTATCCAAGAAATAGTCTTGGAGAGGGGTGGTGGGGAGAATAGTCGGGCTCCTAGGGCGGAATACGAACCGGCGCCACCGAGGACATCGTATACCGATGGACTCGGTGGAAGGTAGTGTATTTCATCTGGATTGCATGTTAATATGTGGATCCAGATTAAGTATAGTCGTGTCATGTTATCACCATGAGAAATGAAGTAGTAATGATGGAAATTTCATTACGTATCTCATCCTTGATCATAAAGGTAAAATACCGGATAAAACCGGACAAGTAAGTATAATCCCCATTCTCGTAAACAATAAAATTTGAAGAAACGTATCATTTCAGGAGAGATTCCACGACTTCATGATTTAGTTTAAAACTCATATGTCGTGGTTGAACCCTTAAGATTGGTGAGACCAAGTCCAATGAATGGGATGTACCTCATGCATGAACAACATGAACATCTCAACCGTTTCACGAATATGGCCAACAGTTATGATCCCAAGTAGAAAATTTGTATGAATCAACCTAGATATCACTAGATATAATGTATATGGAAAATGGAGCTTCGAGACGCGAATATGATGGTCGATATTAGCATATCTTTCCTTGAACCTCAATTCTCTGAGACTTCTCAGGTGCCTTTTATGCATCTAAATTTAACCCAACTAACTTGACTGTACAATAAGAAACACCAGGTACATAAACACCCAATACATACCAATTATAAACATTCCAAGAGTACAAAAATCAATCTCTTGATCAGAAGGTATTTGATCATCTTTATCCATATTTCAGAAAGTATAGCGGTATTAAAGAAGTTATGAATTGTATCGGTCAAGTTGTTGGCGAGGTTGAGAATTAATAAGTTTTAAGTGAAGTCAAGAAAATATAAGGCTGTAGAGTTGTTTGGTTACAACCCCACCAAGCTCCCCAGCCAGGTGTCACAATTCAAGGGGTTAGCGGCAGCCTTGTAATACGGGATCGTGAATTATGTAATCCATTGTAACCTTATTTACTTGCCGTCGATGGCTAATTTACCGATCTACCGATTTACCGAAGAGAAGTTGTGTTCCGTACAGAGTACATCTAGATGGATTATGGTCCGGCTCAGGCACCGAAATTTAAGAAGCTTGGCTGAATCATAGGCAGCTGGTAGCTAGTTGGTAAGTTGGTAGTTGGGTAGTTGGTAGGGTAGGTATTCGAGTAGGTAATCATGATTGACAACCTTGACACCTTGACACCTTGCATCAACGTAAATATAAACATAAACATAAACATAAACACCTTCACCCTCCTCTTTTATTACTCACCCCTCTCTATCAGGCACTATCTGTTTGTTATTTGCTCAATTGTACACGAGTCTCATATTGTTGCTCAACATACATACTAGGTATATATCTTGCAAATTGATAGAGAATCTCGATTTATCCTCTTACCAAGTTCTTCATCCTCGGTTTATTTACCCTCCCTTCTCCTTCCCCTTGCATTGCATTAGAACAGAACAGCAAACAAACCACCTATCCACACCTTCTCAACAGGAATCTGGAACAAAAAAGGCTTTAACTACCAAAAGGTCCCGCAGTTCAATATGGCTACAAATAATATGCATAATTTGACTACGCTCATAAAACGGTAACAATACTTTCCTTCATATCTTCTGTCCTCTTTATTCAAGCCATTCAACAAATCTCGAGTCCATTCTCCAACTCCAAATTCTAAAAGGCACACGCACATCACCATACACCATCTCTCATCCACTAACCCAACCATGTCATCAATCGATCCTCGAATAACCAGCAACGAACTAACCTTCATAATCTCCAGACTCGAAGCCGCGACCTCACGCTTAGAGGATATAGCCTCATCCACTATTCCCCCTCCCAGTACTCCCAAAACAAATGGTACAACAAACGTCGCATCTCCTACCATACAAGCCGCCACTCCTCCTCCTCCTACAGTTGTAGCCCCGACTATCCAAACCATTATCGAAGATCCAATTCCTGAATCAATCAGCGAATTCGATGGTCTCATTCAGGGGCCTGTGAAGAAATATGTTAATCTTAGTGATGAGATTGGTGGGGTCGTTGCGGAACAGGTAGGTCTTTTAGATGTTTATTTTTTCTTCAGATAGCCTGCTATCACGGCAGTGGCCTAGCTGGAGATGAGGGGTATCGATACTTGAGAGTTCGCGAGGCACCATATCATTTGGATTAAATATTTGATTGATGAAGGATATTACCATAGGGGCAAGCCCCCAAACCCCCACAGCTCGCTGCGCTCAAATATTTTCAATGCAATTAGTGTGCTTCCACGGCAATGGCTCCCGGAGGGTCAGCGAAACGTCATTCAACTGGGTGGATTCAGAAATATATGCTAACGTTTACTGAACAGGCATCCGGTGTATTGAAAGCATTTGTCGGGCAGCGAAGATACATTTTAATTACTACGAAGTCGAAGAAACCTGCTATGCACGATGAACCATTTCAAAAACTCATCAAGCCTCTTCAAGATTCATTCACTGCTGTTGACGATATTCGCAAATCCAATCGTGAATCACCGTATTTCAATAATCTCAGTGCTGTTTCGGAAAGTATCGGTGTACTTGCTTGGGTTACAATGGATAGTAAACCATATAAGCATGTTGATGAATCATTGGGATCGGCCCAATACTATGGAAATAGAGTATTGAAGGAATTCAAGGAGAAGTAAGTTAATCATATTGAAATATTATCAGCTGCCACTAATTTCTCTCCACAGAGATCCAAAACAAGTCGAATGGGTTCAGGCATTTTATCAAATCTTCAAAGAACTTAGCGAATATGCTAAGAATAACTTCCCAAACGGTATCCCATGGAATCCAAAGGGAGCAGATTTAGAAGATGCTATCAACGAAGTAGATTCGACCGCTCCAGCCCCTACTGCTCCTCATCCAAAAGCTGGCAGTGGAGGAGCCGCGGCACCACCACCACCACCTCCCCCTCCTCCTCCACCAGTTTTCGACGACATTCCAACAAAATCTGCACCAAAGCAGGGAGATGCGAGTGCTGGATTAGGAGCCGTTTTCTCTGAATTGAATAAGGGAGCAGATGTTACGAAGGGATTACGCAAAGTCAATGCTGAACAGATGACACATAAAAATCCATCTTTAAGAGCAGGTGCTACTGTTCCTACTAGAAGTGATAGTCAATCTAGTATTAGTTCGAACCGTGGAAAGAGTCCTGCTCCTGGTAAAAAACCTAAGCCAGAGAGTATGAGAACTAAGAAACCTCCTGTTAAGAAGTTGGAGGGTAATAAGTGGTTCATTGTAAGTTGTTTTGCCATGGAGAAGTGGTCCGGAGTTACTAATATTTGTTAAAAGGAAAACTACGAAAATGAATCATTGCCAATTGAAATCGAAGCCTCAATTTCGCATTCGATCCTCATTTCCCGATGCTCAAAAACTACAATCATAATTAAAGGAAAAGCAAACGCTATTTCTATCGATAATTCCCCTCGCCTTTCCCTAATTATCGAGAGTCTTGTTTCATCAATTGATCTTATTAAAGCACAAAATTTCGCGCTTCAGGTATTGGGGACATTACCAACAATTATGATGGATCAGGTTGACGGGGCACAAATTTACCTTGGGAAGGAAAGTTTGAATACCGAGGTTTTCACGAGTAAATGTAGTAGTGTTAATGTACTATTACCGGATTTGGAAAGTGAGGAGGGTGATTATAAGGAGGTGCCATTACCGGAGCAATTGAGGACTTGGATTGAAGATGGGAAGGTTAGAAGTGAGATTGTGGAACATGCTGGTTAGACAGATGGATGGCGTGTTGATCTTTTTGCGCGTTCGGAGGGTGTCTATTGGATGGGCGGATTGAGAAAATTTAGAGATTGGAGGGTTTGTCGTGAGGAAGAATGTAATGTGGGATGGTTTTTGATGATTGAACGAGGGGACAGAGAAGGGATATGTTATATTTTCGTATATTAGCTGCAATTTCGGATGGTGTTGAAAGTTGTATTATACATTGCTATGTATATATGTACACTTGACACCCGCCTGATTGGCTGACTGGTAGATTTTAAAACGAGAATTTAAATACATTATACTGAGTGTGATTTCTATTAGATGAGATGTGTATATATCTTTATATGTTTGTATGGTTTATTTTAAAGAGACAGAAACTAGAAAATGAAGAGATATAGAGACTAGAAAAGTATAATAAATTTAAAGTAGAAAAATAATAATAATAATAATAATAAATAAAAAAATATATAAAAAAATAAAAATAAAATAAAATAAAATAATAAAATAATAAAAAATAATAAAAAATCTAGATTTGAGAACCTTCTATAAGTCAAAATCAAAAACAAGTATATAAAGAAAAAAAATGCTTCAGGTATGACTGCTTAGGGGACGACATCACAGCTTCATGTACCATGCAACCCTTAGATGTTACAATCCTTTTCTTTTGAGAAGGCTGAAAAGGGTTTGGGAGCAGGGGTTTATATAGCTATAGAACAATTGTGGGTAGGAATTGAAACTTGTGTGAGATATAGATAGTATTCAACGATGAAGAGTTGAAAAGTATACAATAAGGATTTAGATAAGAATTTTTATGAGCTACCTGTGATTTGGTAGGTCAAAACTTGAAAGTTTGAGTGGAATAGTCGACGTCGAAAGCTTGCGACTTTCGACTTGGACTTTTGGCTTTCAAATATAAAAGACTCTTAGAACTGTTCACTATATTTTGCTAAAGCAATTAATACCCGAGTATCAGAATCGAGTTTTGCATGTCAGAATGAATGGCTTCTTTTCCTCGCTTTTAGTTTGCGATATCATACATCGAACGTCTCGAGGTCGGAGAGAGAAATATAATGAGTAGAACAAATAGAACGAAGAAATTTCAAAAACTGTAGAGGCTGGAAGTTCCCAGTGGAAATGAAGTGACGATGAGATTTTGTTCGAATCTTCAAGAAACATAGTTTTAATGACAATACTTGTCTTTTTCCAATAAACGACACGGATAATTTATAGAGTTGTAATGAATTGTGTGATTAGACGTCTACAAAAGATTTGAATTGGACTTAAACACAATGGAAGATTCTGCCAAACCTTTTTTGACAGATATACATCGATGGATTTCAGGTCATCATAGAGCAAAAGAGAAAATGAATAAAAAGTGGGAGTTGAGAATTGAGATTGGGGATATAAATCTATACAGCAAGATTCATTCATTTTTCCTATATCCTATACTTTGAAACAAAATTAGCATTCCAAGTTTCTAACTAAGTGCTGTGTTACAAGGATATTATGGTATTTACAGCGAATAAGGTGATGAGCCACAACAACTAAATCCCGTCAAACTGTATATTCGGCAGCGGGATCGAGATTTTACCTGTACTGTTGAGTCTACTGTAATAACATATCCCACAAATGTATACGAACCGTGACGAGAACGAATCCAAAAACTCCTGGTCCACAAACAAATACAAGACCAAAAAACTATGAGATTTGGGCTGGAATCTAAACTTTTATGTGTTCTGAAGAATCTTGGGATCGAGAAAGAATTAGACGGGGCCTATCTATGGCCTGTAAAATGGGTTGCAAAGTCGATATAGCTCCCTAATATAGTATAGATGTCACACTCTTCCAGTTTTCCATCTCTTAATTCGATTAGGAGGAAGAAATTTAAGAAATGAAGGATCTGCTCGTTTTGGCTAGAGCAGTTGATCTGGAAAATAGGGGTTTCAGGATTGGATACTTGATGCAAGAGGTAGGAGAAAGTCAAAAGTTGAAGGTTATCGAATGGATGAGCGAATCAGACATGGTGGTCTGGAAACGACAACCATAAATTTCTCCAATCTCTTTTTTGTCGTATTTATGAGTTTGCCACCGAAGATGTCGGGAGACACACTCTAATTTTGAGAAAGTAGTTCAAGGAACAATGGAAGAGATATGGGGTGCAAAAAATTTCATTTCTGGAGTATATAAAGATTACTAGCGGACCTTGCTAAATCACTAAACCAAGCAAATTCTCTTACAAGGAAACTGCTTTTTAGAAATGGGAGATAACCTTAATTAACGTACAGAGATTGAGACATCAGTGTACATTAAGATCGTACATCCAAGAATATCAATAAGATGACCGTAGTGATAATAAGCCTAGAGGAACAGCAATCACCAACCGAGATAACATACATAAATTTTATGTCATTTGAGCTGATATTACAGTCTCCATGGACTTAAACTTTCTACAAACTAGAATTTAGACGAACTCCCCCGTGACATGATTCAGAATAAGGTAACACGAGGGACTTATATGCATATGGAAGACCCTGGAAATTGACTGAACTCCTCAACCCTTTAGTTTAAAGAAGCAATATTATAGAAAAGGGTTGTTCATATAGAACAATGCTGGATTCATCGAATTTCGTCATCAATGATTACATGAATCTTTCTGTTCTCTTGCTACAGAGGTGAGTTGATTTATTCTAGTCCCTGAAAAACGAGTTCGGTTATTGAAAAGTAGAATTCTGAATTGTTAGGTTGTTATTGTATTAAGCTTTGTAACCTCATCGAACAATGAGTACCTAGATAGATCTGCTCATGAATTTGGTCCTAGATAATCTTACATAGTTGGGTGAAATTAGCATTTTGAAGCCGTTTCTTGACAGGCCCATAAATATTGAAGTTCAAGATTTCGCTTGAATCAGCTAGTCTAGTTTTCGGATCGATTTTCTTCCCGAGTTTATAATTTTTGATTAAATATTTTAAGCGAACTCTTCCGAGATGTTAAAAACCACCTGACAGACACTATATAAAGTCACATACACCCACTCACTAGACTGTGAATGAGCTAGCGCTTCTTATCTGTAATATATTCCCGCTGAGAGTCATTCTTGTACTCGCACAGCCAGGAAGTATAGAATATAAATAACATGCTTAGTTATATTTATATTTATACAATCTAATTTACGATCTTGTTATATTGAATATAGATACATTAGATCTTTACCCTTTTCATACAAAAATAGATCTATTTAAAAAGGGATTCTGTAATCTCTGGCTGTATGAGTAGGTTTGAAGAGGGTTATCTCATTATTGGAGCTACGGATCCTGACTACCTAGTAGATCCACAACTGTACTTGTCATGTTGGGCCTAACACCGTCTTTACTAGTAGTCCCTAAAAGTGCAGGAAAATCACACATTTACTCTATTTAAACTTAATGTTTCCTCCATCCGTCATACTTTAATACGTACATTGTATGACTGATCGGAAAGAAACAATATTTCCTTTTTATCCTTGACATCAAGCCATAAGATCACAAAACATCATATCATGGACATTCTTTTCAAAACGGCGTGGTTTAGACTCGTGAAGAAGCAGAAACCTTCGAAAAATTGCTGGATGACGTGGAACAAGCTTTTGATAAAGATGATCTCATATTTTTTCAAACAAGTAAGGTACAACGAGACTATCACCTTCCTCGGAATTGTACCAGAGTCATTCTTTGCTAACAAATCATCAGTCCATACTAAAGACATAGCCACTTGTACCCGTGACTGGGTGGCATCTATATCAGAAAAACTTCATCAAGAGTGCCTCTCTTCAATTGCTCTTCGCAAAGTTATCGTCGATCAGTGGATGTGTCATTATGCTGAAAAGAAAGCCATCTTTACATCGCAGCAAGAACAGTCCGGGGCTGGTAATGGAGCTATGTATGCCTTGACACAAAGAATGGTAGAGCTGCACAATCGCTCGGTCGTAAATGAACGAAATTTGATCCGCAATGTGGAACTGTCCCAAATTGCTCGTCTAGCTAACAGTGAAGATTTTTCCCGCGCCGAACGCTTCACCTAAGAAATGAATACTGTCTCCACCGAGTTATTTCATTCTGGAGTTTGTGGCTCTAACTCAAACGAGCAACCAACGGAAATGATTCAGGGAGTTTTGCCAAATACTCATTTTCAGCGTCTAATGTCAGATGATTTTGTACTAAGGTCTAAGGAAACACTGCTGGAAGCGCAGAGGCAGAGGAGCCAGATTCAATCGGAATTTTTACCGGGTCGCAACACAACCAAGCTTTTCAAAAGCATCTGGCCATGTTCCCAAAAGCAAGCTCCTGTCGACCAAGCAATCGCTCATTTCACTTCACCACAGAATCCTACAATCAAGTTCCCCAGGTTTTTAAGTTTGCCGCTTGAACCCCGTCGAATGGTATGGAAAGCTGCACTTCTGGATGGTAGAATTGTCTCGAAGAGAAAATGGGTACCTGAACAACTGTCATCTGAAGAGCCTTGCTATAGACTTGCCCTACAGCTGGCCTGCAAAGAATCATATAAGGTTATGCACGAGAGTTACACCCTTGTACTCGAACTAAAAACTGATACGATGGCGAGCACAATTTGGAGAATTTATGCTGCCTTTCTGGTACATATATGAACCCGGATAAAGATATTGTACCACGGTGGCCGCTCCCTGGGGACTATGAGCAAAATCAACCTAATTTATCACTTTCGCAGTACTGGGACAGAAAATTCTTCGGACTTACTGGAGTGAAACACCTGGCGCTCAAAGTGTTTCATTTTGATGATATACTGGGGCAAAAACATTGCGTGGACAAGACTAGAAAGGAGGCGCTGGATCGTATAGAGGCTAGCTGTCCGAATTTAAAAAGTCTGACGATTACCTGGACCAGTGAGAGATGTGTGAGGAAATACTTTGGAGATGATAGCATTCAAGGTTCCGATTACAAATTAATCGATATTGACTCCAATTTCGTCGACCACATGGCAGAAATTCCGGTTAAGGACCAAGCCACAAGGGAGGCGATGAGAATAGACTAACTTATTTAGGAATTGTGGTATGAACAATATACAAAACTTTTTCAACGACATGAGAAAAGTGGCTCCGAGTATTGGAATAGGATGGAAATGAAGATGGCCTTTTTTGTGAAACCTATTCAGGTAGAATATCAAGGATATGTATAACTGATATAAGAAGATATCTTTGATGTTTTAATATTGTAAAAGTGGTAGGTCGAGATACGTGCGTCCCGATAGCACGCTGTGAGGAGGGAATTGGAAGAGAAAGCTGAATTAGATTATATTGTAATATATTACTTATAGGTAAAACGGGGTTCACAATGGTTTTGAGGTTGATGCTATATGGGTTCAAATGTATATATGTAGAAGGTTGATTATTGTGAAAAGAAGAGGCGAAAGACTCTTCTTTTATATCTAATTATAAAAGGTTATGTGATTGATTAGTTAAAACCTTTATGTATTTGGCTTATAATTCCAACTTTCTTACAATATAAAAGGATATAAGAATTATTTTATAAAAAGATTTATAAAAAGATTAAAAATATTAATTAAAAGTTTAAATTTTAACTATATATATATATATATATTAATATTTTAAGAAAATTAAATCTAATATTTTATTTTTTTATTATTATTAATAACTTTATAATAAATAATAAAATCAATAAAACTTCTAATCAAAAATAAATTATATATATAATTATTATTAAAATTAAAAAAAATTCAGATTTTCAATAACTTTATTAATGAAGATATTAAAAATTAAAATTTGAGATTTTCAATTTATAAAAGTGATAGATCGAGATATATATATCTTGATAATATATTATTTATAAAGAAAATAAAGTTTATAATACTTTTAAGATTATATTATGATTTACGATTGAGATAAGGATATATTGAGAGGTAACAGTCAATATATCCATATGAACTTAGGCCTTATCGAAAAGCAAAATGATTCGTATACAAATTTGTATAATAATCATCTTATATAGTCTCTTCATTTTTAGCAAGCTTGGATATATAATCTGATCCTAATTATATAATAAGGAGCTTTAGAAGCTTCGAAAACTTTTAAAGCTTTAAAAGCTTTTTGAAGCTTTAGAGTTCTATAAAGCTCCTTTATATTTATTAATATATAATCAAAATAGTTTTATAATTTAAAAGTTTCATATTTAATTTAGTTATCAATTAATTTATTTATATTTCAATCGATCTAATAATATATTTGTTTTCAAATGGATAATTAATGATTATTAGTTTTAATCTATAATTATTAATTATACAAAAAACTTGAAGCAATTGTTATCTTAATTAAATCGTTATATTTTGAATATCGTTATGATTAAGTTATATATAATACAATGGTTTTCAATTAGTAATTCATTGAATCGTTTCTATTCAATCCAATCAAGGTTTTTATTCAAACTATTATTATTATAGAATATAAATAAACAATTCAGATATCCATCTCTGATTTATTCTATAAAGATTATAACAAATATTGAGTTTTTGTTATATAAATTAATCTTTATTATATTTTTAATAAACAACTTTTCTTAACTTTTATATAAAGGATTTTATAATTAATTTTTTTTTTCTATAAAATTATATTCAATTGAATTGAATTATTTTTCAATAATCTAATAATCAAGATTATCAATAATCAATTGAACGAAAGTATAAAATCTGAGATTCATTATCTTTTCTTTAATTATAAATTGTTTAAATAGGGATTTGATAAAATATTCGAAGAAGTAGATCCTGATTATATAATTAAAAAAGTATTACAATAATTCAAATAAACTAAATCAATTATAATTTATATTGTTAAATTTCAATAATATATTGAATATATTATATAAAATGATAATTATCTAAAATCATAATTCTATAAAGGATTGAAAGATATTATAAAAGATGAATTAACAAGAATTTCGAAATTATCTAATCTTTTTGAATTAATCGAAACCTTCATTTTTATTGATAATCGATTCTATAAATAACGAATAAAAAAAAAAGAAATTATTTAGAAAAACAAGAAGTTCCAAAAACCTTATTATCAAAATAAATATTATAATATCGATAATCTAATAGAATTGAATAATATCGAATAACATTATATAAAATCAAATAATCTAAATATTAATAAAAAGAAAATATACAAAAAGAATAATTTATATTATATCTATAAGAAAAACAAATATATATTTTAAGATTGTTCTCAAAAAAAGAAACTATTTATTACAAAAAATAGAAAACAAATAAAATTTAAAAACAAAAGATAAAGTTCTCGAAAAACAAAGATTTTGAAAGAAAATTTGAAGGAAATAGGATTATTAGAAAAAGATTTATTTCAATTCAATCTTGAATAATTAAAGAAATTGGATATCAATAATCAAAATCTTAGAATTAATATTGAGAATAATATCGATTATAAAAAAGAATCTTCAGAAAACCTTGAATTAGAAAACAAAAAATCAATTAAGGAATTCGAAAAGAATCAACAAATAATTGAATCCTATTATTTATTTCAGGAAAATGAATTATAATATTTAATTAGTTATTTAGATAAGAAACGAATATAGTATTATTATAAAAAGAAAAAATCTAATTTCATTAAGAAATATAGAATTTATAATTATTCTATTTTATTAGTATTCTATATAATAATATACAATAATATTTATTGTATAATATTTAAAGAAAATATTAAAGTAAACAATATCAAAAGATATATTATAGATATAGATTCTTTATTCTTTGATAAAATATAAAAATACAACAAATATAATCTAGAAATTGAAGAAATAAAAAAGATCTTATTATAAATTAGAATTCATTATATCTAACAAAGAATCAATAAAGATAATAAAAAAGTATCAAATTAGAATTATTATTGAGATTTCCAAATAGAATTAATAAAATTATTATTTATTATATTTTATTGATTATTGAATATAAACAAATATCAATATAAATGATTAAATCTTTTTATTAAAGAACAAATCATCGAATTATTATTATTAGAATTCAATAGTATTATAAAAATCGGATAATTAATTATAATAATCAAATTAAAAAATCAACAAATCAATACTTTAATTGATTTCGAAATTATAAATATATTCATAGATCCCAATTTCGTTAAAGAAAATAGAATTTCTATAGAATTAAAATAGGATTTTTATCAATTGATATTATTAAAAGGAAAAAAAGTTGAGATTGATAATTGGATATATAAAGAAATTAATATTATCAAAATGATTATATTAAACAGATATATTAAATAGATCAAAATAAATTTAATATTATTAAACAAATATATAATTGTTTTTGATATCTTATAGATTAAAAGATATAATCCAAATATCGATTGAATAAAAGATATTTTAATATTCGATTATTATAATTGTAATAATAAATAATTATATAATTCGAAAGAATAGATTTCCTAAAAAACTAGATATTATATTATAACAATAATAGATTCTTTATTGATTAATAAAATCAATGAAAAAGAAATTCTAATATAATATAGAAGATTTATTAAGTTCTTCAAAAACTTTTAAGATTTGAGAATTTTATCAAAATATAAACTTTGGGATTATAAAATCAATTTCAAAAAGGGATTCATATTTTTTATTAAAAAATTGAGGTTATATAATTTTAATATTATATAAATATAAGAAGAATATAAAACTAAAATTGAAAAGAAAGGATAGATTAAGAAATCTAAATCCTTTTGTATATTTAATATATTATTAATATTCAAGAAAAACGATTCAGATAATCGATTTTACAAAAACTATTATCGAATTAATAATAAAACAATCAGAGATATATATTTAATATTAAAAGTTTAGGAATTTAAAGATAAATTAAATAAAGTTATGATTTATATAAAATTAGATCAAAAAAACATTTTCAATTTGATATAAATAAAAGAGGATTATAAATAAAAGATAATCTTTATTTTATTATTAAATTTATAAGAATATATAATTATATTATTTGAATTAATCAATATATCAATTATATATCAATAACAGAATAACAAGATATTTAAAGAATTTAATTCATTTATAATTTGTTATTTAAATAATATCTTAATCTTTTCTCAAAAAGAAAAGGAATATAAAGGATATATATTAAAAGTATTCAAAATATTCAAAAGAATAAATTCAAAATTCAAATTATTGAAATATAAATTTGAAGTATAAAAGATAATATTTTTAGAATATATTATTCAATTAGAATAAATAAATATAAATCCTAAAAAAACAAAGAAAATAAAAAACTAAAAACGATTTAGAAATATTAAGAATATATAATCTATATTAGAATTCATCAATTTCTATTGAATATTTATAAAAGATTTTTTAAAAATGATAAAATCCTTTATCGAAATAATCAAAAAAAAAAATAACTTTTATATAAAATGAAAAGGCAAAATAGGTTTTCCAGGAAATCAAGGATAAATTTATAAAGGAATTTATTCTTTATAATTATTATAATAATTAAGAAAGTATTATCGAAATAGATATTTTTGATATTTATATAATAGAAGTTTATTTATAAAGAAACAATAATGGGAAATTATATTTTATTATCTATTATTTAAATAAGATAAACAAAATAAAATAGAATTATAATATTTATGAAAAAGAATTTATAATTATTATAAAAATATTAAAATATTGAAGGATCTATCTTCAAAGAATTAAATTCCTAATAATCATTTATATCGATTATATAAATCTTCGAATTTTTATTATTATTAAGGTTTTGAATAATTATAGATTGATTAAATGAATTAAGGAATTAATAGGATTTGATTTGATAATCAAATATATCAAAGAAAAAGATAATACAAAAGCAAATACTTTAAATAGATTATTAGATTACAAAGATAATAAAATTTATTAAAAAATAACGATTTTAAAATCTTTATTAAATGAAGATTTTATTTTTAATCTAATAGAAATCGTTATTATAAAAAATAAATCAATAAAGATCTGGAAGAATAAATTTGTAAAAATATAATAAAATAGGAAAGGTATTAAATAACCAGAATCATTAATAATTATTAATAGATTATTTCGAATAGGAAACAAAATATAATTATTAAATAATATTATCTTTAAATATATTATAAAATAATATATATTATTAGTTTATAGATATTAAAAAGTACAAAGAATATATTTAAAAATCAAAAGATAATATTGGAGTTCAGGATTCTATAATATAATTAATAAAATGATTATTGAGTATAATATTTGTATTAGAAATAAGACTTCTTGTTATATTTTTTATAAATAGATAAATATTATTGAAATACTATTTATATTATAAAAATCAATATCATAGGATTTTATAAATTCATTATCAAAATCCAAGGATTCAATAATAGAAATAGTATACAATTATCTTTTTATTATAATAAACAAACTAATAAAATACTTAATATTTATATTATATCAGATAATATTAATTACAGAAATATTAGTCTTTATATTTCTGAAAGAGATTGTTATAATATATAGATTATTAAAGGAAATATTCTTTAATAAAAATAAACTTTTTATATCGAAATTTTGGATTATTTTAATAATATTATTAGAAATAAAAAGAAAAATATTTATTGTATTTTATTTATAAATCAATAAAGGAAATAAAAGAATAAATCAAATTATTAAAGTTTATTTTCGATATTATATAAATTATTAATAAAACAATTGAATAAAACTTTTATTTTTAGTATAATTTGTATATAACAATTCAATATCAAAAGCAATATAAATTATTCCGAATTATATTAATTATAAATACAAATTAATTATATATTATAAATCAAAGATTACAGAAATAGAAAATTAATTTGTAATAATATAAACGGAAAAATTCAAAGAAGTTTATAAGAAAATAACAATAAAGTTGAAATTTGTTATTGAAAGAAATATATATTATTATAATTGGAAATATAATTAGAAATCAATATTAAAAAAAGGGGATAAAATTTATTTATTTCGAAAAAATATTGAAACAAAAAGATTTAATACAAAATTGGATTACAAAAAACTCGAATTATTCAAAATCAAAAAAATTAAGGGATTTTTGAATTATAAATTGATATTATCAAAAAGTATAAATATATATTCAATATTCTATATATCCTTATTCGAATTAACATTTTTAGAAGTATTTAAAGTTTTTGAAATAGAAATTATATTTATAAATCAAAATGCTGAATATAAAATGAAGAAGATATTAGATTATAAATATATTAAAAACAAGATCAAGTATTTAATAAAATAGAAAGATTATTTTGATTTCAAAAATATATAGGAATTTGAGAAAAAGATTAAATATTTGAAAAGGTTTTAGGAGTTTTGTTAATAAAATCTGGATTTATTTAAAAGAAAGGAGAATTTATTGTTTTCTGTAAAAAGAAATCGAAAGAATTGAATTCGTTTATAGGAATTTCATTAGAGTTGATAAAATCAATTAGTAATTAATCAAATCGATTAAGGGTTAATTGATTAAATTAATTAAATTGATCAAATTGATCAAATTGATTAAATTGATTAGAAGGTGACGAAAGGATTATAGGAATTTCTTTATTTTTTTCTTTTTATTTTTTTTCTTTGAGGGTATCAAATTCATTAAGATATTTGAGTTTGTAATATAATATTTTATTGTATTATTTTTTAAATTGTATTTTCTATTTAATAAAGCAAATAATCTTAATAAAAGATTCAATGATTTCAATATTCAATTTATTGATTTATCGATCAAGATTCTCCTAATTATATTTTTGAGGAATTTTATAATTCTAATTATCTTTTAAATGAAACTTAATATTATATGAAACAGAATTTTATATATATTCCGAATAATATAAATGATATTTATTAAAGAAATTCTTAATACAATAATGATTTTTTTATTGATAATGAGAACAAGGAATTATTTTAATATCAATAAAATCGATAATTGTAATTAAATATATATATTTCTTTTTCTTTCTTCGAATTAAATTATTAAAGAAATTAGAATTGTTTATAATAAAAAAAGAAAAATAAATAAAATATAAAAAAAAAAAAATATTAATTATTAAATGAAATCTGAAGAATTATAAATAATTGGAATAATATTTAATTAAGAAAAGGATAATATCACGATTTACAATTGAAATAAGGATATATTGAAAAGCAATAATCAATATATTTATATAAATTTAAGTTTTATCGAAAAGTAAAACGATTCGTATACAAATTTGTATAATAATCGCCTTATATAATTTCCTTATCTTTAGCAAGCTCGGATATATAATCTGATTCTAATTATATAATAAAAAGCCCTGAAAACTTCGAAAGTTTCTAAAGCTTCAAAAGCTTTTTGGAATTTTAAAGCTTTACAAAGCTTCTTTATATTCATTAGTATATAATCAAAATAGTTTCATAATTTAAGAACTTCGTACTTAACTTAATTATCAATTAGTTTATTTATATTCTAATCGATCTAGTAATATATTTGCCTTCGAATAGATAATCAATAATTATTAACCTTAACCTACAATTACCAACCATACGAAAAACCTGAGGCAACCACTGCCTCGACCAGATCGTTACAGATTGATTATTTTAAAAAGAAAAAATAAAAGTTTTTCTTTTATATTTAATTTATAATTCCAGCTTTCTTATAAGGGGCCTGTACCCCCCGGACCTCTAGCTTTTTGAGAAAGTTTAATAAAAATTTAAATTTTAAAAAGTTTATAATAAATTTAAATATTGAATATATATATTAAAGTGCAGATAGAATATCGACTTGTTTTTGATAATTCAAAATTTAATATTATTATTATTATTATTATTATTATTATTATTATTATTATTATTATTATTATTATTATTATTATTATTATTATTATTATTATTATTATTAATTGAATAAAGTTGAATTGAATGATTTCAATTGAATTGATGTCACGATTCATAGATTAGATTATAATAGTATTATTGATGTCAGTGATTTATATATCGATTATAGAGAGGGTATAATTTAACCATTGTGTTACAAGGTAACAGTCAACCTGTCCACATGAGCTTAGGCCTCATCGAAAAGCAAAGCAATTTGTATACAAATTTGTATGGTAAGCGCTTCATATGGTCTCCCCACCCTCAGCAAGCTCGGACATATAGTCTGATCCTAGTCACGTGATAAGGAGCCCTGGGAGCTTCGAAAGCTCCTAGAGCTCCAGGAGCTTTTTGGAGCTCTAGGGCTCCCCTAAGCTCCTTTACATTCATTAGTATATAGTCAGAATAGTTTCATAGTTTAGGAGCTTCGTGCTCAACTTAGTCATCAATTAGTTTACCTACATTCCAATTGATCTAGTAACGTATTCACCTTCGAGTGGATAACCAGTGATTATTAGCCTTAACCTACAACTACCAACCAGACGAATCCTGAGGCAGCCGCTGCCTCAACCGGAGATCGTTACATTGATCTAATAACGAATTCATTTTCAAATAGATAATCAATGATTAATAGCCTTAATCTACAACTATCAACTAAATGAAACCTCAGGCAGCCGCTGCCTCGACCAGATCGTTACAGTTGAATTGAAAAAAGCTCTAAGTCAGATTTGCCTGAGGTTGTAAGGCTTATACTAAGCTTTTTGTTAGATTGTTACCCGAGTATTTACCGGGGTATTTTAGACCAATAAGATTATCAGGATCGCGACTCATTTCTCGACCAATCATATCGCAACCTTAAATGAACCTCATTTTCCATCACCCACTGAATAAACCTTGTATATAACAAGGTTATAAAAGTTAGCAAGCTGATAATAATATAATTATTCAAAATATATATTTTATATATTTTATAGTTTAAAAAAGTATAATAAGTTTTTAAAAAAGATTAATATAATAATCAATCATTTCATTTTAATAGTATTTTTATATAAATTATTATCCAAATTGAAAGTGTAAATTAGTTTTCTCCCACTATAACTCAAACACCTTCGAACATAAAGTGTATAATGGGGCCACTCACAATGACATCACTTTTAGTATAACATTAATAGTTTCATTATTCTTCTTATTCATTACTACAATATCTCATCTCAATCATTAAGTATTCTATCCATCGTTTGTACCCGATAACGGTATGGTATCATAAAATAAAACCCTGAAGCCTTTTTCCTAAAACGCCATTGAATGCCCATTGTCATGCCGCTCATAAATCATAATGTGACCCTGTTCTGTCCTCTCAATCAATTGAATGTTCATGCGCTGTAGGTGCTCCAATCAATACCAGCTACATCTGGATAACAATTCACAATCGCTGCGAATTTATCATCTACTCCACTACCTTCACTACATTGAGGCAATAAAGCAACATCCGAACATCCAGCTGGTGTCTTTTGACTGTATCCTCTGTAGAAAAGTTGAATTGCATTTCCATACTGCAAAGTAGTATTACAAGCGTAGAAGGTTTCGCCTTGATATCCATGGAATTGGATGATGGGAGCAGGGAATGTAGTAAGTCCAACATAAGGTTGACCGGCTCCTGCATTAATTTCCACAGCTGAACGACCGGAAGATGAAGTAGCGGGGTCGGAAGGAGTAATGACGACGGCTTCAGGGAATGAGCTACCTTCACTACCTGAATCGGAGAGGGTAGAAGAGTTACCAAAACGAACTTCGGTGGCGGTGCCGTTTATGTAGAAGATGCGAGGATTAGCTTCGGTAGTGTTTTCGGCGAGCACGGCATATGCTGTCCCAGCACCTGTGTGATACGATTCGAGAACGAAGTTGTTGATGGCTAAATCACCTGAGGTAACATTCGCAACAAGTTTGAAGTTTTTGGATGTGGATTGAGGTGGATGTGTGTATGTTTGTCTTTTAATGGTAGGAGCGGCGGATGTGAAGGAGGTGAGGAGAGCGACGGTGCTCAGGATGTTGGTTGTAGAGAATAACATTTTGATGTCTTTGAGTTAGGTATGGGTGGTGTGGAGGAGAAGTTGCAATGAGGATATGTGTAAACCTTATATAGTTGGTGGATGTCGTATGGCTGATTCTAGTATCTTCGAATCGAACGGTTCTTTGAAGTAAACACTGCCTTGATGGTGAATGACAAATTGATAGAGGCTTGTATGATATTTTGAGAAGGAGGAATCCCCTCGATACTTATATCACATCAAAATACCATCACCCCACGAATGATCTTGTACATCACAAGGTAAATATCTTGGAAATGGCGGGTATTGGATAATGGTCCTACCACCAAACGTGTTGGTGGCTGGTCATCGGCGCATGATTCTTTCTAAGTTTTCGACGATCATTGGCATCAGCCACTTAAAATCATCATCAGCATATCATTGAAACCTAAATGTATATCGAATATATTAATTGCCAGGTACGAAAGAGAAACCCTGATAGAGGCTGGGAATGGAATCATGAACAACCCCACAAATTCGGCAAAAGGTTGGCTAAGTGTGAGGGGAAAATGTGGAAAAGATCGGAAAAATGATGTTATGCCAAGTTTGCTAAAGTTCTATCAGCCAATGATATTTCTTCATCGGAAGATCATCAGCCATTTTCAGCCACGACGGCGCAGGCTGGATACGATCATCGCCAGGGGCACGGATTGGAATTTCTACCTACGGAGTATATTTGAATGAGGGGGAAGGATTGGATGAGTAGTACAGAGCAGGTTCCTACATGTCGATATACCAGGTGTGGAGGTATGTCGTACATCAGCATCGGCAGATGCGGAAGAGTCCGAGAGCCATTGAATCTTTCCATTCCTTTCGACGATGACGATGTTTCTCGAATATAATCCTGGAATCACAGCACTACACCTACACTGTACCGGTACTATACACTTTAGTTCTGTCACAAAAGCGATTCGAAAACCCGAGGGTGTAATAAGCTACCACTAACACTACCAATCTCTCCATGTAAATATCCTCTAGCTCAAGACTAATGAATGTGCAACTGCGGCACTCGTGTGGCTTATTCACATACCGACATAGGCAGGTAGGACTTAAATAATTATGCCTAATAACGGATAACGAGGTTGGAGTACCACAAGAACGAACCGCCCCGCCATCACGAGAATATATTTAGACATTATAACTCTATCTACGAGTATACGTCGTGCGTGCATCTTACTAAGCCTTGTAACCACATATCGTATACCAAATAACTTCTAGAAATTTCCAACTGTTTAGACATGGTATATCGTATCATATCGTATATCGTATATCGTATATCGTATCTACACAATCTCACGATTCTATAATATTAACACACACACCAAACCCCCCTACGGACATCGCCGTTACCGAGCACTACTCAGTAGTACAGCTCAATAAACGAGATCGCCCAGCTTCCGAAGTAGCACAAATTTTAGGTCACATTGCACATACCGCATACCACATCGAAATCAAAAAGCCCCGCCTCTTGTATGTATTCCTGACAGGTTGGTTGTGGTTGTAGTTATGGTGGGATTACACAGCTTTCGCCTGCGACTTAGGATTGAGTACAAACAACATGTAGCCCGGTTCATGATGGGATAGATGGATAGATGGATAGATGGATAGATGGATAGATGGATAGATGGATAGATGGATAGATGGATAGATGGATAGATGGATAGATGGATAGATGGATAGATGGATAGATGGATAGATGGATAGATGGATAGATGGATGAATGAGTTGAGAGACCAGCCACCATACTATCTATCTACCTCTCTTTCTATCTCTTTTAAGGTCAAAAGATTTTATAAAGGGGTACATATAGAATTTCTTTGTTCATTCTGTTTAGATAGGTTACTAGGTAGGTATCTCAAAAATCCTATTTTCCCCATCTCACTCACTATTTACCCCGCGTATACAAACAGGCAGTAGCTAATGACAAAAACATGTTATGCAACTTGTTGCTCAATTGGGGTATCTATCCACTAACTCCTAGCTATTCTGAACTCCTCGATGATTTATATACCCACCCAATATACGATATACCTCGCCCAATATACCAAATCCAATGTCAATACAGTACATCATTACAAATTATTCATCTCCTTCATATCCCTCCAATGTCATATCCAAATCCATCCCTTCATCCCCATCATCCCACTCAAGTCCAATTTTTCCAAACAATGCCCTAGCCCTTCTCCTCTCATCTTCCCTTTTCTCCTTACCCCTTCTAACCTCCGCATCCCTTTGTCGTCCAAGAAACCTTCTATCTGCCTCTATCGCTCCACCTCTCACTTTAGCCAACCATTCTTCATCACCATCCCATTTTTCTGGTACACATAGATCTCCAATGTATAATGCTACCATTCCTCTTAGTCTTATTAGGACTGGAGAATCTGAATATGGAGGAGTCGTCATTAATTCGTTCATTCTTTGGGCTACTAGTTCTGTGGCTACTAATGCTGTTCGTCGAACTTCATCTCTTTCTTCCCAGCGTTTTTCTTTTCGTCGCTTATGAAGTCGGTCTTGGCGTCGTTGATGAGCTGCGAATGCTTTATCCCCAGGATCTCCTTCTTCTTCATCGTCTATGTCTTCCTCTTCGGCACTGATATCACTATCCCTAATATCCCCTTCTTCATCTTTTTCAGCTTGCTTGGCAATCTTTCTCAATCCAGCCTTATGCTCAAATTGTATGCCATAAATTTCGCATCCAAGCATCGCAGGCCAAAAATCTAGAGCATTGACTGAACCATGAAATTGTCGTTTGTAAGGATATTGAAGAATTAGACGTTCATAATAATCTTTCACTTTGAGGAGTCCTTCAGCCGTACCATATCTCTTTTCTTCACCTTCTTCACCAGCTCTTTGTTTTTTACCGTCTTCTTTTGGTTCCCCGTCACTATCAATATTCGCTTCATCACCACTCGCTTCCTCTGCATCTGCTTCCCACCATTCCTTTCTTTGTTGATTCACTGCACCTCTCATCAATAACTCAGCCCCAATTCCCCAGTACCCCGTCTTTCTAATTTCTACTCCCTGTCCCGCAATCTGCATCCTCAAAAGTAAAGCCCAAGCTCGTCCTGCCCTCTCCATATCACCTTCTTCTAGATTCCTCATCATAATCGCAACCAGCACGCTTAAATGTTGAATTCTCAAATTCGACCTCCCAGTCTTTCTTTCATCCCTCTTCCGTCTTTCCCTTTCCCTTCGACTTTTAGCAGATTCTTCCTCCGAGTCATCCTCTTTATTAGCACGGGAATTGGTAGCAGAATCGTGATCGTCAGAATTAATAGAGTATGTAGGCGGTAAACCTCTATGAGGCCAATGTTTAACTCCAATTTTGGATGGTAATTCTTTATCGAGTCCCAAACCAGCTAACCGATATTGCATCACCTCTGCAGGAGTTAAACTCAATGGATTTGTAATTTCAGCAGAAGGCTGCGATGGACCTCCATTCTCTACTTCTTTTCCCTTTCCTGTATTACTATTTGTATTCGCGGTATAATCATTATTGTAATCGTCAATCGGTTCGGTATCGCTCTCACGTCTTTTGCGTTTTTGCGGTCGTAGAGAGAGAGGTGCGAAGTGGACTTGAGGAGTTGCGGCAGATGTTTGTGATATATCAGCTATGGGAAGAGTAAAGAGTGGCATATTTATATATAAAATTAGGGATGTTGAATTCTTGTGATGAATGACTGTGAGTTGTGGGTAGAGGTCTGCAAATAGAAAAAGTTAATGAGGCTATTCTTCAGCCTTGGGACAAGGGATAAGAATGTGGCGCATGTTTAAGTGTGGCTTAAAGATTACACGAAAAGCAGTTTCTTTGCCTTGCAAAGTCTATCAAAATACTTTCGGTCAAAATAAATCATCTTTTCATATTAAGATATCTAATTCATTTTATGATACCTCGTCCAGCTCCAAATTCTTCATATCATATTATTAACCTACAGTTCTTTTGGAATATATCAATATAAGATCTCATAACCCAAATGGAGACTCCTAACGTGGCCTGGAGTCGCTGCTACGTAATCGTTGGAGCTGATATCGATTGACTTACAATCGTAGTCTTCAATGTTATCATCTCTTAAATCCTGACAGAGGCTAATCCTAAACATCATGATTATTCAAAATCTAATGGTGCTTTTTCTATCTTCGATCATCATGATCCACAGCTTGTGAAAGTTTTGGGTTCGCTCAAGACTGAACCGTTCAAGCTCAATATCGGGCTTGATTCTATCACTGGAGGTAATGCCTCGGAATTATTTGCTGAAATCTTAACAGCTACGATTTAAGGACAGGGTCTGTATCAGGTTGACTCATCCTAACCCTTCCGTGGTCAGGAGAATGTGCAAATGTCGAAGGTACTGTTTTTTTGATCATGGTAAGTTGTTCATCTAGGCACTGATGCGCAGGATATGGATGGGTGGTTGCTTAGTGAGTGAGTACTGACCGATGCTTCGAAGAGAAATAACCGGTGCATTCTCCTCCGGTTGAGGTTGTAGACGGAGGTATTAGGGCTCGCAGAGGGTGTTTGATAGGTTGAAGACGGGGTTAGTGGGAGGAAATTGGTCGTATGGAGTGAGTAGATGTCTAGGTTTTGGGATCTAGGGGAAGGGCGAAGGAGGGTGCAAGAATTACTTGGGATACGATATTCAGTGGTGATGTTTTATGGATTCTGGGTGTTGGAAAGAAAGAAATGATACCTTTGAGCTCTTGTTAGTTCGTCTATATCATAAGTTTTGCCTTTATGTTGTTGTTGTTTTGTGCTTTTCCCCCTACTTCATTGATTACTTTCGTTTGCGTCGCGTACTCGAGCAATCTTATATTCATCACCGTTAATCAATTTTGTGATGCAGGAACAGATTTTACCATGTAATCACTTCTCCAATTAATTACCAGAGTCTTAAGAAAAGATCCACTCTACCCGCAAATAACGTGATCCTTCACCGAGTACCCTACCCCAAAAGAGCGGTGTGTCCACAACGGCAGATTTTCTCCACTTATCTAATTATACATGCCAGCGAACCATCATCCTTCCCATCCCTTCGCCTCATCTGTACGTACAGAATCCATGGGATTCATTTCTTTACCTCAAAGAAATCCAGATACATGATTGGTTCTCTGGTCCCAAGTAAACAATATTCAGATGTGCAACAAAAAGTATTTGGTGATTTTAGAGTGAATATTAATAGATTGGATGATGAATTTGGGGATTGATTGGTTGCTGGTTTTGGAGTAAATAGTTGTTAGATGTGCAACAAAGTTTTGGAGGGAGAGGGGGGGTTTGCATATAGGGTCGGTTTCATATGCGAATGTAGATGTGGATTTTGGGGATGTGGGTTTGTGGTCGGGAGAGGGGTTTATGGTTTGAATCTCTGGTTAGATACTTTAGTGAGATTCCTACCTTTGACTCGAGAGAGGCGAAGCTGGAGATCCGAAGAGGAATGAACGATTTGGATTATTTTAAGGATGAGGAAGGGGATGGTAAGTGCTAGTAATACCTCTTGGGGGAGTATGTCTTTATATCTTGGGCCATGGAGATGGCGGATACCAAAGTTTGTTTTGTCATCTACTTCCTATCCTTCAAGTGGTTGGGGGAGAGAAGGTCAGCGCAGGATGGACACTAAAAGCGAGATGTTTTGTAGTAATGATTCATGTCAACCTCCACCATCGAGGCATTTGGTACCGAAGGTCATTGTTATTTCTTATTCCTATTGGATATTCGATTTCGATGTGCGGGAATGTTGTTATACTGTAGAGTTAGATCAATAACTCTAGAATCGCAAGGTATACTGTACATGAAATCAGATCACCGGAGGCACCGAAGTTGTTTACACAGAGTCTTGCTTCAATCATCCACACAGTAAGTGCGAAATAGAGTTTCCGCAAATATATATATATATACAACTCCAAGTACTTTCAGCCATGCAACAAATAAAGAAATTTATAGAACAACATTCTGCAGGTCTATCTGAGAGACGGATGGGCAAGGCTTCCTTATTCGTTTATGTCAAAAGTGTGTCGTCTAAAAGGGGAAGACCATAACGATATTCACCGGAATCGGAATCCAAGATGATGGAATAGCGGCAGCGGAAAGATATGAATGACGATAAACACATGAAGTGATCATGATAGAAAGTCTTCACGATCAGATGTCCGGCTATACTGTCGCCCCTGGTATCTATGCGAAAAAAGCCTGTAGATCTACTATGTTATACTATTTAGACCACTCATATGGTAATAGCACGTCATGATGAACAATAGGTCTAACAGGCCTAGCATTTAGCACTTCCTTGTCGATACTATTCAAGAGTTGAATATAAATATAAACACAAACATATATACACGGATACACGCTACTGCATGTCACATATGAAATATATGCATAAACTTCAGCTCAGGGCTGCTAGGTGGCCTTCAAAAAGCCGAGCATTAATCTAGTTGCGAAGACTTCTCTTCTACTTCTGAATAATCGATTATTTTCGAAAGCCTATGGTGGTGTGTATGACTGAACTTGTTATTCACTGGGATAATAACAGATGCTAAGTGTCGAGACTAATAGATAAAGGGAGGATATACTTAGTTAAATCAATATGGAGCCCCCATGCTTGGGATCATACTCGGACTATCTCTTATATGTAAAGGAATCGAGAAAATAGGACAAAAAGCGAAGTCCATGGTGAATAGATACTCGGTTTCTGTCAGAATTTTTCATGATCATGTTATATAAATAACAAGTATTTAGGGATACTTTAAGCATTTCAAGTTGAGAAAATTTGCAGATCCTATCGATAAGACAACGCTGCCTTTAATCTGGTGAGAATCTTAAGTTTTCTGGGTGATATTCTCTTGCTGTTCTGAGGAGCATATTCTAACGGATATATCGGACGGTAGTGTTGATATAAGTGAAGATGATTATTCACAATCGATACCATATACACTCTTTATCCTTAGGTTTCCTAACCACCTTTCAACTTATCTGTACCTTAAGTACTTGGCTAGAGTTGAATATCAAGCAATGCATCAGTACCTACCGTAAGTTATTCTAGGCCCGGCGTTGTAACACAGCGCATACTTGCACTTGTCTTAAAGAAGAACAGCCGTTGTTGCCAACCATGTATTGCCAGAAGGAAGTTCGAGGATCTGGCTGTGTTCAGGTAGGTGAAAGAGCAAGAGAAAGAGAAAAGTACGTTGATTTTTGTGATTTATTAAATATGCAGCTCAGGGGTTATGAGAGGATTTACGAGATGAGGCACAGAGATGAGGAAGATTGAATCCAAAGATAATCAGTGGACGGCTAATTACCCAAGAGGTCACGCGGCAAGAAGAAGAGGAGTGGACGGGTCGGGGTTTTGTCGTGAGTATAAACTAGGATGAGTATTTGACCCGAGATCGAACGATTGTTGTATATCTAGAACAGCTATTAGATCTATTCAATCTCTTCAAACAAATTTTTAAAGCTTACAAAGCAATCAAATGCTAGTCAATGCAATTCTAGTGCCCATCTGGCTGAATCTGTTTCGCATACAGTACCTAGGCATATATCTAATCTACATATAATGATTTTAGTGTCAAATACAAATATACAATATCGTTGAGAGCGTTTATTGTCGAAGATTAAGTATCAAAGACGAAGACTTAGCTTTGGAAGTGAAAATATTTGTGTTCATGACACGTTGATGAAAGGCTATAGGGTATTGCAACGTGACTACCCTCCACGTAGATAGGCCTCTAAAGTTCTGAGTGCTCCTAAGCGGACATATCTCTTCGTTTTTTACTATTTTGCTTAGCATGTTTAGTTAGAACGTTGAACTCTTATATATATCTCGGATAGGAGAAATCTCGCGCTTGGGGGTCTTTAGTGTCGTGGTATTATGTGGAAAATCCCAACTTGTGAATCATCGAGCTGTGAATACTTAATTACTTCTGAGCAGTGAATGATTATGTACAGATATCTTAGACAGAGGGTGTTAAAACAATATATTCTACATATCCAGGGTATGAACATGGTTAAGATGGCACTCTCGAGAGAAAATTAAAGAAGGAAGCACAGTTTTATTTGAGCCATCTTCAACAAGATGTAAATATTTCGGATTGATTAATATTCAAAAAATTCATTTAATTTATAAAATTTTCTGATATAATAATAACAAAAAATATAAACGATAACAAAGAGGCTTAATTAACAAATTGAATTATTCTTAAAAGTTAAAAAATATACAAAAAAAATATAATAAAAGTAATAATATATTATCATTATTAATATTATATAAATGATATTTAATCTAAACAAACTTTTGAAAATCAAAAATAATCTAAATAATCCTTTATATTCTAAGTCATATTTTGAATCTAAAAAGATTTTAATATAACAAATATTACTTCTATAAAGTTTATATTTATATAAATATATATTTTATAATAACTCAATTTTGATTATACTCTTGATAAAAAAAAACTTAAATTTATAATAAAGGAATATAATAAGATATTACTCACTCAATTTCGCATAAAAAAGTTCACAAAGTAAAAAAAATAATTCATAGATGATATATCTAGCTTTCCTCTCGAGTCTTAATAAATCTTTAGTGAACATAGCTTGACAAATCTTGGCCAGAGTGGTATTTAAGAAATGTGAAATCGTGCCGAAGAAGAACTTTATAACAAATGAACTACTGGTAAATACAATTTTCGATGCTCGTGTAATGGTTCATTCATGAAGTTGTTCCAAAAGGCAGGATCTCTTGATGGCTTTTCCTTTAGAGATGTATGAAGATGCAAAACTCAAAAAAAGATATTTAAAATGATAAACAAAAACTAAGATCTTATAGTAATTAAATGTAATAATCATTACAAAGCGAACGACAAAAAAGAAATAACGATAATATTTCAAATTTCTCCGGTGATATCACGATATTCGGATATCCCTAAGAAAAATATTGATAGACGTATACACCATGATTACTTGGTGCTTCCTTGAGCCTTTGCGAAATCATGTCTGGGTAACGCCCTTTGTTAATGGAAAGAACAAAGGGGGAATATTGAGATGAGAATAGCTACAACTGGCATGGGAGTATGTTATGGTAGAGAACAACTGACTCGGTTCTGAATAAAAAAGTGTGTATAAAGAATAAAGCTACTAACGAAAGATTATTTATAATGTGTAAGCTAAAGAGACTGATATGCTTGGATGTGTAACAAAATGTTTGATCCAAACATTTCGCGAGAACTTGCAAATAACACCCTAGCTAGACTAACTTTGGCAACAAGGTCAATGAAGCTTTTGAAGATGATTGAAGGAAACGAATTCATTATATGTTGTCGCTAATAAGAACAATAACGATGAAAAAGCGACAGACTAGTAGCCAGACCTTGTCATGGATCTCTTCTACAAGAGGTCAGTCCTTCCGGAGTACTGTAAGCATTGGTTTATGGACTCACTCCAGCATAAGCTGTCTCTAAAGGCATCCCATCAATTTTGATGTTAACTAAGTCGATTATTGTCAGTTGAACTGCAGACAATGAACTTTCCTTACTGGAGCTACCATTGAGTTTTGTAGATACGAAGTTGAGAATGATGCATCAGGAAAGATATTCAACGTCACGATTCAGTAGAGTGCTCCCAGGTTAGTTTGTAATTAAGATTCAATAAGTCTATTGGTTGCTATAATTAGGTATACGAAGCATTCAAGATAACCTCCCCCATACTCA